TGGAGGACAAACTGGACTTTGAAAGCTGCCCAGGCTGAAATGCAGCAAGGGCTGAGGATAAACGAGCACAAAGCAGAAGGTTAAACTGCTGCACTTTAGGGTTCTGCTAATAAAGCTGTCTTCTGCTATCCCCTTATTCCTCTCCACTCTAATCCAGGAGGCTCCCAAGTTATTACAGGACCCAGTGGCCTTAAAAGCATTATGGAGGAAGGACCTGTCTTACAATTAAGTCCCTGGGGCAGGATACGAGCTCAGCCATCCCAAGACATAAGGCAGACTCACTTTAAGTACATACAAAATCCATTTCCTTCCAACATTCCTTGCCAAAGGATTTTCCAAGGCACCACTTACCCTTCTCCTCATCCTCTGTCTTCTCAATGTTGTCATCCGCCTTGACAACAGCACCTAAAGCCAAACAGGTTTGGGGTAGATGTGAGCTCAGGCCTCAGCAACTGCCCACCCCGAGGAGTTTTAGGGTTCCAAGACAAGCTACAGAAGGGCTCATTTCCCTGATGGGAACAGCTCTGCTCTGTCCGGGTGTGGAAGAAACCCAAGGTATCACTTGCTCCATGCAGCCAAACTGCTCTTTATCAACCACACAACAGTCTGCTGTTGAATACAGCAAACCAGCATTTAACAGGTTAGCCCAGCAGAACCAGCATGTGAGGCTTTTAATCTCAGCTTTATATTTCCCCTTTCCAGAATTCCTTAACTAATTAGGAATTTGGCAATGGAAGAACACTGTCCCCTTCCTGGCACCATTCCAGCTGCTGTCACTCACCATTGGCATCTGGTTTGGATTTTTCCTCCTTCAGGTGTAAACTGCTCAACTACAGACAAGGAAAAACAACATCAGAGCTGTCCTGGCTTTGGACAAGGGGTGTAGGGACAGGCCAAGGGGAATGGCTTGAACCTGCCGGAGGGGAGACTGAGATGAGCTCTTAGGCACAAGTCCTTCCCTGTGAGCTCTCCTCCAGGACCCACCACCAGCTAAAAGCACAGCACAGCGCCCACCAAACCCCTGTGCTGGGAGGGAAATGGGATGAGGTCCCTGCGGTGAGCTTCACCCCGTGAGCTTGAACAGAAACACAGCTTTCTCTAGGCTGTAACACGGGGAAGGGGGGTGTTTCCTGCCCCTGCACCTCCACTCCCCCCACCCAGCTCTGCTGGTGGCTGGAACCGGAGCCAAGCACGGCCCCAGCAGCCGGACACGGCCCCGCTCCCCCAGGGCTGCTTCCACCGCCCAAAACGTGCTGGGGAAAGCAGCCGCGGGGCCCAACCACCACCCGGGGCACGAACTACGGCTCCCCAGCCCTCAAGTGCAGCGCGGGGGGGAGAGAAAACCCCAAGGCCACAGAAATACCGCCCTGATCAGAAGCAAGCGGAGGAAAGAAAGGGGATGTGGGGGCTCCAGGCAGGCAGCCCGCGGGGGGGACGAGCGGCAACGGGGCTGCGGGGCCTCGAGAAACGAAAGGGGTTCGGAAGGGGGAGGAGAATAAAAGGGGTTTTGCTGCTCCCGAAGCAGGGCGAGGGCGCGGGCCCGGGGCGGTGCTGCCGCAGGGCCCCGCGGCTGCGGCACGAACAAAACGGGAAGGGAACCGGGGGCTGCTCCAGCTCCGGGCCCCGGCCGCACTCACCGACTCGGCCGCCGCCTCCTGCTCGTCCACGGCCAGGGCCCAGGAGTCGGTGGCCATGTCCGGGCCGCGCCTGGCACCGGGCTCGCCCTGAGCAGCCGCAATGGCGCCGGGAAGGGGAGAGCGCATGCGCCGGCCCCGGCCCCGCCCGCACAGCCCCGGGCCCGGCCCCGCAACCGCGCTGTGAGCGCCGCGTTCCGGGAGCGCCGCGTTCCGGGGGGCAGGAACAGCGATGGGGGGGGTTAGGAATGGGTGGGAGGGGTAGGAATGGGGTGGGGGGGGGGCAGGAAGGGATGAGGGTAGGGATGGGGGGGGGGGAATGGATGAAAGGGGGCAGAAAAAGGGGTAAAAGTAATTGGGGGGCAGGAAGGGATGAGGGTAGGGATGGGATGGATGAAAGGGGGCAGAAAAAGATTGGGGTAAAAGTAATTGGGGGGCAGGAAGGGATGAGGGTAGGGATGGGGGGGGGAATGGATGAAAGGGGGCAGAAAAAGGGGTAAAAGTAATTGGGGGGCAGGAAGGGATGAGGGTAGGGATGGGGGGGAATGGATGAAAGGGGGCAGAAAAAGATTGGGGGTAAAAGTAATTGGGGGGCAGGAAGGGATGAGGGTAGGGAGGAGGGGGGGAATGGATGAAAGGGGGCAGAAAAAGATTGTGTGGTAAACAGTAATTGGGGGGCAGGAAGGGATGAGGGTAGGGATGGGGGGGAATGGATGAAAGGGGGCAGAAAAGATTGGGGTCAAAGTAAGGGGGGACAGGAAGGGAAAAGGGTAGGGATGGGGGGGGAAATGGATGAGAGCAAAAAAGGGGTAAAAGTAACTGGGGGGCAGGAAGGGATGAGGGTAGGGATGGGGGGGGAAATGGATGAAAGGGGGCAGAAAAAGTTTGGGGGTAAAAGTAATTGGGGGGCAGGAAGGGATGAGGGTAGGGATGGGGGGGAGGAATGGATGAAAGGGGGCAGAAAAAGATTGGGGGTAAAAGTAACTGGGGGGCAGGAAGGGATGAGGGTAGGGATGGGGGGGAATGGATGAAAGGGGGCAGAAAGAGATTGGGGGTAAAAGTAATTGGGGGGCAGGAATGGGTTGGGGGGTGTGGAGGAGGAGGGTCGGGAATGGATGGACGGGGGGGGTGATAAACACATAAAGGTATTGGGCTTTGTGAGTCATAGGTGTGGTTGTGTGGGTATAACTAGGAGCTGACAGCAACAAAACTGGCTAAAGACAAGGCTAGACAGCAAGTTAAAAACCTTCAGATCTCTTGATTGAAACGGAATCACGGAGCAAAAAGGTAAAAGGGGGGGGGTGATATAAGGAAAGCCTGGAAAACCAGAGTTAAAGTACTTTTTTAGCTTAGGTTGTAGAAAGAGAACAATGTTTATGTTGTAAGTCTGTGGGATGTACTGGCCCCGCTAAACATGAGTTAGTTTCACACCAGTCTTCTAAAGTATCTTTAGTTTTAAAGAGCGATGTTTGTGTTGTCTGTGGTGAGATAACAGGCTTTAGTGGCCCCACTAAACATGAATGAGTTATTTCACACCATCCTTCTCATTATCAGTTGGTTTAGAGGCAGAGCCTCCCAAGGCTCTGCTAGCTTGGGATACTCCTTGTCTGCCCATCCTGCAACAAATTTTGCAGGAAGGTCACGCTGTTTTAAATCCTTGCTAGTTATCAGAATAATTACAGATATAGCTGGTTGTGTGGTTGCCGGGGGGTCCAGCTGTGCCAGAGGTGAAAAGTACACCGTGAGGAAGACTGCTTACTTCATCTTGAAGACCCCTACTCACAAGAGGAAGACTGTTTACTTCATCCTCAGGCCCCCTGCTCACAATCACCACAGAGCAGTGCGCAGACGCCAAGAGGAGGAGACTTGTGATAATAAATTCTTGAAGCTGTAGTTATAATATCCCCTTGCGCCTATGTGCGGGAATTATGAATATGCGTGTAACTGATGTAATACTGACAGTATATAAACCTGTACCAAATGCTAATCCCTTGCGCCTCTGGCTGCGGTCAGGCACTAAACCCTCATTACCTCGTTTAGAGGAGTGAGTTCGTATTTCACAGGCTGCTGTCACCGCGCCAGCCTGGCCCCAGCGGTCTAATCCCTTGCGCCTCTGGCTGCGGTGCAGGCGCCCAGCGCTGTTGCTTTTGCTTTCTTGCCTTTGTCCCTCACTAAACCCTCATTACCTCCTGAGCTGCTTTTGAGCATCCCTTGGTGGTGCAACCTCACCTTCAGCACCCACTATCAGCTCCCCTGAACCAGCTCTGTTTCTGTTCTCCCAAAGACTCCCATCTCCACGCTGGAACTGGCTCTGTTATAACTAAATGTGCTGCAGCTCCCAGCTTTGTTGGTGTGGATCCCAGGATTTCTCCTGACATATGTTATTTTCTTCCGAGGAGCCAGAAGCCACAGCAAACAAACACTTTAACTGGCACTGGGAACACGGGACATGGGTTTCTTAGTGCTTATTTGTCTAGAAAGAGCCATAAATCCTCAAGCTTCAGGGCTTAAGCCAGGCTCTGGAGCTGGGCTTAGGGACACACCTCTTGTCTGGGTGACTTAGAGACAAGGGGAGGGAGAAAACGCTCTGGGGCCATCTGAATGCAGACACAAAGGGAGATGTGGGGGTTAGAGGGTGGGTTGGGGGGCTTGGAGTGCTGCTGGTGGTGGCCCGAGATGGGTCTGTGGTGGGACACTGGAACCAGCCAGATGTGCGGTGGATCCACGTCTCAGCATAGGGTGAGGCAAGGGGAAAGCCTTCTGTCCTCCTGCAGCTCATGGAGCTCTTCCCCATGGAGGTGATGGTGAGCTACCTGTCAGCAGCAGCACCAGTATCACTGAATTTAGGTACCAGCTTTACCCGCTCAGAGCCAGGCCCGGGTCCAGCTCTGCTCTGGGGCAGGGTGGTGCCATTCCTGCTGCCTCAGTTTCCCCTTTGCTCTACAGGTTAGGTTTTCCTGCACTGCAGTGTGATGTGCTCGGGGCAGGGGCTCTATCCCACATGAGCGCATCCCTCTGGTCCAGCATCGCTCCCTTCCCTGCAGGATGGTCCCTCTGTGTGCCCACAGCCAGGCGGTGCTTGGTGGAGATGAGCTGAGATGGGGACAGGGACCACAGCATGGGGGGGGGGTTGGCCTGAGGCTGGTGAAGGGTGATGCATCCTGATTTGGGGGGGCTAAAGGAGCATCCTCTGGGGCGGGGAAGTGGAACGGGGTCCTTCCCATCCCGGTTGTGGAACATCCCGGGAATGGGTCACATCCCCCTTTCCCTCCCAACCCTCCATGTGAGGAGCATCTCCTCCACCGCTGAGCAGCACCCCTCGCCCTGCAGCCCCAGGGAGGGAGCAAAGAAGCCACTGGAGTCTTTAGGGGTGACTGGTGCGGTCCCTCCCGGCACCACTGCCCCATAGAGGACCCCCGGAGCGGGGGGTGATGCCACAGGTTGCTGAGGGCTCTGTTGTGCAGCGCTCCCCCCGCCAGCCCTGGCGCTTGCTCCCTCTCCCTCTCCCTCCCTTTCCCTCTCTGTGCTTATCTCCGTCTCTCCGTGTCTTTCCCAGACAAAAGCAGCCTGAAGCCGTGCCTGACGCCTTCGGGATTTCTCCTGCCCTTCCTGCCCCAAAACCTCTCTGAGGGCAGGCACAGGGGGTGGCTGGAGCGGGTGAAGTTGCTCCAACCCTCCCCATCCCCTTCCTCCTCCTCTCTCTTCTGCCAGGCAAGGTAAGACAAGCAGTGGCTGCTCTCCAGTTGCTTTCCGCACCTCTCTAGCAGGCTGGGCTGCGTGTGCTCCGCAGGGCTCTGTGTGTCTCCGGGTGTCTGGGTGTGTGTATGTGTGTGAGCGGGCTCTTCCCTCCCCAGGCTGTGCACAATCTCAGCACAAAGCTGCTCTCTGAACAGATCTCCCTGTCATAATATTTCTGCAGGCACAAGCCCACACTGTGCAAGCTGCTGCTTCCCTGCCTTGCCTTTTCCCAGCTGGATGCTGAGCCTCAGCATCCCTGTCCTCCCAGAGCTGTACAGGCAGCAACAGTGACTGCCCTCTGTGGATGGGGAGGATGCTGCTGGGGGGGGCCAGGCTGGTGCTCTCCTGGGTGGGATATCCCAGCTGTGAACACATGCTTTGGGGTAAGGGAGGACTGACCTTGGCAGGGCGAGGGGGGACTCTGAGCCGCCTGGTGAGGCTCAAAGCACCAAGGACCTCGCTTGTACTTGGTGCCTGGGGGGATGGAGAAGGGTTGTGCTGCCCCTGGGGACCCTGTGTGTGTCCTTGGCTCTGGATCCATCCATGGGGCTGGCTGCTGTAGGTCCAGCACACTGAAGGGCGTTTGGGCTACAACCTCTCTCTATGGCTCAGCCCAGAGCCCAGCAAGGCAGGGGTTAACCAAAGCCTGTGTCAGAAAAGCTGTCTGCCCATGGATGTAATTGATGGCTCCAGAAACAGGGCCTGGGACGTGAATCATGGCCCTTGAGACCCAGCTCTGGGGCCAGGGGATGACTGACAGACTGCACAACCTGCCTCTGCTCGGGGCTGTCAATCCCGGTTCAGCCGCGTGCTGCATCGTCTGTGCCACTGCTGGGTGGCTGGTACCACGCTGTCACCCCCAGCGGGTCCGCAGCGGTGCCGGGGTGAAGCACGGTGCCTGTTCTGCTGGTTTCATGCTTGGAGTTTGAGGTGAGGGAGAAGATCCTGGAGCTTCCCAGGAGAGGTTCCCACAGGTCTGCTGTGGTTGTAGAACCACGGGATGGTTTGGGCTGAAGGGACCTTAAAGCTCCTCCAGCTCCAACCCCTGCCACGGGCAGGGACCCCTTCCACTAAAGCAGCTTGCTCCAAGCCCCTGTGTCCAACCTGGCCTTGAACACTGCCAGGGATGGGGCAGCCACAGCTTCTCTGGGCACCCTGTGCCAGCGCCTCAGCACCCTCACAGGGAAGAGCTTCTGCCTAAGAGCTCATCTCAGTCTCCCCTCTGGCAGGTTAAAGCCATTCCCCTTGGCCTGTCCCTACAGGCCCTTGTCCCAAGCCCCTCTCCAGCTTTCCTGCAGCCCCTTCAGGCACTGGAGCTGCTCTCAGGTCTCCCCTTCAGGAGCCTTCTCTTCTCCAGGCTGCCCCAGCCCAGCTCTCTCAGCCTGGCTCCAGAGCAGAGCTGCTCCAGCCCTCGCAGCATCTCCATGGCCTCCTCTGGCCTCGCTCCCGCAGCTCCACGTCCCTCTGGTGCTGCTGCCCAAGTGCTTGTGTTCTGTGTCCCTTCCATAGGTGCTGCCCTCAGCCAGCGAATCCCCTCCCTGCCCCGGGACTGGAGAGCGCTGCCTGTGCCCGGGCTCTTCCAGCAGCGTTCCCATGGCTGCTCCGGGAGCAGGGGATACCGGATCCTGGCTCTGTTGGAGAGCCCCGAACGGTGTCTCCTGTCTCGGGTTTGCTCCCGTGGGGCTGTCCAGCAGCTACCAAGACCCCAGGGCAGGGTCGTGGTGCTCCTGCTGTGGTGCAACAGGCTCCGGCACCAGCCGGGCTGCTCCCGTGCATCGCCGCGGGGCACGGGCTGTTATCATCCTGACGGGCCGCTGGATGTCAGTGTTGATCGAGACAGATGGAGAGAGGGATGCCCACGGAGCTGCGATAAACCCGGTCTGAGCGGCGCGGGATGACCCGGCTCCTGCTCGGACCTGGCGCTGACACATCCAAGGGAACCCATCTGGGGCTGGTGAGGGGCTGCAGTGGGGTGATGCAGCCATTGAGCACCCAAACCCGTGTCCATCGCATGGAGCACCGGGGTGGGCTGCGCACAGCTGCGGGTGCGTCCTGGGCAGCCAGAGCTGCCCCTGGACCCCTTCCCATGGGGATGTGCCACAGGCAGGACACGGCTTTATCCCGGTTATCCGGGCCTGGTGTGGTTCTTCTTGTTGGCTGTAGGTGCCACGGAGCTGGTGGTGGTGGCACTGCAGGGACCACAGCCTGCCTTGGGTGCTGGGCAGTGCGCTGGGTGCTCAGTTTGCTGTGTTCTAGTCAATGGGTGAAAATACACCTTAGAAGAGCGTTACCCTGCCTCTCTCTGATACACGTGGTCGAAAGCTGGGTGCTTTGAGGGCACATCAGTGCTCAGGGATGCAGGTGGACCCAGGCAGCGCTCCGGGCATCGCGCCCACTTTGCAGGCAACCAAACACCCTCTGCAACCCTGCCCTTTGCAATCCAGCCCCAGACATAACCGAGTGCTGGGCAGTGCGTGCTGCCTGCACTGGGGATGGAAGCTCCGCACGTCACAGGGACCGTCTGCAGACGTCGGAGCAGCATCAGCACCTTCCCCGTTAATCCTGCACTGGAACTGGCTGGGATGTAAGCATGGTGCCAACGTCACTCCCTCCTCTGTGGCCATGGAGAAGAGCAGGTTGTCAAGGAAAAAGCATTTACAAAGCTAAGGGGAAAGACAGCATCCTCGTGGGCCATGTCCTGAGTGGGACAACCTGTGCCCCCAGCCCTGAGCTGCTCCCCAGCCCGGTGGCATTATGGATGTGGGGTATTTCTGCTGATTCAGGTGGCTGAAGGCATTTGCCAAGGGTTTTGCCTTCTCCTCCCGTGATGCCAAAGGCAGTGTGAGGATGCGGGTCGGGAGGGGTCTGTCCAGGTCTGTGGGATGGCCCATGGTGCAGGAGGCAGAGAACATGGTGGTGGGAAGGGGACACGCTGAGGACCGGGTGGATGCAGGGATGCTCTGTGCAGCAGTGGTGCTGGGCTGATTTTGGGGATGCCAGCTCCCAGCATGGGGATGCAGCCTGAGGCCTGGATAGGGACCAAGTGCTGCTCCCGGAGCAGCACAGGCAGGGTAGGGAGCAGCTCTGGGGTTGGTGGTGGGCTGCTGGGGGGGCATAAGAGAGAGATGCCACCCCTCCCACTGCTCCCCCAGCGCCAGCCTCTCTGCTCTCCCCTTTCCACGCTGCAGTCACTGGATGGCGATGCTGACACGATCTGTGTGGAGCAGCCCCCGGGCTGTGCTGGCAGCAGCCTGATGGCTCCCAGCCCCATCCCAAGAGGGAAACCAAGTGGGAAGAGCCCTTGGAGCCCTCCCTGTCCCTGTGGGGCAGGGCTGGGGCAGGGCTCCTCTGAGCCATGCAGGAGGTGCAGGAGAGGAGCTGCTCTGCTGCTTGCTTAACACAGGGCATGGCACCGGGTTCTGCATCCTGCCAGGGGTCCCCTAACGCTTGTACCTGACTGGGTGATGCAGAAATCCCCTCTGGCAGAGCAGCTCCATGGCGGACACAGGCACTCCCTGTGCAGGGGGGGTGAATCACTTCCCAGTATCCCGATGGCCTCTGCCACACCTGGGCAGGGAGATGACCTTCACTCCCTCTCCCTGCCGACTGCTGCCTCTACGAGCCCTGTTAGCGTGGGTTGGAGCACCCTGGTGCATGATGGGCTCATGGAGAACTCCCGTTCCCCTTGGATGCATCCCCCATGGGCAGCTCCTGGTGGGATCAGCCTTTGCAGTGGAAGGTGAGGAGGATTGAACTGGGAATGGCCAAGGTTACTGGCTGGGATTCAGGAATCTGCCTTGAGCTTACAGCCCCCCATCACCTTCGCTGCTGTTTTACCTGCCCTGGCTGCTCTCCCCACCCCGGCCAGCCCTCTTTGCTCCCTCTTTTCCCTCTCTTAATGCCATTTTCCTGCCTGGGTGCTCGGTGAGCTCGTGGCCTTGATGTCTGCCCTTCACATCTTCCATAGCATTTGCATCTAAAGGTGGTTTTAATAACACAGGGCTGCTAGGAAATGAGAAACTGATGGATTTCAGTGCTCCTGGCTCCTCCTGGGCCTTGTAAATCACTGCATGAAGCATCGCAGAGCCAGCCAGGGAGAACTGCTGCCTAGCAACTTCTCCCGGTGCCCCAGGGGAGCTGGATGTGGCCCTAGAGCTACCTGAAAGGTCTCCTTTGAAACCTCCTGTCTTGGGGGAGACGAGCTGGAAGAGAGGAAAACTGCTCCGGGGAAAGGGGAGCTTGAAGTTGGCAGAAGTCGCCTCTTTGCATGTGAATGTCTGTGCTAAGGAGGAGGGATGAGTCAGCCTGTGCGGGAAGGATGTGGTGCTGAGGGCAGCAGAGCTCTGTGCAGGGGGTGAGGGAGGGCAGGAGGGAGCCTGGTGCTGAATGGGGACTCTCGGGACCACAGCCCTGTCCCAGAGGAACCGGTTGGGTCGGGGATGAGGAGGAGCAGGAGGGACACAGAAGCTGCCCCCGCATCGTGCCCAGCCTGGAGCAGGGGGTGTGGGAGCTGGTGGGATGTGCCCCATCCCTGGCAGTGTTCAAGGCCAGGTTGGACCAGGGGCTTGGAGCAAGCTGCTCCAGTGGAAGGGGTCCCTGCCCGTGGCAGGGGTTGGAACTGGGTGAGCTTTAAGGTCCCTTCAAGCCAGACCAGGCTGGTTCTATGGTTTATGATCCACCACTGCAGTGCTGAGCTCTGGGGCTGCCTCTCCCCAGCCAGGCTTAACCTGAGCCTGCTGCTTGTGCCAGCAGGGGTGTGTTTGCCTTGTGTCTTCCCACCAGTCTCTATCCCCATCCCCACCAGTGGAGCCATCAAGGCCAGGTCTCATCTTGGCTCAGCCACCTTTGTGCCCCCAGTGCTGCAGGAACCAAACCGAACCGATGGGGACACCTCATCCAGGTTCCTTACTCATTCTCCCCATCCTACATCCCTCCAGCTCCCGGTGTGTGACCCCACCAGCACCCACAGACCCCCGGGAGGATGCCAGGGCTGATGAACCGGAGCACCCGCTGCCCACTGCCCCTCACCGCGGCCGAGGTGACGTCCTGTGTCCGCGGCTACGCCTTCGGGATGAGCGCCTTGCTCACCTACCGCAACCCAGAACCACAGGCTTTGGAAGGCAAGTTCCATGGGGTGAAACTGCCGGTGCAGGAGCTGCAATGGGAGCTTCGGAGCCACTGCAGGGCTTGGTTTCTGTGTGTGGCTTAAACCTCGAGGTGCTCGTGGGAAGAGAAACCAAGTTGTGTCCTCAGTTGTATGGTCCAAAGCTACAGGGTTTGTACTTCCTGGGCGGTGATGGAGTCACCGTCCCTTGATGAGCTTAAAGATCTTTTCCAGCCTGGCTGACCTCATGATTCCATGTGTTTTTAACCGTGAGCAGCAGGGCAGTGCCATGGGGCGTCCTGCCCCACTGCGATCCTGGCCCATGGGTCTGGGCAAGGCTTGGTGTTGCTAAACCCCATTCTGGCCACAGGTCTCTTTGTCTACCCCCTGGACGAGTGCACCACTGTTGTCGGCTTCGAGGCGGCCGTGTCCCGGCGTGCCGTGACCGTGCAGATCAAAGACAAAGCCAAGATAGATGACACGTTCTTTGGGAGCTGCAGCTTCCCTGATGGAAGAGCTCGGGATGGAAGTGGTGAGCGGGTTGGGGATGCTCTAATGGATGTGGAGAAGAAGAACAGGGGAAGGGGAAAAGGGAGGTGGTGGCGGGGTCTGGCTGTCATATGCCATGGTGTGGAGGGGGCTCCTTTTGAGAGCCTGAGCCTTGGGTTGTGGTGCTCGTGTCCCTACCTCACCCGTTTTGGGAAGCATTGTTGCTTCTGGAAGGGGCAGAGGGCCGGGGCCTGGGCTCTTTAGGGAAACACCGGTGCAGTGATGGCTGTGACACCGCATCTCCCTGCGTGCGTGTTTGTGCAGGAGGGATTGTGATGGACGAGGACCTGGAGAGGATTGCGTTTGTGGCCAACCTGGGCACGGTGCCTCCCCTGGAAAGCGTCTCCATCTTCATCAGCACCTCCTCCGAGCTGCAGACACTGCCCAGTGGGGCCGTGAGGGTCCTTCTCCCGGCTGTGTGTGTGCCCAGGGTGCCCCAGCCCAGCCTGGACAATGCCAGCAGCTTTTCCAGCCTCCAGCTCCGCACGTACGAGCAACGCGGGACTGGTCCGAGGGGATGCGGGACTGGCAGAGGAGAAGCCTGGTTCTGCTGCAGGGATAGCATGGGATGGGATGGGATAGGATATAAAGGAACAGAACAGCATAGAATGGAATATAAAAGAGTAGAATAGAATCAACGAGGTTGAACAAGCCCTTTCAGCTCATCCAGTCCAACCCTTACCCCTGCACTGCCAAGGCCACCCCTAACCCATGGCACTGAGGGTGTGTGAACACCTGCAGGGACGGTGACTGCAGCCCTGCCCTGGGCAGCCTGTTCCAATGCCTGAGCACCCTCTGGGGAAGGATCCTGATCTCCACCCTAAGCTGGAGGGATGCTGCAGCTTCTCCTCCAGCAGAGCCACGGTTCCAGGGGGGCTGTGACACGTGCACGGTGTTCACTGGGGTTCATCTCCTGCAGGGACAAGCACCGCTGCGGACCGGGGAGCCCGGAGCCGGGGAGCAGGCTCTGCCTGGCTCAGCTGCTGGACACTGAGGCCACCAACCCCTTCGAGTACGAGTTCAGCTTCCACCTCGAGATCCGCGGGCCGTGCTTGCTGGCAGGTAGGAGCAGGGCAGTCCTGCTGCACCAGGCTGCTCTGTCACTCCTCGAGGCAGTGCCCACACTCTTCCTTCTTCTGTGCCACCCACGATGTGGAGTCTGTTTTGGCAAGTTCCTGTGCTGGGGTGGATTGGCAGTGCTGGTGTTAACGTGGTGTCGATACAGCAGAAGCAGCTCATAGCCCGCTTGGTTCCCGTCCCCTGCCATCCTGCTGCCTCTCCTCCCTGGGCCTCCCCATGCTCAGTGCCTGACAGCACCGTGGTTCCCTGGGCAGGTGTGGAGAGCCCCACACACGAGATCCGAGCAGACGCCGACCCCTGCGCCCGCTCTGCCAGGAGCATCGTGATCACTCTGGCCAACAAGCACACGTTCGACAGGCCCGTGGAGATCCTCATCCACCCCAGCGGTAGGTGCTCCGCTCCTCACAGAGCCACAGCCTGGGCTGGGCTGAAGGGACCTTAAAGCTCCTCCAGCTCCAACCCCTGCCACGGGCAGGGACCCCTTCCACTGGAGCAGCTTGCTCCAAGCCCCTGTGTCCAACCTGGCCTTGAACACTGCCAGGGATGGGGCAGCCACAGCTTCTCTGGGCACCCTGTGCCAGCGCCTCAGCACCCTCACAGGGAAGAGCTTCTGCCTAAGAGCTCATCTCAGTCTCCCCTCTGGCAGGTTAAAGCCATTCCCCTTGGCCTGTCCCTACATCCCTTGTCCCAAGCCCCTCTCCAGGTTTCCTGCAGCCCCTTCAGGCACTGGAGCTGCTCTCAGGTCTCCCCAGAGAAGCTCAATGTCTCACCCCTTTCTGGTTGCTCCTCCTCAGTGCTGGGTTAGCTCTGGTTTCACAGATGCTCTCAGGGTTTAGGCTGCCCAGGAGATAATCCCGATCCTCTCAAGTCTGTCCATGCTGCTTTCGCTCTGTTTTCACCACTGAGGCTTCCTGCATCTCTGCCAAACCCCAGGATTAGCTAACGCTGTTCTTCACCCCATTCTCTGCATTTCCAGAGCCCCACATGCCTCACATCCTAATGGAAGAAGGTGACATGACTCCTGCCGAGTACGAACGACACCTGAAGGGGAAGAATGATTTCATTAAAGGCACTAAGAAAGACCCCAGTGCTGAGAAAAAGGTGAGAAGCACAAGCTGCAGGCGGCAGCTGAGGCTGGGACTGGAGCTGAGCAGGGAGGCTTTGCCTGCTTGCCTGCAGCACTGGATGTTCCCCTGGCCCAATGAGCTCTGCAGCATCTTCCCTCGGAGAGGGGCTTCTGTGGAGGATGAGAGGAAGATTCTTCAGTGGTTTTGATAAATGGAGTGTGGAAGCAGCTCTGAGCTGGTTATTGTGTGTATAATTAGTGCTAGTCTAGCACAGCATAATTAGATAGGTGCATTGTTATAGCATTAAGGGTATTATAGTTATTGCAGTGACATAGAAGAGAATATCCTTTTAATTGCGCAGTAAATGTTTACTGTTTCTGGAGCTGTCAGGGAGGAAGAAGTGGTTTTTGCTTGGGATAATGAGCTGAACTGAAGACAAGGTGGGAGAAACTGCTCTTTGTTCTGCTGATCAGCAACTAAAGCGATATCCGCTCGGGAGCTGTGCCTTGTCCTGCAGCAGCTCTGAGGCACTGAGTGACAGCCCAGCGCGGACCTGCCACATCCGTGTCTCTGGGATCAGGGAATGGGAACGGGCTGCTCAGAGCCCTCCCAGTCTCCAGGGTGGGCATCTTCCCTCACAGCTCACATTGCACCGTGTAACCACAGCCCTGCTGTTCCTGTGACACACACCCCGGTGTTAGCACTGGTGGCCAGGGGTGCTCATTTCACCTTAAACCCATGGATCTGAGCCTGGTTCCCCCATTTACAGACACCCCAAACCTGCTGCACCCTGTACTGCCGGGATATGGGGATTGCTCCTGTCAGTGGAGACGCATCAGACTTCTCCTCATCCCTCTTGCCCTGCGCTGTCTGATGCAGGAGCAGGACTGCGCCTGCAGCATCTCCTCTAGTGGTGTGCAGCAGGGGGAACAAAGTGGAACTCCCACGCTGTGGCTCAGATGGATCTCTAATTATTCCTGTCTCTTTAGCATGTCACGTTATGGAGTGTGGGGGGATCATTCCGGAGCTATTTCCCTGCAGGAAACCCACCTCTTTGCCCCAGGAGGACCAGGAAACAGCTGCATGATGAGAGGCAAGAAGCAAAGAAAACACCCCCAGTATGGGGGGAGAGGAGGGATGGGGCTTGGAGCAAGCTGCTCTAGTGGAAGGGGTCCCTGCCTATGGCAGGGGTTGGAGCTGGGTGAGCTTTAAGGTCCCTTCCAGCCCAAACCAGTCTGGGATTCTGTGATTCCATGGAGTAGATGTTACACAAGATGTCATTTGGCTGGAGGAGAATGGGGATGAAAGAGCCTTTCATTCCTCAGCGCCTGATTAATGTGCACTGCAAACATGAGAGGGAAACGCAGGAGGATGAGGGTGACAGCGAGATGCTTGTTCCTGTGAATGGGAACTGCATTTCTCCGGGGTCAGGGAAGTGCCAGAGCTGAAAGCGAAGCTCGTGTGTATGTGTTGGTCCTCAGGGACTCTGTTATTCTTCACCTCATAGATCCAGGGATGTGACTCACGGCTGGGGAAGAACCTGGGTGCTGGGGTCTGGTTTGTTCCTGCTGAAACTGCCTTTGAAAGAGGAACTCAAAGGCAACCGAAGCCGCTGAGGCCGGAGGTGTTTGCTGTGGAGCGTGTTTCTGTGCTGCCCTCCCACTGAAGTGGGTCCCTCGAAAGCAGTGATGAGCTGATTCACTGCAGCCGAGGCCCTGCACCTGGGACTGCTTTATACCCATGGGAGCAGATGATGAACCCGCCACAGGAGGCTTTGTCCTGTGTCATTTTATCATGTCCTTAACGGAGATGGATGCAAAATGCAGAGAGCCGTTGGAGTTCTGGGGCGTACAGAGGCACAGCTCGTGTGGGTGCCTGTTGGGTGATGGCCTGAGTGATCAGTTCCCAGCTTCCCAAAGCATTTCATTCCATGCCAAATAAAATGATAAAGGAACGGGGCAGGAAAACCAGCAAACCAGAGGTGGGAGGCATGAATCAAAGCGGTGAATACAGCATGCTGAGAGCTGTATCTCACACTTCATTATCGAGTGACCACAGACAAAACCTTCGATGTGGGTTGCTCCTTTCAGTGTGATCCTAAACTGTGCAAATGAGCCAGGTTTTCCGTAGGGATCTAGTGAAGTGTTCGGAGAATCACCGCTGCAAGGTGCTGCGTGGGGCCAGACCTTTCCATTTCCTCCCCAGGCTCTCATCTGAGCGTGAAGCTGCTCCATGGGTGCTGGGGACCCTGGTTAAGGCTTTCTACCAGCCTTTGTCCCACGTGCAAAGCGTGAGCATGGCTTGGAGGAGGCAGGAGTCCTGCTCACCCATGGAGCAGCTCCACAGAACAACCTGAGCTCAGGTGGTGTCCACCCTGAGGCCAGAACAAGGCCACACACTTCCACAAGGGCAGAAGCATCACCTCCTCGAGCTCTCTCCTCCCTCCCTGCAGACGGAAATCATCCGGAAGCGGCTGAGCAAGGACATCCCCCATCACCCTGTCATCATGCTCAACTTCTGCCCCGACCTGAGGAGCGCCCAGCCAGGCCTCCGGAAAGCCCAAGGAGAGTTCATCTTCCTCATAGACCGCAGCAGAAGCATGAGTGGTGTCAACATGAACTGCGTGAAGGTACCACACGGGAGGGGAAGCGCCTGTGTGCCAGTGAGGCAGGGATATTAGAGAGCAGTGGGGGTTGCAGAGTGCTGATGAGTGTTCATTATGAGGGGATGGGGGGTAATTATACGCTGTGCCTTTAGTCATCACGACCTTGCGGCTTGTTAGGTACCTGCAGTGAAGCTGCCTCCTGGTTCTCTTCCTCTTCTTCCTGCCAGCACATCAAATGCAGAGATGTTTTCTCCCCTCTCTTGCTGGCTTGCATGTCATGTGCATCCCTTCCCCAGTTCTCCCTGCCTCCACGAGGGCTTGGGGTGATCGCTGCCTTGGAGAGGAGTCTCCAGGGAGCTCCAAGGGAAGCCTCAGGTCAATGCTGACCATGAATGGGGAGATACTTTGCTGATGGGCATCTCTGTGCACCCGCAGAGGGTGTTTGAACACGATGCATCACGAATGAACACCAGCAGTGCAGTGGAGGTTGATGGGAGGTGTGCTGAGACCTCTGGATAAGAACAGGGCTGTAGAAAGGCCTTGTCATGATGCTTCATGGGTCTGAGGTTCCCCTGTCAGAGATGCCTCTGATCCAGCTGCAGGTTGGAGGCCTTTGTGCTCCTGCTCTGAGCCCACTGCAGACCACTCTGTTCATCAAGGGGAAATCACTCCAGCAACTCAAGCACGCACTGAAGCCGGGTCATGGGGAGCTTCTCATTGACCAGCATCCCCAAGTCCTTCTCAGGGCTGCTCTCAACCCCACCATCCCCAGCCTGTGCTGATACCGGGGGTTACCCTGACCCAAGAGCAGGACCCTGCGCTTGGCTTTGTTGAACCTCATGAGGTTCGCATGGACCCACTCCCTGAGCTCATCCATCTTCCAGCCCATCCCTGTATCCATCGGTCTCTGGTTTCCATGGGAACTGCTGGAGGATGGCCACCTCCAGCAGCAGGGATTGGGATGCTGGGGAGCCTGAGGATGGTTGCAGCAGCTTCCCTGTTGTCCCTGCTTCCACCAGGATATCTCTGAGGTTGCACCCACTTCCCTCCGCAGGTTTTGGAGCCTGGGAATCAGGAAGCATCTCTGCCCTAGGCCAGACTTTTGCTTTGCTTGCAGCGTGAATGTGTTTGGGCACCGCAGTCTCTGCAGCCTCCATAGAGGCTGCTTTGTCCCATGGGGACGGGGACTCTGCAGGGATAGAGCCCTTCTCTGAGAGGTCCTGATCTGAGACTTCCATCCACAGGAGGCTGTAAAAGCAGCAAAAAGGCTGTTCCCCTTCTGGAAAACTGTTTTGGGGGAGATATTGGAGATTTCAGAGCGGATACCTCAAGGGAGAAAACCACTCCTGAGTCTCCAATCCTTATTTATCCCTTGCAAACCCCAGGGAGCTCAGAACAGGGGCTGTTCTTGGGGGGTTACCTTGATGGGGACATTTGCAGCACCCTCAGCTCGCTGCAGAGATGCAGATGGGCAGGGGATGGTTCTGCTCCACGCAGTGGGGAGGACGTGGCTCACTGCAAGCAGGGAGGTGCTTGGCCAAAAAGGCTGGGTGGAAAGTTCAGGGGTTTCAATGTCCTGCAGCTCCATTCCCATCCTGATGCAGGCTGGGAGAAGAGCCAGGCCCATGATGATGCCCACATCTCTGGCTAAACCAGGCTAATAACTGGGAATTGACCTCTCTGGAGGCAAACTTCTCTCCTCATTGAGTTGCTGTATAGATATTGAGTGCAAAGGCATCGAGATCAATATTTACCTCAAGAAGCAATAACTCTTTCTGTTTGCTGAAGCAGGAAGCAAGCAGTAGATGCCAACTTTGGGAAGCGCTTTCACAAATATTTGGGAATCTGTGGGGTTTTTAATTCTCCTTATAATTAGCTCCAAGCTGGGATGTCAGCGCTGAGGTTTGGAAGCGCTGCCATCCCAGGAGCCATCTGGGAAGCAGCAGTATAAATATATGCTCATAGGTTTGAGCTAACAGCTTGGTTTGAAGTACTCCAGAGCCTGCTAAAGGGCAGCCCTGTTCTCATCCATCATCCTCCAGCGCCCTGGCTCTGCCTTGCTGCTGAGTGTTAGTGGTCAGGAATGGTCCTGACCCGCACCCATGTCCCTGGGGCTCTTCCCATGCGGCTCCAGCACTCACCCTCTGCCCTCACTCGGTCTTTGCCACCGCAGATGACGAAGCAAGAAGCTGTTCTTGCTTGTTTGACCTTGGCAGCTCTTCTGGGGCTGGCTCTAGGGTTTCTGCTGCCCTCGGCAGACTGGCAGGAGTCTGCCTTTATCGGCATATAAGCAGAAAGAACCAAGCTTCTCCTGAACGCTGCCAGCACTTGGCTTTCAATTGGCCTCCCTCTCCTGCCACGTTAACTGCTCCTGCTGCCCGTGCAAGCTTTGGAGCTCCTTGGGCAGCTCTTGCCCAGTTGCTGCTATCACAAGCTCTCTGCTGGAGTTGTCCACGGCCATCACAGATGCCTGAGACAATTTAAATCGCTCTTCCCTTATGTAAAGACCAGGAATAGGCATGTTAGATAACCACCTCTGGTGAAGAAAAGAGCTAAAAACTGTCTCTCCCAGTTATTTTAATGGATGGCAGCTATGAATACAAGAGAATTGGGGATGGGGGAGGCTTTTCCTTTTGTGTGACTTTAAGCTGTTTGTTTATTTTCTGCAAGTTTGGACATTGAAATGCATTGCGTGTCGCACTTCTCAATTTCACACTCTGCTTCTCACCCACCAGCTCCATGCTGCAGCACTGGGTTGTGAGCACAGAGCCCGTCAGTTAGAAACAAACAGAAAGATTTGTTCAGCTCCTTTTTTGTGTCTGGTTTTTGAACGTTCCCCATTTTCCCCACTGCTTTGGACCCAAATATGAAGGAGCTTTGGAAAGAGCAGAGTAACGCACAGTGATTTCTCGGTGCGATGTGTGTAAAAGGAGCAGTTGGTTTAATACCAAATGCCCACAGCTAAATGCAAGTGGGAATAAGGTGTGATGGGTATGGGCAGAGCTTTGACTGGTGGAGCTGGTGCAGGCAGGGAGAGACTCAGTGTGCCTGATATCTGCTTTGCTTTCCACCCCGCAGGATGCCCTGTTGGTCATTCTCAAGAGCCTGATGCCAGCGTGTCTCTTCAACGTCATTGGGTTTGGATCCACTTTCAAGACCCTCTTCCCTGCCAGTCAGGCTTACTGTGAGGTGGGTGAAGGGGCAGCCACGATTCCTTGGTGCTCCGGTGCAGAGGCTGATGATTCTGCTGCTCCCTTGGGCAGGAGAGCCTGGCCATCGCCTGCGAGAGCATCAAGAGGATCCGGGCTGATATGGGTAGCACCAATATCTTATCCCCCTTGAAGTGGGTCATTCGGCAGCCCATCCACAAGGGCCATCCCCGCCTGCTCTTCCTGCTGACGAATGGGGCCATCAGCAACACAGGGAAGGTCCTGGAGCTGCTGCGAAACCATTCCTGCTCCACCAGGTATGGAGAGCAGCAGGGCCAAAGGGGCAAAAGCCTGGTATGGTGGGGATGTGCTTCCCCCATCTCACAGACATCCCCACTGCAGAGACAGAGGCAGGAGAGACTGCTGGTATGAGCCATGGGAGAACCTCAAAGGGTTTGGAACAGATCCCAGAAGTTCAGATGCTTTTGAAACAATCAAAAGCAGGATAATTGGGCTGACAACTTCACAGGCTCTCGACTGATGCTTCCTGCTAGGAGAGATTGACACATGAACGAGCTTCCTCGCCGTGGTGGGGCTTTAGGTTTTTTAAAGCACATCTGGGTCTGGCCCCATCTGCTTCCAGGATGGGGCTGTGCAGAATTGAATGTGCTGAAAGACAGCAATGTAAAAAGCAGCTAATTTGTGCATCGAGCTCCCAGCCCTGCTGACGGCTGCTCTGCTTTCTCTGCCTCTTTAAGGGGCATGAAACACCAGAAAAATGTAGGAAAACCTCATTCCTCTTCAATCCCTCAGACTTTGGGCTTGTCAGGGAAGATGCTCTGTGGGGTTTTCTTATATGGGGGTCTAACTGCTGTCCAGCTATATAGGGCAGCCCACCCCTCACCCTTGTAGGGTGATGATGGTGGGCTGAATGCAATCAGAGTGACCCTGGAAGGCAGCACCCAGCCGATCCCTGTCTCAAAAGGAGATTGGAACCTCATTTAAGAGGGGTGTGAGGCTGAGCTAAGATCCGCAGCTAGGGATGAGAAAAGCCTCTGCTGTGGATGCAGTTTGCTGCAGAAGGTGGTTTCTTCCTCAGCTACCCACAGCCCTGGCTGAGTGCTGCATCCCCACATCCCCATCCCTCCCGTACCCATCCCCACCAGGCACTCTCACTCCTGCTCTCCCTGCCTGGGCTCCATCTCGGCTCTGGGCTTGCAGCCTTCAACCAAACCCTGCCTCATGGAGCTGGGAGTCGGGGGAGCAGCCTCGCCTGGTTCCTCCTTCCTTGGTTTTACCCGTGAGCAGAGACCATTACTGGGGCTTTAGCGCCCGTTGAGCACAGGCACTCAGCGGGGGAAGAGCTGAACCGGCAGCAAAGCAGCTTGTTTGTGTCTGCAGAGGAGGGGAGGGCTGGGGTCCTGCAGTGGGATGGAGCCGGGCCAGGGGGAGGGAGGGCAGCGAGGGCCGGGCCCTGGATGCCGATGCTCCGTCTCCCCGTGCAGGTGCTACAGCTTCGCCGTGGGGCCCGGCGCCTGCAGGAGGCTGGTTCGGGGCCTGGCGGCCGTGTCCAGGGGCAGCGCCGAGTTCCTGGTGGAGGGCGAGAGGCTGCAGCCTAAGGTAGGGAGGGCCCCGGCCCCCCCCAACCCCGCCAGGCTCTTGCAGCGCCCGGTGCCGCGGGGAGGGGGGAGGCTGCGGGTCCCGTTCCCATCATCCCGGCGCTGCCTTCCCGCTCCCGCTCGGCTGCAGGTGGGCGCGGGAGGGGATGAGGGACCCGCTCCATCCCCAGCCGTCAGCGGCAGCGATGCTCACCCCGCCCGCGGTGGGGAGAAGCGAAGGCTGCGAAACAGCATCAAAGGAGCTGCTGCCTCCGGCACCGGCGAGGGCAGAGGGACCAGATCCGAGCAGCCAATTAGTTGTGAAGCCAGGCTCAGCCCCGGCGCTGCTCTGGCGAGGAGAAGGGTTGCAGGGGGAGGAACACGTTGCTATTAAGCCAACTTCAAAGCAAACGGGGAGCCTCCTCCTTTCTCCCCATGGAGTAAACTGACGTGCTTCAAACAGAGGTTTGAGAACAGCTCTGTCCACCACGGTGCCTGGCCCATTGTCTGCTTGGTGCCCAAACCCAGAGACAATCGGGTCTTCAGCTCCTGAAAAGCTGGCTTCTGCCTTCTTGATCTCCAAAGATGGAGATCAGCAGTTCACCCCTCTGCGGGAACCTGGAGCACACAAAAACCTCCCTAACACGGAACGGCATCAGCATTGCTGATGTAAATTAAAAGTAAAGACACTGAAGGGAGAGGGTTTTTTACAGAGCTATTAATAAAGAGCTTTGCGGGCTGTGCCTTCAGCAGTCTGAGGCATCAGTTAATGGCCTTATAAAACACAGCCTGGTGTGTCTTCCTGAGCCTGTGCAAAAGCAGGGAACAATAGAAAATAGTGGAGCTGTTCTGCCTCAGATCTGGTATTCAGTTTCCCTTGTGTGCACAGAAGCTCTTGTAGATGGCTCCCTATTAGGCTGCTCCGTGGACACTGGTCACCTCCACATGCATAAGTGGCAAAGCATCACTCATCTCCAGCCAGAAAGGTACCAAAAATAACAGTGCTGTTGGTTGGTGTGTGAGGGTCGAGGCTTGGGGCTCACACAACTGGAGCTCCACAGCATTTCCTGGCTGTGGGGGGGAGCAGGAGATGCTGCCTTCACCTGAGCAAGATGCCTTTGGCCACAAGCTGCCCCCTTGCTCTGAGCTGGGCAACATGAGGTGTGAGATCAGCTCTGTGCTTTATCCGTATCTGCTCTGCTGCCCTCAGTATAACCATGCCAAGGGGGTGGGATGGGTGCAGAGCAGGCTCCCACCTAAGGTCAGGAGAAGGTAGGAACCAGCTGGTGGGTTTCCCTGGGGAAGCTCTCCCCTTCCCTGCAGCACACGGTGTGTGCACCGTGGCACACATAACACCCAGGTGTGGTGTAACCGCTCCCCTCCGCTTCCTGCTCCAGATGATCAAGTCTCTGAAGAAGGCGATGGCACCGGTCCTGAGCGATGTGTCTGTGGAATGGGTCTTCCCCGAGAGCACCGAGGTCTTGGTTTCCCCCATCAGCACCAGCTGCCTCTTCCCTGGGGACCGCCTGGTTGGATACGGCATCATCTGCGACACCTCCTCGTACATCTCCAACCCCAGATCCGTGAGTCCTCGCTGCATGGAGCGGGGCTGTTGGTGTGAGCACACACAGGAGGGTGTCATGGCAGGGTCAGGAGGTGTCTCCTGTCCTCAAGGGAGAGGATGGGGGAGACACTGGGGAGAAATAGGAGCTTGGATACAAGTGCTGGTGCTCCTCTCATCCGATGGACACAGTGGTGGGACCTGTTCCCTCTCTCTGCTTCCCTGCAGGACAGGAGGCGGCGGTACAGCATGATGCGCTCCCAGGAGTCGGGCAGCTCTGTTTTCTTCCATTCCCAGGAGGAGGGAGCAGGAATGGAGAGCTGGAATCACTCCAGAGACTCCGAGGGCTGCTGCCCCGATCGCCTGGTGGTGGGCAGAGAGCCCGGGGGAGAATCGGACACGGACACCGGTACGAGTGTGGGTGTGATGCCCCCGTCTTCCCAAACAAGCTTCTGTCTCTGCTCTGCCAATTTGCTTGGCTGTGTCTCTGCAAAGAGACAGAAGCTTTGCGGGAGGGATGACAGATCTCCTGAGGCTTGAGCCTGTTTGCTTTGGATGTTTTATCCAAACCTGTCAGGAAATCAAGGGAAGCTCTGGAGAACCGGTGTCCCTGCAGGGCTTCAAAGCAGCTCCTGCTTTGGCCATGTCATTTGGCCAAGCTTCCCAAGCTGCCCTCCTGTGTGCAGAGGAGAGGAGTGAGCAGATGCCCATCTAGAGCAGTCGCTTCCCTGCAAGCCCTGATGTTGCAGTCAGAAAAGGGGGAGAATGATCCATTCTTTTCGGTCTAGAGCCAGAACTCAGCACGGTACCGGCTATTTGGAAGAAAATAAACCCTATCCCAGCCAAAACCAGGACAGGATCCAAAGCTCTGTCCCCAGAGCATCACCTCTCACCGTCGCAGTTTGGCCAGTGCTTGTGTGGTGTAAAGTGGCTGGCTGCACCTCAGAGACAAGGAAACCTGTTGCTCACGGGATGTTCTCCCTTTTTACCCAGGGAGGATGTGTGCTGCGCATCCTTGTCAAAAGCAATGAGAATTCCTGCCTTTCCAAGTGAAATGTTTCCCTTGCTCTGACAGGAGAACGTCTGCACTAATTAAATTGCATTAGTAAACCCTTTGTCTTCTCCAGGGAGGTTTGGGGAGATGCAGGCAGGTTTGTTCTGGCTGAAAAGTGCTCAGACAGAACCTCCCCAGCCTGCTCTCCTCACGTCCCAGGTATCTTGGTGCAGGCTCCTATCTCCTTTGGTGGTTTCATTGCTTTGCTTAAAGCTGTGCAGGGCTGAGTGCGGCTCCCTGACCCCTGAGGACCATGGGGTTGGACCATGAGCCAAGCGGGATGGAGCTGATCCTCTCTCCCCCACGCAGGAATGGATGTGAAGGCTTCCTCCCGGAGACGGGCGTACAGCACCCCCCCGGCCGCTGACCACGAGCCCTGCAGGAAGGTGCCCACATCCAGTGATCCCGACACTGCCCTGGGCAGGAACCCCCTGCGGAAAACCCACCTGCAGGACCTGCGGCAGCTCAGCCCCGAGCCCTGGCAGGGGGAGCTCCAGGTGAGTTAATCCCAGAGAGGCTTTGCAGGAAGATCTCGGAGGCATAAGGGAAAGAGCCTGCCTCGTGCTGGTCCTGAGGTATAGACATATATACATACATCTGTGTGCGTGTGTGTGTGCCCATGCCTTGTGCTGCAGCACATCTCAAACATGTAGGGGAAGGAAACTCAGTCCCAAATCAGATCGCAGAGTTGTAGAACCTCAGAGTGGTTCAGGTTAGAAGGGACCTTAAAGCTCCTCCAGCTCCAACCCCTGCCACGGGCAGGGACCCCTTCCACTAGAGCAGCTTGCTCCAAGCCCCTGTGTCCAACCTGGCCTTGAACACTGCCAGGGATGGGGCAGCCACAGCTTCTCTGGGCACCCTGTGCCAGCGCCTCAGCACCCTCACAGGGAAGAGCTTCTGCCTAAGAGCTCATCTCAGTCTCCCCTCGGGCAGGTTAAAGCCATTCCCCTTGGCCTGTCCCTACATCCCTTGTCCCAAGCCCCTCTCCAGCTTTCCTGCAGCCCCTTCAGGCACTGGAGCTGCTCTAAGGTCTCCCCTTCAGGAGCCTTCTCTTCTCCAGGCTGCCCCAGCCCAGCTCTCTCAGCCTGGCTCCAGAGCAGAGCTGCTCCAGCCATCACAGCATCTCCATGGCCTCCTCTGGCCTCACTCCAACAGGTCCAACAAATCCATCTGGTGCTCCAGCTGGAAACACAGCCTTTGGGCTGAGCCCTGGACCTGTGTGCTGATAGATCCATGTTATGTCCCCTGCCTGCAGCAAATAGCAGGTGAAACTGGGGACGACATTTTCACTGTCCTGTGGAAGGGTAAGGGATGGTTTTCTCCCATCCTTGCCATCTCCACGATGCTCTGCTCTGAAATCAGCATCTGCAGGGCTGGGAGGACCAGCAGCGCTTTTGTTCCCATGGAAACTCAGAGAGGGATGTCTGGGGCTTTGGTTTCTCTTCTGCTGCAGGTTAGAGATGGGCTGGGTGAAGGGGGCTGGAGGTGAGACAGGTGGATATAGGGGAAGAAGGGCCAGTGCTGGGCAGTGAGCAATGAGACCTCTGCCCTCCAGCGGCATCGCTTGGCCAAGCGTGAGCAGTGCTGGGGTTTGGGGGTGTCAGTGACCTCCCTCCATTGCGAAGCTCCACAGAGCACCCTCCTGCCCGCAGGGTGCTCAGCGTGAAGGCAGGGATGGGAACGACTCCGTTCTGGAGGCAGTGAACAGTTAACAGCGTGTATCCTGCTCGTAATTAAATGCTTCTGCTCCCGCTCCTGCGGCGAGGGCTCCCGCAGCATTCCCAGCCCGGGTCCTGCTGCCAGGGCTTGACATTTTCGGGGGTGTGAACGTGAGCCCTCGGCTCATCTCCACGAGCACCGTGCTGGGAAGGAAAGGTCAGAGCCTGTGATGGGCAGCTCAACCCCCAGCTCTGCTCCTGCCTGCCTGGGGGCTTCAGCAGGAGAAGGAGCAGGAACACAGTGAAAAGGGTCTGGCAGGAGCGTCTGTGACCTCCTGCCTTTGGAATAGCTCAGTCCGAGCTTGGCAGGGAGCTCCTGTCTCCCGCTTTGCTGCTGGTCCCATAAAGCATCAGGAATCGGGTGGTGATGGAGGCCAGGTTCTTCCTGCCACTCAGAGAAAGCATCTTTCCATCCAGCCCTGAAATCCACTGCTTTGTACCACCTCTGCCCCTCGCTGGTGTTGTGCAGAGAACATGGAGGGTCTGTGGGGTCTTCCCAAAGCCCTGCAGATGGGGATAGGAACAGCCGGAGCTCGGTGTCTCTGCTGTGCAGGGGGGGATGTTCCTGTGGGAATTGGCACCGGCGATGCTGGAAGGGGGATTCATGATCCTGAACGTGGAGAAAGAGTCTCATTAAAAAGAAGAAAGATAAAAATTCCCTGCTCGCTCTCCCCTGCGCCTCTCCTCCCGTTACCAAGCAACTGGTCCTTGATCTTCCTGTCTCTTCTTCCCTCTGGTTCCCAAGTGAAGTCATTAAAATGTCTGGAGGGGTGGAACTCATATTTCACCTTCCGCACGTCTGGGGAAGGAGCCCTTGGGGCCAGGGTGCCTTCGGGACGCCCCGTCACAGGCAGGAGGGCTCTGTCTGGGCACGGATCCCAGCCGGGGCCATGTTCTGCACGGCTGGGATCAGGCAGGAGCAGAAGGGACAGAGCGGGTCCACGGAGCCAGCTCCAGCCCTAACGTTTGCTCTGCTCTCAGCCCTTCACAGCCAACCCCACGAGGACGCTGGGTGCCCGGCGCCCATCCCTGCTCCACCGCGGCTGCACCTCCTTCTGCCACGACGCCGAGGCCCCGCCGGTGCCGGATGGGCTGCAGCAAGAGGGAAGGGGCTTGGGACCACTCGATGGCAGCGGGAGGCCGCGGTCCTCGTCGGACAGCAGGAGCCCTGGGGACCTGGGTAATGGGGACAGGGGAGCACAGCCTCACCGGGGTGCTGGTGCTGGTGCATTGAACTCCATGTGGGTATTAGGAATTGTGGTTTTGGGGAGCTCAGCTCCCGCAGACAGGATTAACCCCCTGCCTCTCCCCTCTCTGCAGAGTCTGCCCAGCATCCTTCCTTCACGTTTGAAACAGAGACCTCCTCTGACTGGGAGCCCCAGGACCTGGTCCTCAGCGCTGACTGCGGCTCCCCACGCTCCCCCAGGACCCTCTGCAAGGCGGTGGTGAAGGGGCTCAGGATGGACGAGCCCGTGCAGTGGGAGGTCACCTTTGATATCTGCCCTCTCTTCCGAGAGCGGGAGAGCCAGGAGGAGGGTGACACGGACCCATGGAGTGAGACCTTCCATCACCTGGCAGCCAAGTCGGTCACCCGGGACTTCGAGCATCTTGCTGAGAGGGAGTGTGAGATCGAGCATGGTAACGTGCAGCCAGCCCTGCCCTGCCTCGGGGTGGGCTCCCCAGCAGCCCCTCCACTTCCTAGAAGAGCAGGCAGTGGTGGAATATTAGGGAATGTCTCACTTGTTCCCAAATGAGATCCCGCTCTGGCTGCCTTGTGCTTTTCTCCTCCTCCTGCACAGTGACATGCCCTCTGGTTCACATGCTGAGGGACAGGGCTTATCTTTAAAGAGTCAGTTACCTGGAGCTGGGAGGTAGCATCAAACTCAGAGGGTCCAGCAGCAGCCACACACCAGTGCTATGGGCTGCACGTGTCATAGAACCATAGCTTGGTTTGGGTTGGAAAGGGCCTTAAGATCATCCGGTTCCAAGCCCTGCCGTGGCCTTGGGTCTTGTCAAGCTTCTCCTCCATGAAGTGTGTGTGTGCATGTAAAACAAGAGTGGAAGAAAGAGCTTAGAGGGATGCTTTTCCTACAGGGCATAGGGCCAAGCATTGAGATGGGTCTGGGATGGAGCCCACGGGGTGTGTGGGCTCTGACCCTGGTGTCTCTGCCATGGCAGGGTCCGGGCGGCGGTACCAGGTCAATGCTGTCCACACCAGCAAAGCCTGCAACGTCATCAGCAAGTACACGGCGTTCGTGCCGGTGGACCTGAGCACCAACACCTACCTGCCGACCATCGTGGAGTACACACACACGGGTACTGGAGGGGAAACACTGCCTGGGGGGGAAACATCATCAGTCTGAGGAGCTCATCGCACCTTATGTGTGCCAATCCCTCTCTCACACCGGCAATTCCCCTCTCTCGTGCCAAGGGGCAGCATCCAAGCAAGGCAGCCAGCGGAGCCTGAGGTCGGGAAGCAGGAGGCATCGTGGCTTTTCCCCTGGACGGCCCCACTCAGCCTGCTGCCAGAATGGAGATGATGGATTTTACAGCATGAGTAAGTTCCATGGGGTTTTGTCTCCTTCCTGGTGTGCTGCTCTTAGTGCTTTATAAGGGGCATCCTCTTGGTCTTCTTCTCTCGTGCCTTCCTCTTTGACTACGGTGCTCACCAGACACATGTGTGGCTGGAGTCCCTCTCCAGTTCACCCTGGAACACCCAGCTCACAGGCAGTGCCTCCTGACAGTGCTTGGAAGTTAACTGGCAGGTGTAAAGCAGATAACATGAGGGACGAAACCGGCTGCAATCAGAGGCAAAGGGATGGGAGACACTTGGCACTAAATCCTTGGTTGCGCTGGACCTTGTCTGGCATTGTCAGATCTGCAGCTGAATTAAGCTGCCCCTAATGCTTATTAACCTGATAGTGCTGTGGGGAGGGAGGCAGAGTGGCCGTGCTGCAGCCGCTGTGATGGGGCTGCTGAGTCGGGGTGTTGCTGATGTGGTTCCTCCATTGCAGATGCAGAGGAGAGCAGCCTGTCCCCCTGCAGCACCCCGTCCTCATCTGCCTGGGAGCGCTGCGGGCTCCCTGAAGGTAAGGGAGGAGCTGGTGGTGTTGCCAGGGTGCGGGGCCAGCTTGGCCATGACCAGGTGGGAATTCCACAGGGAACAAGGCGAGGAGAAGGGAAGGATTTTCCCACGGGCTCGGCAGCAGCAGGAGCACAGACTCTGCTCCCTTGTGCCCCCTCTAGCACCTCGGTTTACCCCCAGCTTTGTGTTTCTTCCCAGGGCCGCTACCGAGCCTGTCTGCTTCCTCTGCACAAGCCCAAAGATCCATCGAGAGCCTCTTTGCTGCTAGGTATGGCCCAGCTCCACCTTCCTCTGGCCTTAGCAGATGCCTTGCTCTACGGGTCCAATGCAAACGCACGCGGGGGACTGAGCGTGCTGCCGGTCGCTGGGGAGCAGGGATGGTTTGCGGAGGCATCACGGAGGTTAGAGCCAGCTTTTCATCTGCTGCAGGCTCACCCTCAACAAAACCAGGCTGCTGATGCGAGCTGCCAAGGGCTTCATGAGTAAACCTCCCAGCAGAGTGGGTGAAGGCAGCTCCGAGGGCGACAATGAGAACGTAGACTACCTTCCCCTGGTGAGCAGCTCCTCCCGCGCCTGGCTGGGGTTGTGGGGAGGGAAGCAGAGGGCAGGAGGATCCCCCCGGCTCCTGCCTTGTGCTGTCTCTGGTGGCCTTTTCCCAGAACTGGCATCTCAGAGCTTCCCCATGTGCCACCATTGCAGGTGTCGCTGCAGCTGGCCTGCGGTGCCTTCCTCATGAACCCAGCCTTCTGTGATGCCGTCAACATCCCCATGGAGAAGCTGAAGTGGACGTCTCCCTTCGCCTGCCACCGCCTGGCCCTCAGCCCCTGCGGCTCCTCCAGCACCAAAGCCAGCCCCTCCGTGGAGCACAAGAGGCTCGGCTCCAACCAGCAGCTCCTGGTTCCCAACGGGCACGGGAAGAGCCCCAGCACCAGAGACCCCACTTTGGGTGCGGAGGGTGCCGGGCGCCCGCGCCACTCCTCGGGCAGCGCCGTGGAAAGCATCTCCAGGGCCCTGAGAGCCGAGAAGGAATTGTCCCCCCCAGCCATCACCATCCGCCGCTTCTCCTCCCCGGAGAGCACGGCAGAGGCAGCCGGGAGGCAGCCCAGCAGCGGGCAGGGCTCGGACACCGACAGCAATGAGGTCCAGGCACTGCTCTTTGCCATGGAGCTGCAGCAGCAGACGGAGCCGGAGGGGATGCTGTGGGCCACAGCCGTGGCGCTGGCCTGGCTGGAGAACAGCTCAGCTTCCTACTTCATCGAGTGGGAGCTGGTGGCTGCCAAAGCCAGCCTGTGGCTGAGCCAACAGGACTTCCCAGAGGGATACAGCCTGGCCACGGTGAAAGCTGCAGCCCAGCAGCTCTTTGTGCTGCTCCGTCACTGGGATGAGAATCTGGAGTTCAACCTGCTGTGCTACAACCCAGGCAGTGTGTAAAGAGGGTGAGGAGAGGGGCTGGGGCAGCTCACCCAGGAGGGCACGGGAGCAGGGACCTGTCCTCGAGGAAACACCTCCAAGGAGCTCAGTACATCCAGTACAGGGACAGGGAGCGCCCGTCAGAGCCAGCCCTGCAGACAGCAGCAGCTCAGGCAAAATCAGTGCTCAGCAGTTGTTTTGCCCTGGGAAGGTACCTATTGGTTGCCCACAGCTGGAGCAGCACCTCCAGCTGCAGCAGCTCCCTCCGGTCCAGGTCTCAGCCCTGTTCCCAGAGCAGGTCTCCCCAGTGCCTGCTTGGCTGCCTCTGCCCAGCCCCAAATCACTGCCCAGCCCTGAGCTGCTGCTCTGCCGAGGCTCCTGCCTGGCTCCTGCCAGCTCGGATGTCCTTTGGTGGAGACAAGGGCTCGTCTCGTGGACCAAAGGGAATCCGGGCTGGCACTGAGCAAAGAGCATCCCTGCTGTCCTGGCCGGGAGGATGCTGCCTTGCCTTGAGCCCAGCACCAAGCCAGGCCGATTGGAGGTGGCTGGATGCAAACTGCGGCTTTGTTATTCACCATCGTTGACTGAGGGCATCCAGAAGCTGATGGAAAAGGAGGAGGAGGCAGGGAGCAGAAGCTGAGAGTGGGCAGTTCTCAACCAGAAGCTCACTTGTTATGAGTCAGTGGTGTTCCCAGGGGGAAACAGAGGCTCCAGGTTTTGGGGTAGCTTCAGTTTTCTGCTGGGAAAGGCCCCAGTTCTGGTTGCATTTGGACTAGTTTTGTCTGGAGGCTTGGAAACCTCAAAGGAAATGCAGTCAATTCACAGGCACAAGGGTTTGGGGCCCACTGCTGAGGAGGAACAGGTGAGAAGGGGAGTGGAAGAGCTGAAAACCAGCTGCAGAGAGTGGGGAAACTGAGGAAATGAGGGGCTATGGGGAAGGCTGTCTCCTCCTTAGAGAAACCTTCCCATGGAGGAAATGCATCCCCTCATTCCCCAGCAAAGCACCGCGAGCAGGAAGATGCTTTGCACCAAATGTGTGGTTTTTTTCTGAGCAGAGCTGGTGGAGATGAGTATTTGAGGTCTCGAGCAAAACTTACCTCTTGTTTTCTGCCTTTCCTCAGCTCCCTGCCCACCGTGAGCAGGGTTAATTCCCAGGGCATGAGCATCTCAGCCCTCCTGCAGTTACTGTGAGCTGGTTTCTGATCCCTTCCTTCTCCCAAAAGACTCCCAGGAGCTGCCCAGTTCTCTGTTAGTCTGGAGCCATTGGGATGAGCGTCCACCCCACTGTGAAGTCAACAGATCCCTTGTTCTGGATTTAGGAGCAAGCACATGGCACTGGTGCAGCCCTTCCTCCATCCCCTTGGCTTGCAGGGAAGGAAAAGGGGATGAAATGGGTGAGCCCCTTTTGGAGCCTGACGCTGCTCTCACTGGAGCTCTTGTTTCTCCAGCCCCAAGCTGTGCTGTCCACGCTGTCTCTGCCCAGTGCTGGGGCTCGCTCAGCAGCAGAGGATGCTCCAGGTGGTCCACGCTGGGACATGAAGGGAATCTCCTTAAACCTGCTGCCCGGGACACAAGGAGCTGGTGCCCTCACCTCCCAGTTCTCTCTCTGTGCCAGCTGGAGCTCAGTGCCCAGCCCCAGCAGGATTGCACCCTGCCTGGTGGCCCCAGGACAGGCTTCCCCGCAGGATCCATCCAGCGGCAGCTCCACGGATCAAGTGCCTATGGAGGGAATCGCACACCGTGGCTGCAATGCCCATGGAGCCTGTCAGAAACCTGTTGCCTTTCACTCCCTCCCTTGGCATGTAGCAGCCTCGTGGTGCTTCAACAGGTTTATGTTTCGTGTCTGTCTGTGGAGGGCAAGTGGTACCCAGGACCATGAGCATCCCTCTGGTCCCTGCTCTCGGGGTCCCCTCTCCAGGGTCGTGTTCTCTGTTGTAGCTCAGAAGTGTTGTTGCTGTCCCAGTAAATCACAGCTGCTTCACTGCCCAGTGTGAGTCCTTTGTTGTGGGGTGGGCTTCCTGGGGCCCCCTCTTCCATTGGAGCACCCCAGCTTGCTGGAGCATTGCGTGGTTCCCCCCAGAGCCCCCCATTCTGAGTTAGTGCATGAGTTGGGGGCTGGATTTCAGAGAGGAAGATGTTGCCTTCAGGTTCTGAGAGTATTTTCCTTACCTGAGGGTGCTGAGGTGCTGGCACAGGGTGCCCAGAGAAGCTGTGGCTGCCCCATCCCTGGCAGTGTTCAAGGCCAGGTTGGACACAGGGGCTTGGAGCAAGCTGCTCCAGTGGAAGGGGTCCCTGCCCGTGGCAGGGGTTGGAGCTGGAGGAGCTTTAAGGTCCCTTCAACACAAACCAGTCTGGGATTCTATGATAAAGCAGCCATTGTGTTTTCCATCCCAAAGCAGGAGGTAGGAGCTACATCACCCCTTACTTTACTGCTGGTGAGCAAGGACCCACTCTGAAGCCCTCCTGCTTTTGGTGACCTACGTATATATATATATATACATATCTATTTTTCCATAAAAAGAAAAAGTAGTTATGGCCCAATTTACCCCCTTTGGACCAGAGCAGAAGGACCAGCAGTTTCCATCTCTTGATTCATTAGTTGGCCTGTGGTTGGCTAATTAGACCAGTAATGGGAGCAGAACTAGCTGATAGGACAGGCTGGGAACTGCCACCTTCTCTTGAGACAGACTAGGTCTCCCCAGGAGCAGGGACGGGTGTCTCCAGCCACAGCATCTCCAGAAGATCCCATGAGCATCCCCCTTTGCATCCAAGGGGATTTTCACCCCCTTAAGTCATCATCTTAAGGCGGGGAGCTCCGATTCTGTTGCCGGGGTGACTGCAAGTGCCTTATTAAGAGAAATTAGTTTGGATACAGTTTAATAAATGAGCCCCTTTACTCTGTGTACATAAATATTTGCACACAGTGTCTGCACGAGGAGGGGGAGGCTTCCCAGCCCCGGGCAGCATCAGCCCGAGATCGATACCCAGGCAGGGGGGGGTTGGTTTCTGGGGAGAGAAACGACCAAATTGGGGCAGCCCTGATGCAGAACTGCACCCAGTGTGGGTGCTGGGGGTGTTATGGAGGCTGGTGGGACCTCGCAGAGACCCCTCTGCCCTGCCACCAGCCACGTTCTGCTGCCAAACACCCGCAGGGGCTCATTAGGCTGCAGCCGAAGGAGCTTTTCCTCGCTTTGAAGGGTTATGAAACCTGCAGAAGAGGGGGAGGATGGGAGAGCTTAAAAAAGAGCCGTCGTGTCCCCCCCCTCCGCCCCACAGCCCAGCCATCGCCTGCTGAAAAGGGCTGGCAACGTGTCGGCACCACTCAAGCACAGATTGCGGCTCGGCCCCCGTCCGCCCGCCGCCGACAGCGAGAACTTTGATGGAAAAGGAGCTTTTCAACAGCTTCTGCTGTGCTTTGTGTGTGTGTTCCCCCCATTGCTGCCAAGGGGAGTGGAGGGGCAGAGGCCACACTGCAGCCTCAGCGCCCCACGAGCATCCTTAGAGTGGTCCAGGGATGCTCTGGATGCTTTTTGCTCCGCATCTCTCCAAGTCGATGTGAGGTGTGATGCTGGGGAGGGGGTCAGCAGGCACCCAGACAAGTTCTCACCCCCAAGATGTGGCCCAGGGAGCGGCGTGGGGGTTGTTTTATCTTAACTATGGAATTGTTTTGCTTTGGGGATGGTTTTCCCTTTGATTTTCCCCATCTCGGGGCCCAGGCACATCAGTGGGGGATGCAGCCGGTTGGTGCCGTAGGCTTCATCGCTCCCGAAATAGAGCTCAGGGGCAGCTTTTGGGTGTCGGAGGCATCTGAGCGAAGTCATGTGGATGTTATGCAAGACTTGATGATAGGTTGTAAACAGCTATTAAAGTGATTGACAGGCTCAGGACCAAGTTTTGAAAGGGGGGGGGAAGAAGGGGAAAGATGAGTAATAATGATTAAAATAATTAGCAAATCGAGACGTCTCATGAATTAGGGGAAAGCTTTGTGAGGACAGGGGAAGGTGCGGTGAAGGAGTCGTGTTTGTGCTCCCCTGAACGCGGGTGGATGGGGGGGGATGCTGGGGCAGATCCTGAGCACATCAAGTTGGGAAAAGGGCTTCCTTTTCCAAGCCTCTGGTTCTGGGAGGGTTTCACATCCTCAGAACCAGCCCAGCAGCTGAAATGGGGCGGATTTGGGTTCACTGAGCACCACTGGGTCCCGACACCCCCAAACCCCAGGGGCTGAGCATCCTGATGAGAGCAGCCCGAGTTAATTAGGAAGAAACAAGCAGCTTATGGGAAAGACAGCTTCTATTTATATATAAATACTTCAGTAATCAGCAGAGAAGGGCAAGGGAAATCCAATAGAAATATGTGGCTGTTTAAGAAGCTTTCTGAGCAGAAAAGTTACACAATCGGGTGTGTTGGCCCCCCTCTATCCCCGAGCCCCTAAAACAGAGGGAGAAAAGGGTGAGCCCAAGGAAAGAAAGGATTTCCAGAGGTTCCTACCTATGGGAGAAGGGGAAATGAGGAGCCCCAGGAGCTCCTATTGCTGCAGTTCGCTTTGACCCCAAGCTCCCAAGCTCCAGCTCAGCGAGCTCCTCTCCTCCAACCCCGCTAACGTGGAGACAGAGACACACACATGGATTTCATGGATAAAAATACGCCTGTAGCTTTGCCACGGCTGCTGTCAGTGGGTGCTGACATGGTGCAGAAATAGCTGCCTTCACCACCTCCCTCCGCTCAGCTTCACCCTGAGCCTCCTGACATCAAAACAGAGGCTTCAGTGGGGCTTTAGGGCAGCCCCACACATACACTTTGCTGGGCATCACCCTAATGATGTGCTTTAGGTGCAAGCAGCCTGCCCAGTGCTCACCCTGGGGCTGAGAGCTCTTTAAGAAGCTGGGTTTGGACCCTTTTTGGGTTGGTTGTTCACACCCAGCACAGCCGCAATGGGTTTCTGTGATTTATTTATCCTAAAGGTAACATAAGAGCCAAGAGGAGCTCTGAAAGGGCCTCAGAGGATGGATAGGGCACGTGTAAGGCTCTGGGGAGCCTGACCCTGCCAGTGAGTGGTGGTTGCCCTTGTCCCAGGGCTCTGCTGTCCCTGTGGTGCCATTCCCCAGCCTACATGAGGACAGACAATGGAAACTGGTTTGAGGAGCTGGCATCCCTGCCCAAGCACCTCTGAAGTCACCTTTGCTGGTGCAGTTTGTGCTGGGATGAGATGCAGCCATGGGCAGGAGTCCTGCGAGTGCTTGTCCCCTCCCTGTGCAGCCCCCCAGGAGGCTGCTTTACTTGCATTTCAGCACTGAACCTCCTGAGTACACATTGGAGATGCTCAAGAGTCAGAGGTCTGTGAGCCTCCCCTCCTGCCCTGCGCATGGAATTAGGGCTTTGCTGTTAACCCTTCCTGTGCACGAGGCAGCAAAGAGAGGGATGTGAGCAGCATGGTGAGGTGAGGAGGGTTTAGGGTGGGAAGGTGTCAGGGTAAAACCACCCCGGAAGGTGGGATGAGCTGGCTGTCGGGTGTAAACCCCTTGGAGAAGGTGCTCTGCCTGGGGCTGTGGATCCTTGCAGCCCTCTCTTGCCATGTGCTGGTGCAAGGCAGGGAGAGGAGTCAATGCCAAAGCACTGTGAAGGGTAGAAGCAATGGATTTTGAGGGTGGCCAAATGCATCCCTGTTTGCTGATGTGGTGCTTGTCTAATGGTGGAGCTGGTTCCTTCTGGAGTGAAGACTGGAGCTGAAGGCTGATATTTGCTCCTCCACAGAGGGAGCAAATGGTGCTGGTCCCAGCCTGCCCAAGCCCTGCAAAGTGGCTCCTGTCCTGCTTGGTTCAAAGGCCTCAGAAAATGTTCTTCCCCTGAGGATACCCCTGCTCATCCCAGCCTGGTTTGGGCTGGAAGGGACCTCAAAGCTCCTCCAGCTCCAACCCCTGCCACGGGCAGGGACCCCTTCCACTAGAGCACCTTGCTCCAAGCCCCTGTGTCCAACCTGGCCTTGAACACTGACAGGGATGGGGCAGCCACAGCTTCTCTGGGCACCCTGTGCCAGCGCCTCAGCACCCTCACAGGGAAGAGCTTCTGCCTAAGAGCTCATCTCAGTCTCCCCTCTGGCAGGGTAAAGCCATTCCCCTTGGCCTGTCCCTACATCCCTTGTCCCAAGCCCCTCTCCAGCTTTCCTGCAGCCCCTTCAGGCACTGGAGCTGCTCTCAGGTCTCCCCTTCAGGAGCCTTCTCTTCTCCAGGCTGCCCCAGCCCAGCTCTCTCTGTCTGGCTCCAGGGCAGAGCTGCTCCAGCCCTTGCAGCATCCCATCCCATCCCATCCCAATCCGTCCCAGGGCTGTTAAGTGGATGCAGGTGGGTGCTGGATGCTGCAGGGTTGGTGTGAGCTGCTGGCTTTGGGGACTTGGCCACCTTTCTCCTGGGGTCAAGTTCCCCCTTTTCTGGGTCTCTCCATCAAGGACAGTGAAGGGATGGGGTCGGTCCTGCAGCCGGGGGTCACCCCACCATGTTAGGCATGGCTCCAGCAGCACCATGTCCCCAGCAGGAGACAGGCTCAGGCCATGGGTCCCACCCCACAGCACAGCTTTGGATGTGATCCCTGCTCATTTCTCCTCTCTTCCTGGGGCTGCACATGCTGCATGTGGCTTATGCAAGCGCCGGGAGCCTTGTGTAACAGTGCTGCAGGCGTTGGGCACGGCCACAGGGGTGGGTGGCTGCGGGGGTCTGCAGCATCTGTGTGCACAGGAGCATCTATGCACCCACCTGGGCTCTCCCTCCTGCCTGCACCCTCCCTGCATTCAGTCCTGGTGCTCAGAGCTGTAAGATGGATGCTCTGGGGTCTTGTAGCTGTTTGCTCCTGGCACACAGGTTAAACTGGGATGCACCAGACACAGGCACATACACCCCAAATGGGAGATGGGGATCTGTGCTGAGTGTATTCACTTTCAGGGGCTAAGGGATGGAGGCTGCTCCCCAGGCTCCTTGATGGGGCTGGCCTGGGGGGTCACAGCCCCATCAGCCTGGCCTCAGCCTCCCCTCATACCCTCTTCCATTGCACCAAGGTGCAAAGTGAGATTCGGCTACTATCCCCCTTGTTTTGCTGTGCTGGGTGTCCTTTGAGCTCGCCCCTGCCTTCCCAGCACCCTCGGCCAATTTGGGACCGAACCTGTTGCTATGGAAACCAATTGAGGATGCTGAGGATGCTGCTGGGGACTCATCCCGCTCCCTGCACAGGGTGATTAGCTTCTGCCTTTCCTTAACCTGCGTTATGGGGATGGTGCATTAACCTAGGCATTAACCCTGCTGGGAGGTTAAGCCCTGTGGGTGGTTACACCCAGAGAACAGCTCAGCTTTGCACCATGCTGGATCTCGCACGTCACTCAACCAAGCGTGTAGCACCTTTGCTGTAAGGGTTTTCTGCCCTTGGATTTGTTCAGGTCAGGTGAAGATAAACCCAGAGCAGCTTTCCAAAGGCAGCACCTCCAAACCAAGACCCGTCTGTTGCTGGTTTCCATCCCACTGGGGATGCTGGGGCTTGGGAAGGGCTGGGACTGGATCCCACCCAGCTGGGAGCTGAGCTTCACCCAGCTCCACTCATCACAGTGTGGGTGCCTCGGGGTTGAGGCTTCACACCCTGGGCAGGGTCTCAGATCTGTATCTGCTTCCTCTGGCCTTGACCCAGGGAATTAGCTGGTGCTTCAGGTTTAAAACAATGCTAAGCTGAGGGAATGCTAATCAATTGGAGCTAGGTGGCAAATCCAAAGTGCTTGCATGCAGTGGCATCAGCAACAACCCCCTGTACATGTGTGTATATCTATATGGGGGTGTGTGTGTATGTGTGTGCATATCTATATGTGTGTGTATCTGTGTGTGTGTGTGTGTGTGTATCTCTGTGTGTGTGTATGTGTGTGTATATCTGTGTGTGTATCTGTGTGTATGTGTGTGTATATATCTGTGTGTGTGTATGTGTGTGTATATCTGTGTGTGTTATCTCTGTGTGTGTATGTATGTGTGTGTATGTGTGTGTATATCTATGTGTGTGTGTGTATCTATGTGTGTGTATATCTATATGTGTGTGTATCTGTGTGTGTGTGTGTGTGTATCTATGTGTGTGTGTATCTGTGTGTGTGTATGTGTGTGTATATCTGTGTGTATATCAAAATTGGTGACTCAATAACAGAGTGTGTATGTGTGTGTATATCTGTGTGTGTATCTATATGTGTGTGTGTATATCTGTGTGTGTATCTATATGTGTGTGTGTATCTGTGTGTGTATCTATATGTGTGTGTGTATATCTGTGTGTGTATCTATATGTGTGTGTGTGTATCTGTGTGTGTATCTATATGTGTGTGTGTGTATCTGTGTGTGTATCTATATGTGTGTGTATATCTGTGTGTGTTATCTCTGTGTGTGTATGTATGTGTGTGTATGTGTGTGTATATCTATGTGTGTGTGTATCTGTGCGTGTGTATCTGTGTGTATACCTATATGTGTGTGTGTATCTGTGCGTGTGTATCTGTGTGTGTACCTATATGTGTGTGTGTATCTATATGTGTGTGTGTGTATCTGTGTGTGTATCTATATGTGTGTGTGTATATCTGTGTGTGTATCTATATGTGTGTGTGTATATCTGTGTGTGTATCTATATGTGTGTGTGTATATCTGTGTGTATATCTATATGTGTGTGTATCTATATGTGTGTGTGTATATCTGTGTGTATATCTATATGTGTGTGTATCTATATGTGTGTGTGTGTATCTGTGTGTATATCTACCTGTGTGTATATCTATATGTGTGTATATGTGTGTGTATTTCTATATGTGTGTGTGTATCTCTGTGTGTATCTGTGTGTATGTGTATGTGTATGTATGTGTGTGTATATCTATATGTGTGTGTATGTGTGTGTATGTGTGTATGTGTGCGTATGTGTGTGTATTTCTATATGTGTGTGTGTATCTCTGTGTGTATCTGTGTGTATGTGTATGTATGTGTGTGTGTATATCTATATGTGTGTGTGTGTGTGTGTGTGTGTGTAGATCTATATGTGTGTGTATGTGTGTGTATGTGTGTGTAGATCTATATGTGTGTATATGTGTGTGTATATCTATATGTGTGTGTATGTGTGTGTGTGTGTGTAGATCTATGTGTGTGTATGTGTGTGTATGTGTGTGTAGATCTATATGTGTGTGTATGTGTGTGTATTCGCGTGTGTGTATTGTGTGTGTATATCGTGTGTGTGTATGTGTGTGTGTGTGTGTATGTGTGCGTTGTGTGTGTATTTCTGTGTGTGTGTATCTCTGTGTGTTCGTGTGTTGTGTTCGTGTGTGTGTATATCGTGTGTGTGTGTGTGTGTGTGTGAGCCTGTTCGGTTCGCGTTCGTGTTCGTGTTCGTGTTCCTGTTCATGTTCCTGTTCGCGGTCACGGTCGCGTTCCTGTTTGTATCCATGTTTGTGTTCGTGTTCGTGTTCCTGTTCGCGTTCCTGTTCGTGTTTGTGTTCATGTTCATGTTCGCGTTCGTGTTCGTGTTCGTGTTCGTGTTTGCGTTCCTGTTCGTGTTCGTGTTCATGTTCATGTTCGCGTTCGTGTTCGTGTTCGTGTTCGTGTTCGCGTTCCTGTTCGTGTTCGTGTTCGCGTTCCTGTTCGTGTTCGTGTCCATGTTCATGTTCGCGTTCGTGTTCGTGTTCCTGTTCCTGTTCGTGCTCGTGTTCGTGTTCCTGTTCATGTTCGTGTTCGCGTTCCTGTTCGTGTTCGTGTTCATGTTCATGTTCGTGTTCGTGTTCGTGTTCGTGTTCACGTTCGTGTTCGTGTTCGTGTTCCTGTTCCTGTTCGTGTTCATGTTCGTGTTCGTGTTCATGTTCATGTTCATGTTCATGTTCATGTTCGTGTTCGTGTTCGTGTTCGTGTTCACGTTCGTGTTCGTGTTCACGTTCGTGTTCCTGTTCGTGTTCATGTTCGTGTTCGTGTTCGTGTTCATGTTCATGTTCATGTTCACGTTCGTGTTCGTGTTCGTGTTCCTGTTCGTGTTCATGTTCATGTTCGCGTTCATGTTCGCGTTCACATTCGTGTTTCTTTTCGTGTTCGTGTTCGCGTTCGGTTCGCCTTCGCGTTCGAGTTCCTGTTCGCGTTCGTGTTCCTGTTCGCGTTCGCGTTTGTGTTCGCGTTCGTGTTCCTGTTTGTGTTCGTGCAGGTTTGGAGCAAAGCCGGGGGGGGGGGGGGGGCAGACACCGGCTGTGGACCCGGGGCTGACTCAGAGCTGCATCAGCCCCAGCCCCACACCCAGCGCCGTGACTCACGCGGGGGGTTCGCGGTGCCCGGGGCGCTCTCCCTGTGGTTTGGTTTCATTTCCTTACCCCGGGAAGGGGGCGATGCTCCAGGGGCACCAGGGGATGCCCCCCTCTTGCCGTGGCTGCTCAGCACAGCAGCTCCACGGGAAGAGCGAGCGGGGTGGGACGATGCTGAGAGCCACTGGGAGAGATGAGGTGGGCGAAGCAAAGGATGGTGCAGGTGCTGTCTCTGCGGACATATGTCATTAATAACAGCCTTGCCTCAGCATGGAGGGAGCCCTAATTCCTCCGGCTCCTTCGAATCCCTCATGCTGCATCATGGGCTCTTCATGAGGGACTGTAGCAACAGGACAAGGGGTGATGGGTTCAAACTGAAACAGGGGAAGTTCAGGTTGGAGATAAGGCAGAAGCTCTTCCCTGTGAGGGTGCTGAGGCGCTGGCACAGGGTGCCCAGAGAAGCTGTGGCTGCCCCATCCCTGGCAGTGCTCAAGGCCAGGTTGGACACAGGGACTTGGAGCAAGCTGCTCTAGTGGAAGGGGTCCCTGCCCGTGGCAGGGACTGGAGCTGGAGGAGCTTTAAGGTCCCTTCAACCCAAACCATCCTGTGGCTCTCTAAGGTTGGGAACTGGCGCAGCCCTGAGAAGGCAGCAGCAATGCTCCTTTACCCACTGATGGCGTGAGAACGCTCCTGGGTTGCACAGGTGAGAGGCTGTGCAAGCATCCCCCCCAGACCTTTCCTGTTTCACTGAGGGGCACCAGCAGCGCTGCAGGGGCTGGTGCTTTGCTGAGGTTTGGGTTTGATTTGAGCAGCTGCTGCTGCAATTAACTCCCAGTGCAACTTTCCTCCTGTTTTGGGTGAGGTGTCTCCCACTTGTTCTTGTAACGCAACAGTTTGACACCTTGAGCAGTGTAGGAATGGAGACGTCTGATGCTCTGCTTCATTCTCATTAGTGGGAGCAGCTGTTTAGAATATCCTTGGAATCTTAACTCCAGGCAAAAAGAAGGAGCTTGGAGAGGCAGGAGCTCTGCTTCCTGCCTCCCAGAGGGAAGGGTTTGGGATTAGGTTCAGGATATTCCAAAGGTGTGAAATGTCACATCCTGGAAGCGGTTTCCTGACCCCTCTATTTAGTCCTGGTGAGCCCATGTGTGGCCCAGGAGGGAAGCTGGGCATGGGGAAGCATTTCCCATCCTCTGGAGGTGTTTTGCTTGGTGGAGATGCCTGGGAATCCTGTTAGTGCTTATCACAGCCCTGGGCAACTGAGTGGCTGGACCAGATTTGGTGTGAGAAAGGTGCTCTCCCCATCTCCCATGGGGTGCTGTGTGGGGTGCCCCAGGGGGACCAGTGGAGCTTGGGAATGAGCTCTTTTGTACCCTGTTTTCCCTCAGTTTTGTTGCCTCTGATCGTTATTCCCCCTCCCACCCCCCCAGTTTTAGCCCTTTGGGTGCTAATGTCGGTGTCCGAATATCCCACAGGGATAACAAGCGGGATCACAGAGCCTCAGTGGCCTCTAGTGGCTGTGGGACAAAGAGCCTGGGGACGAGGGACCTGCAGCCCCCCAAGTCCCCCAGACAAGCAGCAGTTTGGGTCCGCACCATCAGAAGCTCCTTTCCCAGGGCAATACTCAAAGGTACAGGGGATTTGGGCAAAGAAAGGGCCCCATTTGGTGGAGGAGCACCCAGCAGGAGGGTGCTGCATCCCAAATCCCCCTGGGCCAAGCAGGGGGCAGAGATTTGGAGCATGGGATTGGTTTATTCCTCATTCTTGTGTTAAAATGTGGGAGGAAAACCAGAGGTTTTCTGCAGGGCAGAATTCCCTTTATGTTTTATCCATTCCCATTTTGCTAAAGCACGTTTTCTGTTGGTATAAAACATGAGCCCCATGTGGTCGAAAACGGTCTTGAAGAACCAAAAAGGGTTTGATACCATTAAAACGACCAGTTTTGTGCCTCCCCCACCAAAGGTCACTAAACCTGCCCTATTGTGAGCGACTGTGATTTTCCCATAAGGAGAAGAGTGGGGAAAACTGTCCCCATTTTATTCCCCAAACCCACAGCATTTGGGAGCAGGCTGGAGCATCCCTGCCCTCGGCACACTGCTCCCCGTCCCACGCTGTCCCTCCTGGCTCCCCCCACAACAAATAAATCCCTTTGCAGGGGAGTGCTGGCCTAGTTTAACGTGCCCTAGTTCTGGTGGGAAAGAAGGAAACAGAAAAGAGACTATTTATTTTGGGCAGTTGCTCCATGGCCATCCTTTTGGGGGGGAAGAGCTGGGGGGGGGGGTTTACCCATTGCAACCCCCTGCCCTCGACCTTTGGGGTGGGTTTGTGCTTGTGGGTTATTGCAAACTGCTCTGGAGAGGTGGGAAATGACCCAGAATGAGCATCCATTGATGACTGCCCTGAGCCCCCCATCGCTGGTATCACCCCTTGGGAGTTCATGCGATGCAAAGGGCTGATGCTGCAATTGATGTGAGGGCTTCAAGCCTATAGAAACCAGTGGCTTTAGAGATGAATAAAAATATTCAAATATTCCCCCCCCCCCCCCCAAAGTTCTTGGGTGCGAGGGCCCTGCTGTGCTGGGGCAGCAAGTGCTTCATCACCTTCCTCCAGTGCCAGAATCCCTGCAGAAATGGGATTAAAGGGCATGTTTGGGTAAGGGAGTGGGAATTTGCAAGTGCTCCGAGTGCCACCTGGCCCTCTGCACCTTGCTTGTCCCTTGGCATCCTGCTCCTGCCATAGGTGCCAAGTTCCTCTTGGTGAATAACCCTGCAAACACCTCTTCCATTGTGGCTTTTGGGGGTTTATTTTTACTCCTTTTTATTTTCTTCCCACCACTGCCAAAACAAGCAGCCCATATGGGCTGGGGCTGGGTGGGTTTTTTTGGCTGTTTCCATAGGGATTTGATGCTGGAGCTGCTGGTGCCAGCTCCCCAGGGGGGATTCTTTTCCTCTGATCCCTGTAACCAGAGCCTGGTCCTGGCATCTCCCAGCCAAGGTCACCGGGGAGACCGCAGGCAGCGTTGGGCCATCTGTTAAATAATGTATGTAATAAACTCCTGCCCCGTGGCCAGCTTAATCCTTAAATCCTCCTTCAAAATATCATCTCCCAGTGATGCACAGCTGGGGGATCCCCAGCTCAGCTCTTGGGAACATCTTCCCCCTCACACCCCATCTTGCACCCCTCTTTCCTCATCCCTCCATCCCGCATCCTCCCTGTAAGTGAGCTCGCTGCACGCTGGGCTCTCCTGCTCCATTATTTATGTGTCATGCATGAAAGATGCATATAAAAGAGCAGTTTATAACGCACTGGAATCTCCTCTTCTTTCAGCCTCCCTTCCCCCTCAGGCTTTCTCTGGTTCAGCCTTGGCTGCTCCTGGGTGTCAAGGTGGCTTTTGGAGGCTCCTGTGGCCATGCATGGACCCCATCCCTGGAGCATGTGGGTTTCAGTGCTCAGAGGTGTGTTTGGTGACTGTGCAGTTGGGTCTGACAGACCCAGAGATGAGGTTTTCATGCAAAATAGAGGTTTTTTGGTGAATCTAATTAACCAACGCCTGCAACCAGCCCATGGTTGTGTCTTATGAGCTGGCCTCTGCAGATGCAGGATTCTCTACTCCTCCCCGGGCTTCTTTTCCTCTTCCCAAAGCCCTGGGCTTGCACTTGGATGCTGTCTGGGGCAAAACCCATCAGACTTGGGGAGGGGGAAATATCCCTCCATGGCCTAACTCACGCTTTGCAGGGGCATTGGGTCACCAGCCCTGGAGCCAAAGGGTTGGTGGTGGCCACTGAGTCCAAGCTGCACTGAACCCACTAAGGGGGGAATGGAAACAATTAGGGATTCATAATATATTACTGTAGTTTTATATCTACATATAGTTATATTATTTCCATTGGGATAACCCCCATACCCAGGACCCATTTCCCCTGACATGGCTGTGTTTTTGCCCCCTTAGTGCAGAAGTTTGCTCATGCAGGTCGCCCAGGCAGAGCCATAATGGCTCTTATGAGCCCAGGCTGTGACTACTAGTGGTGTTCAAAGGGGACCAGCTGGGATTTGGGTTTTGGTGAGAAGGGAGGAGGGCAGACAGGCAATCCTGGGATGAAAGTCCCCATTTCCCACAGCTTTCTCAGTAGTGAAGGGGATGATGCCTTCCTGCCTCCCCAGCATCCCCTTTTGGGACCTCCTATTGAATTTCCCCCTGAATCTGAGCCCCCGAGGCATTCCCTCATCAAACAAACTAAAGAATCCCATAGGTAAATATTAATTATAACTAATTATTAGGGGCACAGCATGACCCTGATCCCGAGGGGGCCGAGCTGGAGCTTTCCTTCATTATTTGGTGTGTTATTTGGGTGTCGGGGGCTCGCGGTGCTGGGTGGGAAATCACGGCAGAGCCACAGGGGTTATTATTACTATTATATATATATATTTTTACCATTTTTGTTTCATTTTCCTCTTTATTTGGACATCGCAGAAATAGCCCTGTGGAGTGAAGTGCAACATACACAATATCTCAGAAAAGGAGGAAAGAAAACCTTGCCCGGAGGTCGGTCACTCAGTCGCAAACAGAAACAAGCCCTCGCCAAGAGGCTTTTTTTTTTGTTTTTTACCTCTTTTTTATATGCACATCATGCAAAATAGTTCAAAAGAAAGATTAGAAAAGAGAAGTCAAAGAAAAACCCCACGAGAGATTCGCCCAAGCCCTCGAAAGAGCAGAAAACCCCAAGTGCTGCTTGACTCGGGGAGGGAATCGCTGCCCTCCGGCATCTCCAAGTGTTTGGCACTCTTGTGATTACATCAGGTTAGTTTATCTATGTCATTTGAATACAGTCTATTAAAGAAACGGCCACAACAGAAGGAAAATAAACCCCAAACCAAACAAATCACCACACTACAGACTGCAGGGTAGTTAGAAAAGCCGAGCACCCCCCACCCCCCTGTACATATAAAATCTGTCCCTTTGCTCACAGCAACCAAGAAATACAAGCTTTAAAAAATAGCCAGCGCTTCTTCCTCTAGGCCCTTCCTTTATAAAAGTTTGGGGGTTTCCCCCTCGAGAACCTTAAAACGTGACTAAAACGAAAGAGATATTTATATATTTTATATAGTTTTCCAACATCCAAAGACATCAACATAAAAAACAAACCAACCTCGGAAGGGAAGGGGGAGCGTGGTACATCCAAGTGCACGGATTCATTTTTGCAAGGTTAAATAATGTAAACAAGGTGCCCGCTGGGAATGCCCCTGGAAAGGGGGGAGACCCCCGGGGGAGGGGGGGGGTCTCGCTTCCACCCCTTCCATCTTTTGCCACCCCCTTTTTCCCTTCTTACCCCCCCCCCCCCCCCCAAGATCTCGCGTGGTGCAAGGTTCATCAGACCCAGAGGAGGAATCGCGAGTGATTCCGAGCCGCGGTGTCGCTGCCTCCGTTCATCCCTTGTGCCGCAGGTTGGGATAAGGGATCGGGGGGGGGGGGGTATTTTTCGCGATTCTCTCGTTTTCCAGTGGTTTATCAGTAGTTTGGTGGCCGTGGCTGGGCAGGGCTCCTGGAGGGCAGAGGCTGCGCTGCTGTGCGACGGGGACGGCTCTCCAAGTGCTCGCTCAGCATACAGGCGCTGCGGTCTTGGCGGGGGGGTTGGTGGTGGTTATTTTCTGCCCATAACCTGTGCCATTGTAAACCGAACACCCCCCCCACCCTCCGGCCCCGGCTCCCCGGGTGTCCCCGGGGAGGCTTTAAACATCAGGAGGGGCTTTTTCCGAGAGGTTTTGTAGCACATCATCGATTCGATCGTCTTCAATAACCACTAGAAAGCAGAAGAAAACCCCAGCGTAACCGTGGTGAATGCTCTGCTCCCCAAGCCCAAGGTCACCCCGCGGCGGTGGGCACCCTGGGGTGGGTTTTGGGGGTCCCATATCCCTGGTGTGATGGGCGGCAAAGCCAGCACAAAGCCTGACGTTTTGGGGGGGTACCTGGTGTGCTGTGTCCTGTCCCCAGGGAGGGTACCCAGTACCCAGCACAGTGCCTGGTGCCCTTCCTACACCCCGGGGATGGTCCCCAGGGCATGGTGGCTTGTCCCCGAGAAAGGTCTCTTTACCCCTGTGCCCTGGGGATTGTCCCCTGAACATGATGCCCTGTCCCTGGGGAAAACCCCTGCTGCCCTACAGCCCGGGACACTCTTCCATGTCCTTAGGAAGGTCCTTGATGCCCGACACCCCGGGGAAGAGCCCTGGGGCACGGTGCCCGACACCTCGCAGGGACCCCGCTGCATCGTGCCTGTCCCTGGGGACAGTCCCCGGCGTCCTGTATTCCTGCGGAAGGTCCCTGGGACACGGTGCCCCGCACCCCATAGGTACCCAGCGCACAAGGTACCATCCCCAGGGATGCTCTCCGCTTCCCTTCATCGCGGGAAGGTCCCGGGGACGCGATGCCCGACACCCCGCGGGGTGCTCCCCGTGCCCGCCGCCGCCCGTCCCCGCCGCACCCACCTCTCTTGCTGCGGCCGATCTGCCCCAGCTTGGGCGGCCGCTTGCCCTGCCCGCCGGCCAGGAGCCCGTCGGGGCCGCGGAGCCGAACGGGGAACGGCAGCTGCCCCACGGCCGCGTCCCCCGCCAGCTGCCCCTCGCCGTAGGGCGGCCCCTCCGACATAGGAGCGGCGGGGGGGGGGCCGCCGCCGCCGCCGCCCCCCGACAGCCTCCCGGGGCACGGGGCCCGCGGGCCCGGGGCAGCGGCGCAGCGGGGCGCGGGGCGGCCGCCCCGTCACATCCCGGCCGGGCCCGGCGCTGCTGGCGGCTCCGCGGCTGCGGCGGCGGCTCCGGCGGCGGCAGCGATAGAGGAGCGGGAGGCGGGACCGGGCGGGACGGGGCGGGAGAGGATCGGCCCCCGGGACCGGCCCCGGCACCGCCCCCGGTGGGCGACCCCTCGGGGTTCCCCCGGGGCTGCCCCACCGGAGCGTCCCGCAGAGTCCCGGGAGCTCGGAGCTGCCCCGCAGCATCCCCAGGGAGCCCGGAGCTGCCCCAGAGCATCCCCAGGGAGCCCGGAGCTGCCCCGCAGCATCCCCAGGGAGCCCGGAGCTGCCCCAGAGCACCCCCAAGGAGGCCGGAGCTGCCCCGCAGCATGCCCAAGGAGCCCGGAGCTGCCTCACAGTGTCCTTGTGGAGCCTTGAGCTGCCCTGCAGCATCCCTGAGGAGCCAGAAGCTGCCCCACAGCTCTGTCTGGGGAGCTCAGCGCCTGTCGCCAGGGAGTGTGGGCTCAGCCCCACATCTGCCCAGCAGAAATGAGCCATTGTGGGGCCTCTGGCACTCCATGGGGGGCTGCAATGCACGGAGTCGGTCAGGGCATGCGTGGCTGTGGGTCCCCAGGACGTGGCCCTACACAAGCTGCTCCTGGGGGATTGCCAAAGGGCTTTGGGGTTGCTGAGAACTTTCCAATGGACTTTTTCCTAGCAGTGCTGCCACAGCAGAGCAGCTCATTGTGGTTATTGCTCAGCAAAGGGCCAGTTTGGGGAAGACCAGGGTTATAGTTCTATACAGCCCCTATATATGGGGGTGGTGGGGGGTGTTCTGGCATCCCTGGTGCATCCTCTGCAAAGCTGAGCTGTGGGCGCAGTGTGGAAGGCAGCAAAAAGCCCATTCCCACAGACTGGGTTACAACTCTGCTCATGGATTACTTGGGAATCATGGAATGGTTTGGGTTCAAAAGGGCCTTAAGATCATCCAGTTCCAACCCCCTGCCCTGGGCAGGGACACCGTGATATAACAAATACCAGGCTGTGCTTTCAATATAGGACTTGCAAGTGACTCAGATTGATGCTGAGCAGGACCCGGTCAGGATGGGGTGTCCCATGCCCAAGGACTGGGATGTGCTGCTCCTGTACCCAAACCCTGCGTTTCCCAAGCCCTCAGCTCCAGGAGCCCCTCTCCCGCACACCCCCGAGCTGTCAGCTCCTTACATAAGGTTGCGTCTCCGCCCGAGCTATCACGGGGGAAAGATGGAAATCGGAGGAGAAGGGGATGGGGAAAGCACAGCCCCCCCACAAGGGTATTTTTAGGCTCTGTGTGACAGTGACAGCTCCAATCCCCCGGCAAGGCGCTGAGGCCACATCCTGCCCCGCTCTGCTATGGGGTGTGTGTCCATGTGTCCCTCACGCTGCTCCTGAGGAGAGGACGAGGCCGTTTGGGGTGGTTGGTCCCCAGGAACCACAGGGAGAAGAGGGAGGGCTTGGCCATCTGGATCCTGGCTTTTCCCATTGGGATTCTGGGTTTCTGGCGTGCAGGCAGTGCGCAGGCAGGCAGCCACCGCCATCTACAGCTGATGTTCCATGTGCTCTTCCCCCAGATCCTGGGGGTTTTGGATGTTCCTACTCCAGGCCCCTAAAACAGGGGCTGCCCACTTGGTGTTCAATCAAAACTACAGTGCCCCCACAGCAAACATGGAGTGGCACACTGGGTTTGCTAACCCTCGTGAGTGCTGGCACTGCACGTGATTTGTGACAAAACAAGGGATTTGGGAATTTTCCTTTTGTGGATTCACCGTTGCGGATAAGGGGCCAGTGGGGTTGGATTCAATGGGGGGGAAACAGGATCCCAATGCCAACCTTGATCACAGCTTGGGGTGATATCCCCTGCTCCAGGGCTCATCAGCACAGCCTCACCCTTGTAACGATCTGAGACAAACACGCTTTTGAGCCTATTTTATTACTTTATACCCTATTTTGCTATCCCAGCTCAAGCCACAGTGTTTCCTCCCCATTCTTGTGTCCTGGTGCAATATAGTCCCAAACCAATATTGCAGATGATGGCAGAATCACTTGTGTTCACACACAAATCCACTCCCTGGCACTGGGTGCCAGTGTGGCTTGAATTCTGCAGCCTCTGAGAATCCTCAATATGCTTTATTTCCCCCCACTATGTTTTATAATGCAGGTAAGGGCCTGCAGGTTTATGAAGCAAACCCTTGGACTCCAACTCCTAACGGAAGAGCTTCACTGTGTCTCCCAGCCAAGCACCAAGCCCGTTGTGAGGACTCATCTCCCCCCCCCACCTCTGGAGCACGATGCGAACCCCCATCAGCTGCACCATCACCTTTAAGCCCCGGCTCTGGCTCCCAAGTTGAAGCACCCGCTCACTCAAGCTCCCTCCCCTTCCCTAGACCCAAGCAGCAAGGTGAGAACACCCCTTTGTGAGAGGAGAAGAGCTCCCCCCCCCTGCAGGCACTGAATTTAACTGTTGTAGAGAGGAACCACCCTGGCGATGCCCTGCCGGCAGATGGGGCACCGCCGGGGCTCAGGCAGTGCCTGGTAGCACTCGTTGCAGGAGCACACGTGCCCACACTCCAGGAACACGCAGGATTTGGTGTTGCTCAAGCAGATGACACAGGCGTTTTTGAGTGTCTCTCCCCCCTCCACGTTCATTTCCCTCATGAGGCGCTCCTGGGCCTGCCGGAACTCATCCTGCATCTGCCTGAGGTGCTGCCGCTCGCGGTGGTGCTGGTATTGCTTCCGGAGGATGACAAAGAGGATGGCACAGGTAGCGAAGCCAAAAACCACAGTCAGGATTTTCCAGAACCGGACGCTGGATTCTTGCCTGTGGAGCAAGGAGTCAAAATCCATGGCGCTCAGGTAGTAGGGCATGCCCTGCTTGGGGGGCTGCAGCTTGATGGTGGCGTTATCCAGGACCAGCTCGCCCACCCCGGTCAGCGCCGTGCCCACCTTCAGCATCTGCTCTGTCTCCTGGATGCCCTTGGGGCGCTCCCCGCTGATGTAGTGGCCGATGACATCTGTGAAGGACTGGACAGAGGGGTGGAATTTCTCATACACCGTCTCCAGGCTGAGCTCAGCCGCATCCAGAGGCTTCATCACCCTCACGGTGATGCTGGGGGCACCTTCCTCCACAGGCACCAGGTCAAAGGGAGTTGTGTTGGTTCTCTGGTGGATGATCTTCTCATAGTCGTTCCTGGAGAAGGGGATGAAGCAAAGGTGAGGGCTAGGGTGTCCCCAGAGGCCTGTTTTGGGGATTGACAGACATGATGATGATCCTCAGGGGGCTGGAGCACCTCCCATACAGAGGCAGGCTGAGAACATTGGGGCTGTTCAGCCTGGAGAAGACCTCAGCCTGCATGGAGACCTCAGAGCAGCTTCCAGATTCTGAAGGGGGCTACAAGGATGCTGGAGAGGGGCTCTTCATCAGGGACTGGAGTGGTAGGACAAGGGGTAATGGGTTCAAACAAACAGGGGAAGTTCAGGTTGGAGATAAGGCAGAAGCTCTTCCCTGTGAGGGTGCTGAGGCGCTGGCACAGGGTGCCCAGAGAAGCTGTGGCTGCCCCATCCCTGGCCGTGTTCAAGGCCAGGTTGGACACAGGGGCTTGGAGCAAGCTGCTCTAGTGGAAGGGGTCCCTGCCTGTGGCAGGGGTTGGAGCTGGAGGAGCTTTAAGGTCCCTTCCAACCCAAACCAGGGTGGGATTCTGTGATTCTATGTTAGAAACTACGGCAGTGCCTGGGAACGGTCATGTAGGAATTAGGGCTGCTGTGGGTCCAGGTCTGAAGCACCTCCATCAGTCTGCCCATGTGTGATGGTATTTCAGTGTGTCAGACCCTCTGGGGCACTCTGGCTGCTGTGAAAGCTGAAGGTCTGTGCGCACCGGGCACATACCAGAGGTGTGTTGTTCGGTTCCACACCATCTTGTGCTCCTGCAGCGTCAGCCGCTGCACGACGCCCTTGCAGTTCTCCACAAACTGGCTGCTGAGGGTCTCCTTCACAGACTGCACCACCCCTGAAAGAGAAACACAACGTGTGTGTGTGAGCTGCTCCCCAACCGCACACGGGTACGGGCAGGATCTCAACACGACGGGGGGCACAAGAGCCAGGAGCCTGTGGAATGTGCTGTCCACAGCCAGGGCCCACCTGACAGGGGGAATATAGTCTGGGTTGGAAAGGACCTCAAAGCTCATCCAGCTCCAAGCTCCTGCCATGGGCAGGGACACCTTCCACTAGAGGAAGTGAAAGGGGGAGGATGTTCCCCTAACCCCCCTCCCCGTATAGGTATATATACACACACATATATATATATACACACACACACATATATATACACCCATATATATATATATACACACACACACATATAGATACATATATATATACACCCATATATATATATATACCTGTGTAGCTGCATGCAGTAGGCCCTGCCCCTACCTTCAATGACCGCGTAGGGCACGCAGCGGCCCGGCGCTTCCAGCAGCACCGCCCGTAGGTCCCCGTCCAGCCGGACCCTCCTGGCGCCCTGCGGGGAGGGAAACGGAATCCGCGGCTCAGGCGGTGGGACCAGGCCGCGGCTCCGGCGGTGGGACCAGGCCGCGGCTCCGGCGACGGGACCAGGCCGCGGCTCCGGCGACGGGACCAGGCCGCGGCTCCGGCGACGGGACCAGGCCGCGGCTCCGGCGGTGGGACCAGGCCGCGGCTCCGGCGACGGGACCAGGCCGCGGCTCCGGCGACGGGACCAGGCCGCGGCTCCGGCGACGGGACCAGGCCGCGGCTCCGGCGGTGGGACCAGGCCGCGGCTCCTGCCCGGGCCCGTGCGCTCTCCCGGGGACCCCCGTTACCCACCTCGAGGCCGCGGGCGACGCGGGCCCTGTGCCGGTACACGGAGCAGACGAGGGCGGTGAGCGCGGTGCTAGCAGCCAGCAGCGCGGCCTGCGCCAGCGACGGCCGCCCGCCGCCCTCCATGGCCGCTGCTGTTACCCCGGCAACCGGCCGCGGGTGATGACGCACTCAGCGGCGCTCTGGAGGGTGACTCCACCATAGAGACGCTGGGTCCTCCACGGGCGGGGGGGGGGGGAGGGCTCAGCTGGGGATGGAGTCGCAAAGTCCCCTCCAAAAAGGGCCTTGTTTGGGGCACCCAAAGCCCCGCCCCACAGCCCCATGGGGCCTGGAGGGGTCTGCCCCATATCCCGGCTCCCCAGCGTGTGGGGGGAGCAGGACAGATCCCCGCCCCGGTCTTGGAGGGGGGAACAAGCTCCATAAGCTCCAGCCCCACAAGGCCTGGATCCCATCAGGATCTTGGTACGGGGCCCAAATCCTGACACCCCGCCATGGCACTGGGGGAGAACCCCAGCGTGTCCTGCCCCCCTTCACCCCAAAGAGCCTGGGAGGGGGGAGAAAACCCAAATCCCACCCCCTGCAAAGCCTGGGGGGTGTCAGGCCAAAGCCCCCCTTCTCCTATCAGTCCAAACAGCAGCCCCATAGCGCCTTGGGGAGCACCGTGGTGTGGCCCCCACCATAGCCCCAAAGTCCCCCCCATGTTGAAGCTGGGCATGGGATCTATCGGGAAGCAGCCCCCAGACCCATTTCAAAGGCTCCGTCTTGCACAGCCCATGCAGCATCCTTGCCAGCCCTGTGCTAGGGGGGGTGGGACACACACAGAGACCCTGCCCCCCCCAATCCCTTTGCTATTGCTTGTTCTGGAAAAGCAGCAAAACAGGAGGAAAAGCAGTGATTTGGGGTAAATGAATTGATCTTCAGGCCCTGGTGCTGCTTTTGGGGTGGGAGATGGGGGCTGTGGGCAAACCCCACTCTGCAGTGGGGGTCCAAGGGGCCACCCCCCCCCTTGCAGCCTTGTTCCACCCCCAGCTCTGTATAGATATATAGATACATATATAAAAAAGCAAGTTGCCATGGCTACGGCGAGAGCTCTGCCAGCCTTGGTGCTGCAGGGAGGGTGCAGAGAGCGCTGGGTGCCCCCAGCCTGCTTTGGCTCGCCTTTGGAGGGGTAAATTCGGTTTAACCCCCCCCATTTTCCTCGGTGCTGAGCTTAACGCTTCCTCTCCCATGGTGCAGGTGAGACACAGGCGCTGCTACACCGCAGAAAACACACGTTGGTTTATTATGGCCGCTGTGGAGGAGGCACGAGAGCAGGTTTGTGTGTGGGAATGGGGGGGTGCATCACACACACACCCCCCACACCCCCCCCCCAAGGGCTCTGCCTTGCGAATGAAGCCGCTGTCTTGTCCACATCCATCCCCACGGGAGGTCCAGGTTCAGCCGGTCCCCGCCATGGGGTGTGCGTGGCTCAGCACGCCATGGAGGCTGCAGCCCCGCATCTCCCTGGCCAGGCGCAGCACGGCCGCACGCTCAGCGCCGTCCCCCCGCGGTGCCCCGCTGCCGAAGGCCTCGTCCTCCTCCTCCTCCAGGATGGAGCTGAGGCGCGGGGCGCAGCGGGTGCGCTCGGCCGGCGGGCGGTAGGGACACTTGGCGTTGAGCAACCGGCGCAGGGGCACCAAGGGCACGATGGCATCGCCCAGGAGCTGCTGCTGGACGTGGCGGAAGTCGTTCTGCCTCTTGAGCCGCTTGAACTCGTTGAAGGCGGACGAGGAGGTCTGGTAGAGGAGCAGGGCCATGGCACGTGCCTTGTCGGCCTTGGACACGAGGACGGCGTGGCACCGCAGCACCACCGCCTTGTTCTTCACTTGATGCCTGTAGACCCAAGCGAACACCTTGGGGTGCCGGCGGTCGGCGGCGCAGTAGGTGATGCGGTGCAGGAGGTATGCGTGGCCTGGCCGCCGGGCCCCCTTCTCGCACGGGCTCATGCGGATGCCTTGAGGTCCCAATGTCAGCTTCATCTTCACCCCGCCAGCTCCCGCGTCGCTCTTCGCCCAGATCTTGCCCACCGCCTCCTCCGTGCAGCCCTCGCCCTTGGCGTGCAGGGTGACGGCGTTGCCCAGGTACCTCACCGTGTACGTCGGGTCCTCTTTGTTCAGCTCCACTTTCTGGCGCTTGCCACGGAAGACGCTGCCCAGTCGCTCCAGCGGGCATTCGGGCAGGAGGTCCGGGCAGGAGCGCAGGAACCCGGCCAGCAGCGCAGCGTAGCTCAGCCCCGGCCCCAGGCTCTTGCTCTTGCACTTGCGTTCGTTCTCCACCAGCACAAACTTGCTCCGGCGCCAGGGCAGCATCTCCGCTGTGCCGAGAGTCTCTCCACGCTCCTCCAATCCCGGCCGCAACAGTCCCCACCGACCCGCTTGCAAGCAGAGAGGGTCCCCCCGCACCCCCCCCCCCCCGCACCCCAAATCTGGTTTCTGGGGGGTTGTCCCAGCACCCCCCCACCCGGGGGTGTGTGTGTGTGTGTATGTGTGTGTCAAGCCCCTACCCCAGCGCCGTGGGATGTGGATGCCGTTATCCCGGTGCCGTCTGCCCAGCGGAGGATGCGGAGACGCTGCTTCCTGCGCCTGCTGGTGGGATCGGCGGCTGCGGGGATGCAGCTCTCCGCGGGCTGCTCCACCTCCCCGCGTCGCCCCGGCCCCGAGGATGCGGGGAAACGCCGGGAAACGTCGGCAAACGTCCCCCTCCTCCCAGTGCGCGCCGCCGGACGCGCGCTCGCTCCGTGCTCGGGTAAGGAAACAGAGATGCTGGGAAATAACCACACTGCTCCCCGCATCCATGCAGCAGCCGGACCCCAGCGCCAGCTCCAGGGGGAAATCAGGGCAGGATGCAGGGGGTGATGTTGGGGAGGGTTGGATGTCAGCTTCTGGCCCTGGTATGAGGAAAGAGGGGGGGTTCTCCCCAGACCTGAGCGTTGCACAAGGGGTTTGCAGATCCTGAAGATTTGCTGGCATTTTTTCCTCCAGAAACCTCATTTTTCACCCCATTATACCCTAGCCAGCCAGACCTCCTCGCTGTTCCTCTTGGACCGAGCTTTTGGCTTTTCACTTGTTGCTTTTCACTCCATCTGAGGCCTTGGGACAGTTTTTCTCTGGAGAAAATGAAATGTTGGCCCACAGCACAGCCTAGGGGGGCTTTTGGGGGAGCTGTGTGGGGTTACCTGTGAGATTTCAACCCTACTGTGGAGCTTAAGGCTGTTCAGGGTTCAGCTCTTAGCTCAAACCCTGTTTTCTACCTATGGGGCTTCTTGTGGATGCAGCATGGAGACCCCTGGGCTTGGAGACACACAAAGAATCCTTGGGATTGACACATGGCGAGGACAAAGGGATAAAACAACAGGTTTGGTCCAATTTAGGCTGGGTTTCCTTCTCCCTCCCAGGTTTTGGGGGCATCACACCACATGATGGGGCACAAGAGCATCTGTGGCCCATTTCAGTTGGGAAAACAACCAGGATTTGCACTTGGAAAGCTGAAAATAAGGCTCTGTGCTGATTCAGGGCTGCCAAATCCTCTTCTAGCTGCCTGTTGCCTACCCTTGCAAGTAGCTAACTGCTGTCATTAGGTTTCAGGTTGAAGAGTGTGCAGAAGGTGGGTTGTACCATTATCCCACGGGACAATACTGATCTCAGTGTCCCAGATTTGATTTCTTGGGGTTCCTGTGTCCTCTCACTGTCCCACACTCCATTCTCAGCTCAAGGCATTTGTACCACACCAGAGACTGCTGCCAATTCAGTTTCATGTCCCAGCCTGTTGTGGCTTGTCAACAGCAACCCAGCACCAAGATTTGCTCCCAAAACTGGCAGGGAAGGTCAAAATCCTCCCCAAATCCAGCAAACTGGACAAAACCTGCAGTAATAAATGAGTGAGGGCTGGAATACCCATTTGTGCAGCCAGAAAATGGGGCAAGAAGCTCCTCCAGCAAGGGAGAGGAAGAGATATCTTTAATTAAAGAGCAATTTGCTGATCAGCCCAGCATCCTGGGAGCGCTTTACCCCACAGGGGATGATTCCCATGGAAGCACCAGCAGAACTGGGGTTGAGGGTATCCCAAAACGGGTTTTATCAGCTCTACCTTCAGCCAGCTTTCCCTGCTGCCTGGCAGTGGTAGTTAAAAGAAGTGGGAATATGTGGTATATATATAATATGTATATTATTCCTTCTGTTTTCTATTGAATGAATATATTTCTTTTGATCTCACCAATCAGGACCTGTTGTTTCTTCTCCCCCAGGGGTGATTTAATGACAATTTCGCTGTGAAGCAGCACAACCAGTTTTCAACTGGGAACGAAAGGAAAACAACGCATTGAGGCAGCGGCAGTGGGAAAACGCTCCTCAGGGATGGAGAAAGGAGGAGGTACGAAAGGGACAAAGTGGAAAGCATGAGGCAGCAGATGGGGCGGGGACAGGGGACACCCTGAGCGTGATGCTTGGGGGGTCAGGGCTGTCCCTAGGGATGCTCCCCATGGTTCACTGCCGGGGCGTTATCCCGGCAGTGCTGCCCAACCTATTTTCCAGGCGAGGAAATATTTAACCACGGCGTCAGCGGGCAGGGCAGGCAGGGGCAGGAATGGAGGGTGACAGGCAGCACCCAGCCCCTGCTGCTCCCCCGACAGAGCACCTACAACTCCTGCTGCGCCGCAGCCGGGAGGCCAAGAGCTGCGCTTACTGCCCCTACAGCCGGTTCCCGGTGGGCGCCGCGCTGCTCACAGCCAGTGGGGAGATCTTCTCCGGTAAGCTGAGGCTTGTGACCCCCCTCCTTGTGTTTTGGGGTCCCTTTGGCCATGCATGGCGTGTAGAGGGGTTGGTGTGAGGTGCTGCACCTCCCCGAGTCGCCTCTTTGGCAGTCGCCACCCCAGAGTGAGCCAAAGATTGCAGTGCATGGGAAAAGAGGGGAATGTGTTGGGAACAGCCAGGATGGGGTGTTGCACACTAAAAATGGTGGGTTTTTTTTTGCACATTCACTAATAAACAGCTCGCTTGGAGCGTTCTGGGGTGGCTGAGTGGGTGCTGGGGGCTTCCCCACAGGGTGCAACGTGGAGAACGCCTGCTACAGCCTCGGGGTGTGCGCTGAGCGCACTGCCATCCAGAAAGCCATCTCCGAGGGGCACACCAGCTTCAGGGCCATGGCCATTGCCAGGTAAGGGCACAGGGAGGGAGGGGAATGGGGGGGGTGTGGGGGTGTGGGAAGTGAGGAAACCTTCCATGCACCCAACGGGCAGCTTCTGCTGCAGCGACCCCCGGGTTCTGGTGGGGGGATATAGGTTTCTGCATGGTTATTTTGGAGGAAATGGGGGCAAATGTGCTGTAGCTCTGTATTTTTTGGTGCAGGAAGGTCTTCTGCAGGTGTTCCCCCCCTACCTCTGATCATAAGACTGAGCTCTGTGCCATTCTCCTTTGGCAGTGACATGGGGGACACCTTCGTCGTACCTTGTGGTGCCTGCAGACAAGTGATGAGAGAGGTGACAGCGCATGCGGGGGTCTCGTATCTCATCCCCTGACCCAAGGAATCTCCCCCTAAACCACCCCGAGGTGCAAACATGGGGGTTGCAACCCCCGTGTCCCCAGCCCCAGGCTCCTGAAACTGCACATTCCTCTGGGAAAAGGGTTTTCCTCCCTGTCCCTTGGGAGCGGGTGCCCAGGGTAATCCATTAACTCACCCTTCCCAGTTGGTTTATTCCTGCTGGGAGATCCACGTGCAGAGTTTAGCTCCGGAGCTGTTGCCATGACTTTGGCAAGCCTGAAAATGAGGTTTTCCTGCAAAAGCCAAGCTCCAAGTGGAGCCCATCCTACTCTCACCTCACTCCTCCCCACAGGCATCCTGGCCCCTGCAGCCCATTTTGGGATGGTTAATATTTAATGGGTGGCAGGGCTCAGAGTGAAGACCAGATTCAGCAGGTTTGAAGGCATCAGGGCTCACCCTGAGGGGGCAAACCCACACATTGTGAGCCCAAAATACCCCCTGCGGGAGGTGATGCTGAAAAGCTGACCCAAAACACATGCAGTAGAGGGAGATGCTGCCTGTGGAGGTGGCCAAAAAGGCCTCTAGAGCAAGCAGCTCTAGTGAAAGGTGTCCCTGCCCATGGCAGGGGCTGGAACTGCATGAGTTTTAAGGTCCCTTCCAACCCATTCTATGATTCTATGGTTGTTTGGGTAATTTGAAGAAGAAATGGAGGTTTTGCACAGGCTCTTCTCCCCTCTCTTCCCCTCCAGTTTGGCACAGATTGGGATGTCTACCTGACCAAAGCAGACGGCAGCTACATTGTCAAGAGGCTGGAGGAGCTGCTGCCGCTCTCCTTCGGCCCTGAGGACCTGAAGAAGGTGTGAGCAGTGTGGCTGCAGCAGCCGTGGCTCTTTGGCAGCAGGGGAAGATGGTTTTTCCCCAGTTGCCTGGTGTGTAAGCAGCTTTTTGGGGACAATGCGGTGGGAAATGCATTTACAGTGTTAAATTAACCATTCCTCTCATCATCTTCTGATTCAGCGCTGAACAAGTGAAATCAAGCTGTAGAAATGCCCTGTTATTAGGAAAGAAAAGTGTCCAGGTACTGCTGCAGGCGAGGGGGTAGTTCACAGAGAGAGAAGAGTTTGATGCACAGCTCAGGCTTGGGCTTGTTGGTACAGAAACCACTCCTAAATTGTGCAAAGTCATTGTAGCAGAAAAATGCTGAATGTTTCAGCTCCAAAGGAGAAGGGAAAGCAAAAAGGAAAGGCTCCATCAACCCTGGCAGTTATTAATAAGCCAGTTCAGATTAGGTGACATGCTGGAACTGGTTATCACACAGAGTGTGTCCTTTGCTCACTTCTCTCCAGCTTGTTTTCTTTGCCTTTATTCAGTTGTGGGAATGAAGAGGGAAAGGAGGTTTTGAGGGCTTTGGGAGGGTTTTCCATCTCCAGACTAATGCTGTTTTCTGATTGTACTATTAATTGAATCATGCACAGTGACAAACGAATGTGTTACAGCTCCCAGCCAGCACACTGTCCATGCCTAAGTGAAATAAAAGCAGTCCTGGTTTATCTCCTGTGGTTGCAACCAATGGTGAATCACAGGGCAGGGGAAACGGGTGCCTTGGCAGAGCAGGAGGGTGCTGGTGCTGCAGGCAGGACATGGCCAGGACACTGCATGGCCCAGTGTGGCCAGGCCAATGCTGTCCACACAGCCAAGGCCCTCCTGCCCTGCCCTGCATGGACCATGCCCAGCTCTGACCTGGGATATGAGGGTGCTGAGGCGCTGGCACAGGGTGCCCAGAGAAGCTGTGGCTGCCCCATCCCTGGCAGTGTTCAAGGACAGGTTGGACACAGGCGCTTGGAGCAAGCTGCTCTAGTGGAAGGGGTCCCTGCCCGTGGCAGGGGTTGGAACTGGATGAGCTTTAAGGTCCCTTCCAACACAAACCACTGTGATTCTATGTGCCCAGCCTTGCACTGGACTCTGTCCAGGGCAGGGCTCTGCTCCGTGATGTCCTGTGCACTGGGCTGTGCTCTGGCTGTGCACAAGCTGTGCCCGGGGCAGTGCTGTGCTCCTTGCCCGGCCGAGCACCGGGCTGTGCCGAGCACAAGGCACACCCAGCTTGTCCTGGATGCACCAGGCAGTACCTTGGCTGCGCTCGGCTCCGCGCCCTGCCGGGCCCGGGCTGTGCCCAGGAGAGTGTGCAGGTGGTGCCCTGCTCTGTGCCCCTCTCCATGTCCTGCTCCATGACCTGCTCCATCCTGCTCCATGCCCTGCTCCATGCCCTGCTCCATGCCCCGCTCCATGCCCTGCTCCATGCCCCGCTCCATGCCCCGCTCCATCCTGCTCTATCCTGCACCATGCCCCACTCTATCCTGCTCCATGCCCTGCTCCATCCTGCTCTATCCTGCGCCATGCCCCACTCTATCCTGCTCCATGCCCTGCTCCATGCCCCTCTCCATCCTGCTCCATGCCCTGCTCCATGCCCTGCTCCATGCCCCTCTTCATCCTGCTCCATGCCCTGCTCCATCCTGCTCCATGCCCTGCTCCATGCCCCGCTCCATCCTGCTCCATGCCCCTCTCCATCCTGCTCCATGCCCTGCTCCATGCCCTGCTCCATCCTGCTCCATGCCCTGCTCCATGCCCCGCTCCATCCCCTGCTCCATGCCCCGCTCCATCCTGCTCCATGCCCCGCTCCATCCTGCTCCATGCCCTGCTCCATGCCCCGCTCCATCCATGCCCTCTCCATGCCCTGCTGCTCCATGCCCTCCATGCCCCGCTCATCCTGCTCCATGCCCTGCTCCATGCCCTGCTCCATGCCCTGCTCCATGCCCTGCTCCATCCTGCTCCATGCCCTACTCCATGCCCCTCTCCATCCTGCTCCAAGCCCCTCTCCATCCTGCTCCATGCCCTGCTCCATGCCCTGCTCCATCCTGCTCCATGCCCTGCTCCATGCCCCGCTCCATCCTGCTCCATGCCCTGCTCCATGCCCCGCTCCATCCTGCTCCATGCCCCGCTCCATCCTGCTCCATGCCCTGCTCCATGCCCCGCTCCATCCCCTGCTCCATGCCCCGCTCCATCCTGCTCCATGCCCTGCTCCATGCCCTGCTCCATGCCCCTCTCCATGCCCTGCTCCATGCCCTGCTCCATGCCCCTCTCCATGCCCTGCTCCATGCCCTGCTCCATGCCCTGCTCCATGCCCCGCTCCATCCCGCCCCGCCCCGCCGCCCCTCGCCCCGCCGCCCCTCGCCCCGCCGCCCCTCGCCCCGCCCCTCGCCCCGCCCCTCGCCCCGCCCCTCGCCCCGCCCCTCGCCCCTCGCCTCTCAGTGCCGCAGCCATGGCGGTTCGCCTCCTCTTGGCCCGCGCCCTGCGGCTGTTCCCTCGCTGCCGCCTGCGCTGCGCCCCGCGCCCGGACCCGCGCCCCGAGCCCCGCTCCGTTCCTTCCCCGTCCCCGTCCCCGTCCCCGTGGCGGCCGTGGCTGTCCTGGCTCCCCGCCGCCCGCCGCCTGCTGCTGCCCGGCCCGGCCCGCGGGCTGGCGGGCGCGGCGCTGCGGGGCCGCGGCGGGGCCTGCCTGGCGCTGGCCATGGCGCTGGGGCTGGTGGAGCCGCGTCTGGAGGAGCAGCGGCGGGCAGAGGCGGCCTGCAGGCACATCCAGGTGCGGGGAGCAGGGGCTGCGCGGCCCGGAGCGGAGCCCAGTGGGGGGCAGCGCTGTGGGGAGCCCCACAGACACCCCTCATGGAGGGCAATGGGGGTCAGTGCTGGGGGGGGTCCCACAGACACCCCTCATGGAGGGCAGTGGGGGTCAGCGCTGTGGGGGGTCCCACAGACACCCCTCATGGAGGGCAATGGGGGGCAGCGCTGTGGGGAGCCCCACAGACACCCCTCATGGAGGGCAGTGGGGGTCAGTGCTGTGGGGGGTCCCACAGACACCCCTCATGGAGGGCAATGGGGGTCAGTGCTGTGGGGGGTCCCACAGACACCCCTCATGGGGAGCAGTGGGGGTCAGTGCTGTGGGGAGCCCCACAGACACCCCTCATGGAGGGCAGTGGGGGGGTCAGTGCTGTGGGGAGCCCCAGAGACGACTGGGGGTCAGTGCTGTGGGGGGTCCCACAGACACCCCTCATGGGGAGCAGTGGGGGTCAGTGCTGTGGGGAGCCCCGCAGACACCCCTCATGGAGGGCAATGGGGGGGTCAACGCTGTGGGGAGCCCCACAGACGCCCCATAAACCAGGGTACCTGGAAAACCTCCCTGTCAGCAGCACTAAAGGTGGTGCTGGAGGATCCTCACTGTGGGGACCCACTTGCTCCCTGTCCCCCACAAAGGGAGGGGGTCCTGGCCCTGGTGATGGATGCCTCGTGTCCCAGGGGCTGGTGCTGAGCCCTCAGGTTTGTCCCCTCTTCCTGAGGCAGGCGGTGCTGGCAGGGCACCAGGACGGATGATGCTGATCAGATTTCATGGGTAAAAATAGACCTTTGGTGCTGGGAGCCAGCGCTCACTGCTAGCCAGGGACCAGCACGTTCCTGCTGAGGATCTGCCTCTCCCTCAGGTTTCCCAGGATGCTTTCCCTCCCCTGCCCCTGCTGGGCAGTTACATTTGCTGTCTTCCCCTTCCACTGCCCCTCCTGGGGCACATTCCTCAGCCAGCCACCGCAGGTGACAGCTCTGGCACCACCAGACCTGTAGGGCTGTGACTGCTCTGTGCTCTCCTGTGCTTTGTTCTCTCACATCTTCTTGTGCCCATCCCATCCCTGGCAGTGCTCAAGGCCGGGTCGGACACAGAAGCTTGGAGCAAGCTGCTCTAGTGGAAGGGGTCCCTGCCCGTGGCAGGGGGATGGACCTGGATGAGCTTTGAGGTCCCTTCCAACCCAATCTGTTCCATGATTCCATGATTTAGGCTTGCCTCTACCAAATGTATTTATATGCTGGATTAGGAGGTGAATTCTCCTCCCATTCCTCCTTTTCCTGTGCATCCTCAGCACCCTTGGAAAGGGCACCTTTGGTAAAGACTGTTTTAGGGGTTATTTGTTTCAGACAAAAATACATGGTCTGCTCATTATTTTCTCTCTGGTTACAGTGATTTGAACCTCATGATTAGAGCCTGAGAATGGCTTTGCAGGTTGGTCCAGCCCAGCAGGATGCAAGATACTGCTTCACCAGCAGGAGAGTTCTCCTTCCCTAGGGGTTCTTGAATAACCAAGCAGGGTTTTTATCATCTCTTCCTCCTCTCAGACCGTGTTTGTTGGGAAGAACAAGCCACAGAAAGATCCCCTGAGCTGCTTCCGCTGGCAGGGCTTCAAGCTGGAGGAATATCTCATCGGCCAGCCCATCGGGAAGGGCTGCAGCGCCGCCGTGTATGAAGCAGCTATTCCTTTCTCCCGCCGTGGTCAGGGCTGTGTGGAGAGCGGGCGCCTCGCAGGGCATGGCTCAGCTTCACAGGCACCAGAAGAGGAGCCCGTAGTGAAACGCCAACCGAAGGAGGCTTTTCCATTAGCCATCAAAATGATGTGGAACATTTCGGTAAGGAGTCGGTGCCTCGTCTGTCACTGGGGAAGTCTGGAACGTTTAACGCTGAAGTGTTGGAAGTGCTAATTATGTAGTGCAGGATGAGCATGTCAAAACAAAGCTGTTGATAAGTGACGCTGGAGACGTCCATTGTGGTGAGCAATCCCGGAGCAGGGTAATTAAGCATTCATCATTCCTCTGGGATCAGCATCGAGAGCTGCTGCTGGTGGAGTTGTTGGTTATGGAGGTGATGGGTTTGGGAGGAAGCTTTTCCGGAGCTGGCTGTAATGGTAAGGGGTAAGGTTGGGAAAGCCACTGCTGCCACTGCTTCAGGAATCAGTGTCCTTGTCATTGTCAGGACAGAGAGAGGTTTTTCTTCTGCCAAGTGCAGCTGAGTGAGGCTGTAGTCAGGACCTGGGGCAGTAACCTGCACGCTGGCTCCCTTGGCCATGAACTGGGTGGATGAGTTCTGTGCTCACGTTTCCCAGCCCGCGTGGCTCTGGTGATCCAGCTCCTCAGTGTGGCTGTTCCCCATTTCACAAGCTCCATGTGGCTTTTCCCATGGGAGAGGTTTCATAGCACTTGATGCAACAATTCTAAGAGAGTCTTCCAAAACACCAATGTTTGCAGTCCCTTGGGCTCCAGAAGTGCCCTGGCATTTAGCTGTGGGCTTTTCAGTCAGGTTTTGAAGCTGAAAGTGAGTGTTAGCATACAGCTAACAGCCAAGGATGCATTTGAAGAGACAGCTGGATTTCTTCACACAAGTAAAGGCTTTGCCACATTCCTTGGTAAATGCTTTAAGCAGTTAGTTGCCTTCCCTGATTTCGAAGTAGAGCAGGCAGTCCCTTCAGTCTCATCTAACTGCAGATGCAGCACCAGCATCAGGATTGTCTGCTTTCTGTCTCTATTGAGTCTGGGTGGTTTTAGAGCTTAAACCAGTGTGATGTGTAATTGCTGTTGCAGGCTGGTTCCTCAAGCGAAGCCATCCTTGATGCTATGGGCCGAGAGCTTGTTCCAGCCACAGGGGTTGCCTTAGCTGGAGAGTACGGAGCCATCCCTGGCCGCAGGTACAGTGGCTATGGAAAAGGCAGATGGTGACATGCTAGTTCATTTTGCAGCACATCTGTGGTGTTAGATGGCCACAGGTTTCTAGAATAGCTCCTGAAAGTAGATAAACCCAAAGGGTTATGGTTGGGCTTGATGATCTTAAAGGGCTTTTTCAATCTTGACAGCACCTCAAACATCACTCAGGAATGGGGCTGCCTCGGGGCTTTTCCTCTGGTGTGCCTGTCTCCAGCAGAGTTAGGAAACCACACACAGCAGTTCTGCTGTTCAGATAGTGATTTAGCACAGCCCTCTTTACTCTGAGGAGCAGACTGTGGCACGGTGTGTGGTGTGTGGGGAGTTCTTACAGCTAAAGTACACTGGCTTGGGTGATGTAGTCCAGGAGGGTGTTGGGCAGGTGTGCCAATAACTGGGGACCAACTGGGGACCTGCCAGTGGTCTGATGGGTGACTGGGGCCAGGCACTACCGTGCCCTGTGCCTCAGTTTCTCCATATGCAAAGTGCATATTAAACATCAAACCATTGACTGTATTACTTTAGAAGTGGTTTGCTTGTAAAATGTGTGCTGGGCAGGAAGGCTGAAACTTGTAGCGCAGGGAAGGTGGTGAGGAAGAAGGTGGGAAATGAGTCTGCTCTCTCTTTCACCTGGATGAGAAGCGAGCAGGCAGCATGAAGGTGGGAAACTGCACAGAAGCTTTTAAATGACCCTGAGTTAGCTGTCTGCTTGTTCAAAAATGCATCTTTGTGTTCAGTGTGAAACAGTGGAGTCCTCAGTCCAGATTGTCCCATTTACATTTGAAATCCATCTCAGCTGCCAACACGTCGGTGGCACGGCGCTAGCTGAGAACACCACAGAGCAGCCAAAGGGCTGTTTGACATTCAGGGAACAAGAGGGGAGAGGGATCTGTTTTGCAGACACAGATAGGTAATCTGCCTTTCATTGTAGTGGGTGCTTCCTGCCTGTGCCATAGAATAGTCTGAATTGATAATGCCCAATGTAAAGCTGACCTTTATTTGATATCTACTAAAGTAATTGTGCTGATTTTTCTTCTCTGAAGCTGTTGTTGTAGTTCTTTTTGAACCAGGAAGCAGCTCTGCCTTTATTAGCAGCATGGAAGGGCTGCTAGGGTTTGAGTAAAATGAAAGGCTGCATGGTAAGGGTTAGTTTGCAGCACTGGTAAAGCACCACTGTTTCCCATTTGGCCTTTGTATATAGGGAAATCCAGTTATGGCAGAGCGCTACTAACAGCCACCAGTGGTGCTGGGACCTGCCCACTGCTGTGGTGGATCTGCTTTGCATCAGCATGGAAAATCAGTTAGGAAACGGGCCATGAGGGCAGGGAGGTTCCTGTCCCTGTTCTTTCTAACTGAGTGGTTTCCAGGATGTGAACCTTTGAGTATGTGCTTAATGTGCAGTCCTGTAATCTGCACTGGGCAGCCCTAATGCTCTAAGAAGGATTTCAGTGCAGAATAAACATGTTTGCACACTGCTTTGGAGCTCTTTGATGGGGAGGATGGGACTTGTTAATGAAAAGTAATTGCAGAAACAGCAGAGCTGTGTCTGGTAAATCAGAGCTGACTGGGAGACCGATGGTATCTGCGCTTGTGCACAGGAAACCCATCCTTGGAAGGAAGAAGTTGCAACCTCATCCCAATATAATCCAGGTGATCCGAGCATTCACCTCTTCTGTCCCTTTGCTGCCTGGAGCCTTTGCAGACTATCCTGATGTTCTTCCATTAAGCCTGAATCCCAGAGGGATCGGTCACAGCCGCACGCTCTTCCTGGTGATGAAGAAGTAGGTACAGAGCAGCTTGTTAATGTGACTCAGGCTTTTTGTGAGACTCTCTGTTCTGCTGCTGCTGCATGGGTCCTTGCAAAAGGTTGCTCTGGGCTGCTGCCAAAAAGCAGAGTGTGCTCTTGGAAACACCTCCTGTGACCTGTTCCAAGTCCTTGAGATGTGAACTCCTGTTCGACAATGAAAACAAGCTGTTCTTTTTAATAATCACCCCAAATTAAAGTGAGAAATGTGCAGCCTGTCCCCATTTGTCTGCCCTTCTGAGGCTGAATTTCACCCCTGGTCTGAACACACCACTAGAGACAGAGCAGAATCATTCATGAGATTTATGAGTGCTCTGTGGCTTGGCTTTCTCTGTTGGGTTTTGGTTTTGAATGGGTATTGCAGTGGCATGACCTAAAAGCACCTTCTGTTTCCCACTCTTGTTCTGCCTGTGTCTGGAGAAGCACTCTGTCCTCTCTGTTCCGTGTTCTTTCTCCCGATGCATTTTGCTCATACAAGCTGCATTATCAATCTGCTTCCTCTTTCATGTGGAAGAGAACACCACTACATAAAAACCTGCAAGAGTGACCACTGTGTACCCTGAGTCCCTGTTCAAGAGGCTCCTTTTATTCATGGCTGTTGAGCTTGGTGGTGGGTATTGGTGCAAAACAGAGGGTTTAAGAGCAGCAGGCAGGGGGGTGGAACTGAATGATCTTAAGTTGCTTTCCAGCCCTAACTGTTCTATGATTCTGTGGCAGGGATGTGGTGTCAGGGTGATGCTGGGAGGTGGGAAGGCATTGTGGAGGTCAGCAGGAATTTGGCCCATATAAGTGCTGTATTCCCAGCCAGTCAGCACTGAGGTTGGACTACAAGCTGTAAGCTTCCAGGATGCTAATTCCAAGCTTTTCCTCGTTCTCACTAGTTATCCCTGCACTCTGCGCCAGTATCTGGAGGAGAACAGCCCAGATGTTTGTCTCTCCACGATGATGATTTTACAGCTCTTGGAAGGTGTGGACCATCTTGTTCGCCATGGAATAGCACACAGAGACCTGAAGTCTGACAACATCCTGGTTGAATTTGATTCTGGTATGTAGTCAAATGCCAGCGAAGTCAGGCACAGAACTGCTGTATTTGTTCAGGGACGTTCTACCCAGGTTTGGGGGAAGAACAAGCATCAAACCCTTTGAAGAGTCTCAGGTTTGGTTTTTAGCTTACTGCTTGCTGTCACTGCAGCACTGGGGACCTCGTTGATAGATGACTGTCTGTGCCTCAGGTTTTGGATCATTAAAACAGGCTTGAAAGGAACGTTGTGCTGTAATCAGGTGGAGAGATGCAGCATATTGCTGAGGTGATCCACTTCACAACACAGTGAACCAGCAGATGGGTGTAGAGTAACACTGCATTTGTGATGCTGAAGATGCCTTTGCTCAGGCTCTTGACTCTCGCTAGCTGAATCACACAGGGCAAAGCTTAAAATCTCACCTCATGGTGACGTTATGGGATGGTGGGACATGGGCTGGAAGGCAAAGGGACCAGCAGTGTCAAAGTCAAAAGCAGCTGGAGAGGGACTTTTCATCAGGGACCATAGTGATAGGACAAGGGGTGATGGGTTCAAACTGACAGAGGGGGGGTTCAGGCTGAAGATATGGCACAAGTTCTTCCCTGAGAGGGTGCTGAGGCGCTGGCACAGGGTGCCCAGAGAAGCTGTGGCTGCCCCATCCCTGGCAGTGTTCAAGGCCAGGTTGGATGGGGCTTGGAGCAAGCTGCTCTTTTAAAGGGGTCCCTGCCTGTGGCAGGTACCACCATGTCCTCCCAAAACAGATGCTGACTCTGCTCCCCTGTGTCATTTGCAGCTGGCTGCCCCTGGCTGGTGATCACAGACTTTGGTTGCTGTTTGGCAGATGAAAACATCGGCTTGAGACTGCCTTTCACCAGCTCTTACGTGGATCGGGGCGGCAACGGCTGTCTTATGGCACCCGAGGTACATCCGCCTTGAAGCAGTGGTTTGTGTTGCTGCTTGTCCTGCTGTCAGGATGGAAAGCTCCAGCCTGTGGTGCAGGCTGTGACTGGAACGTGAAAAAGGGTGGGATTAAGTCTAAAAGGGGCAGAGGGGACGCATGCACATTGCTTTGCTGGGGTTTGTCCCTGAGCCTTCCCCTGTGTGTGCACACCAATGCTCTCTGGTGTGTTCCCATGATACCTCCTGAAAGCCTCTGCTGTCAGATCGATTTTCTGCCTGTTCCTCCTTATTGACATAACTTGGTCATGCAAGGATAACCTCATGCTGGTTACTGCATAGCTAATGTCACCCACGGCGAGCAGCATCCCCTCGGGCAGTGTAGGAGGTCTGTGTCTTGAGTTATGCTTGCTAAACCTCTCTGCATTAAGGAAGGAGGTCCTCTTCAGACCCATGCTGAGCAGTTGTGGAACTGACACCTTGAGCTCTAAGGGGTGAAACGTAACCAGTGTTAGAAGCAGAATTGACCTGTCCCACAGAAAGTTTGCTTTTTGCTCAGGGCCTTTCCTGTGTAGCTGCTGAAGAAGTTTATGCAGATAAACTCCTTGTGTTGCAGCAGTAGTTTTTGGGTGAAGTTCAGGTGGTTGTGAACTTATTTATTGTTCTCTTTGTTCTCTGATAGTAACCCTAAGAAAAGCTAAGACACCCTTAACTGTCCGCTTAACCTGCTCTTGCTTAGGTGCTGGTGCAGTTCATCTGCCTGTCGCCTGCCTGTCTGAAATCCCAGGGTGAAACAGCCCTTGGGAATGCTGGTCAGGAGCGATGATGAAAGCCTGGGTGCAGTGGCCAGATTCCTCCCAGTGTCCCAGTAGTCTGAGCAATGCCAAAGGCTGTGGGCATGCCTAAAGGAATATTTAGACTAGAGATTTAGATGAAACAGCTTTGGGTTCAGTCTCTCTCGGTTTATTACAGTGGGAATGCTGAGTGAAGCCTTGGAAATCAGTGTTAGCACAGAGCCCACACTAGAGCTGTTTGTCTGAACTCCCCCATCTCTGTGGCAGGTGATCACAGCCTCGCCTGGTCCAGGCACAGTGATCAACTACAGCAAATCTGATGCTTGGGCTGTTGGAGCCATCGCCTATGAAATCCTTGGCCTGGCCAATCCTTTCTATGGCCACGGGGCCTCGGCTCTGGAAAGCAGAAGCTACCATGAAGATCAGCTGCCCAGCCTGCCCGACCATGTGCCCCTCGAGGTGAAGCAAGTGATAAAGATGCTGCTTCGGAGGGATCCCAACAAGGTAAGAAGATGTCTTGAAGACCTCTGTCATCTGACTGTAGATTACTTCACCATGGAGGGCTACAGATTCAGGGGGCTGTAATCCAGATGTCATTGCAGTCTGAGTAACAAGACAAGCAAAAAGTCTTTGCTGCTGTGCCACTGCACATCAAAGATGTCCCTGAGTAGGTTCAGTGACAGGCCAAGGGGAATGGCTTTAATCTGCCAGAGGAGAGATTGAGATGAGCTCTTAGGCAGAAGCTCTTCCCTGGGAGGGTGCTGAGGCGCTGGCACAGGGTGCCCAGAGAAGCTGTGGCTGCCCCATCCCTGGCAGTGTTCAAGGCCAGGTTGGACACAGGGGCTTGGAGCAAGCTGCTCTAGTGGAAGGGGTCCCTGCCCGTAGCAGGGGCTGGAGCTGGAGGAGCTCTAAGGTCCCTTCCAACCCAAACAGGCTGTGATTCCAGTGGATTTTTGTGTTAGGGAACTGGTGGGGTCCGTGCAGCTGCCCAGTATTAATAGACACAAGGAGCTTTTCAATTCATAGGACTGATGCCTTAGAGGAGGCCTGGGGCTCTTTGGGCAGTGTGGGTGCTACATGGGAGCGCAGCAGGAGCAGCTCATCCTCCCTCTCCCTCCTTTTGCAGAGACTCTCTGCCAGGGTTGCTGCCAACGTGCTTCACTTGAGCCTCTGGGGTGAAAGCATCCTGGCCACGCAGGCCCTGAAACCCGACCAGATGGTCACTTGGCTCCTGTGCCAGTCTGCAGCCACCCTGCTCACGGAGGGGCTGGTGGGTAAAAGCCTGGTGGAAACCAAGATGAAGATGTGCTTTCTGGCAAACCTCGAGTATGAAGAGCTCTGGGCAGCCGCATTCCTGCTGCTGGCCTGGAGGAGCCGCTCTGAGTGCAGCACAAGCCCATGATAAATGGTTCTGTTTGGGCACATGGGAGTCTGTCTTTTCTGCCTGCCTGGAATCCTGCAGCACTCTAGGGAACAAACCTGCAGGCCCGTGTGTAAGACGTTGAGTTTCTCTCCAGCATTAGCACACGCTGCTTTTCTGTCCTGCTAGAGGAAATGCCTTTGCTTCATTACTGTCTTGGTGTGAGGCTGTGCAGACCTTGCAGGTGTTCTGAGGTTCGTGGTTGGGGTTGATCACATTTGGGGATTCTGAGTTGACTTCTGAGTTGTGTGTTGAATGAAGAAGAGGGTGTGTGGGGAGGAGGCACTGTCTAACTGCTCTTTCCACTGAAGCATCACAGAGACAGTACCTGGAGAAAGCCAAGCCGACAAAGGGATGTGTGAACTCTGTCCTTAGGGAATCCAGTGGTGCCCTGAGGGTGCTGTTCCTCTGCAGCCATGGATGGCTCTTGCTGTGGAGTGCCAGCCAAAGCCTCCTAGTGAGGTGCTGTCTGGTAACAAGTGTCAGGAATGCTCACTGCAGACAAGAGCACACCATGAAACACCCCAGGAGCTGTATGTGAAGCACATTGAGCTCAAACCCCACTGAGGTTTGCGTCTTGACTGGTGTAGCCGAGTCAGGCTGTCAAGGTAGGGATAACACTGCATTAAAATGGGGCTGAGCAGTGGTGCCTGCGTGAAGAACCACAGCGTAATGCTCTTCTGTTTTACTGGCCTGGTTTTCAGTGATGTGATACCCTTTGGTTGGGGAGGACACATCAAGGTTTGAACAACAACAGTCACGTTTATGAAACCATCGTTCGTTTTCATGTCTAGAATGGTGTTCAGAGGAACATGGGCAGGAAGTTATTGCTGCACAGTAAACTGGTTTATGCTCCTCTGCTGCATGGAGTCTCTCAGCCTCGTGTGTCTATTTGGTGGGTCTGGGCTTTAGGCTGCGGATGCATGGGGACAGTGTAGCCGTGGTTTGGTGCTGCCTTTAAAGGTCATCCAGCTCTTTGTGGTGCTGTCTGTGGAACATGTTCTTTTGTCCCCCAAGTGGAGCTTCCTGGAAAGGAATGGACTTTGCCTCCTGAATGTGCCCATCTCTCCAGTTCCCAGGTCAATGACATCGTGTGTCAGTGACCTATAGCCCTCATCATCCTGGAGTAATAAACGTGCCATCAGCGTCTCACATGCTGAACCAGTGCCTCGTTCAGCAGCCCCTGAGCAGGGAGCAGCCCTCTTCATGGAGCCTGGGATGGAGGCTCAGCAAAGAGCCTGGGAAATCAGGGAAAATGAGCTCTTGGGGGAAAAGCTTGTGGAAGAGGAAGGTGTTGGTACAGACCTGACCCGTGTCTCACTGCAGGGCCTGGTCCTGAGCGCTCACTGGAGCTCTTTGGTGGGTGAACGCTGGTGCTTTCCTGGTAGCTTCTTGCTGTTCTGTGATCCGAGAGGGGGCTGGATCAGCAGGACACAGCTCTGATGTGCCCCGCAGCACAGGGTGTTCACAACACACACATTCCGTATCCAAACCCGCTGCGTGGAGCAGGCTTTCTGCTGGGAGCATCGCCCGTGATTTACCCCTCTCCTTGCCCTTTCTCTCACTGCTCCAATCACTACACGAGCAAGGAGCAGAACGAGGAGCCAGAGCTGCCTGGTTTCAAGCATGTCAGGATCAGGCGAAGCGGGGTTTGATCTGTGCTGGGTAACTCCAGACCCTGGAACTCACCTCATGGCCTCTCTGTCCCCAAACCGCCCCCAATCCGTGTCCTTTGGTCGCTGGGGAGCAGCGGGAGGCACAGGGGCGGTGTCTGGAGCTGTGCGCGTTGGTGCAGCCCAGGCTCCGCGCTGCTCCCTGCTCTGCTCCATGTGGGGCAGAGGCTCGTGCCCGTGGGGCAGGATGAGGCTCTGCGCTCCCAAGCTGCCTCTGACCGCTGCGGCGGCCTCCTCCGGCTCCTCTCCCGCTGTGCCCATGGGGCTGCCCCGGCCCCCGGCCCGCTGGGGATCTGCTCCATGATGAAACTGCCCGTGCAGGGCTCGGCGGCGGGGCTGGACACGGGCACGTCCAACGGCCCCGGAGCCAGGTGAGGGCCAGCGGCGGGGATGGGGACCCGGTGAGCGCCGTTCCCGGCTTCGGGAATTGTGCCCGGCAGCGCTTCCCGCCTGTGGCACGTCCCCAGGTTCGGCCCGAGGCAGATCCGGGCCGAGTCCTCGCTGCTGCGGAGGTTCAAGGGCAGCACCGGGGCTGCCCCGTTCGATTCCCTGCGCGTGGCTGACATCGGGGACGTGAACGTGAACCCCCGCAGCCTGCCCCAGCGCTGCCGCCTCAGCCGCGCCGCCTTCCAGGACATCGTGGGCTCCGGCTGCGTGCCCCTCGCCCTGGGTAAGGACCCGCGGCCCCCTCATGTCCCTGCTCACTCCGGCTCCCTCCCCTCACTCAGCGTGAGCACGGCAGGGGCTGAGTGATGGATGTGCCCCGCGCTGCTGAGCTGGGGGAATTCCATAGAATCCCAGCCTGGTTTGTGTTGGAAGGGACCCGAAATCTCATCCAGCTCCAACCCCTGCCACGGGCAGGGACCCCTTCCACTAGAGCAGCTTGCTCCAAGCCCCTGTGTCCAACCTGGCCTTGAACACTGCCAGGGATGGGGCAGCCACAGCTTCTCTGGGCACCCTGTGCCAGCGCCTCAGCACCCTCCCAGGGAAGAGCTTCTGCCTTATCTCCAACCTGAACTTCCCCTGTTTCACTTTGAACCCATCACCCCTCGTCCTGTCACTCCAGTCCCTGATGAAGAGTCCCTCTCCAGCATCCTTGCAGCCCCCTTCAGACACTGGAAGCTGCTTCTCGTCTCCAGGCTGGTCTCTCTGCCAAATTACTGCCATCAGTGATGCCTCTTGTGTGAAACCCGAGGCTGGCTCGGCCAAGAGCCTGTTTCAGTGCTCCCCCGCAAGCACAGCCCAAAGCTCAGCTCTAAACACAATCAGCAATGGGCTTTTTGTTGAGGAGGACCCATGAGCAGTTTGTGGCCCTCTGGAAAGCCTCGAGCTTGAGTGAGCGCCCAGCATCGTCGTGCTCTGCACAGGGCATGAACTGGGCCAGTGTTCAAGTTCCTGCCTGTCACAGCTTGGCATCGCTGGATGAAGTGAGTGTGGCCAGTGATGAGGGACAAACCATCAGTGATGGTGTCCTCAGAGGCCAATCAAACACCAGCTTATGAGCTGCCCTGCTGGCACTCCTGCATCTCTGGTCCTCCCAAGGAGGGAAGAGGAGGGAGGAAGCAGTCTGTACCTGGGAGCCATATTTTCCCTTGGGAGTTAAGCTCTGGGGTACATAAACCAGTGCAGGATAAAAGCAAGGAGGGAAAAACATCACCTGGGTGATGTGAGTGAGTACTGAGCACCTCCTGCAGTGTTACACGCTCTTCCCTTGTCCTGTTGCAGGTGGGGATCACACCATAACATCCTGCAGGCCGTGGCAGAAAGCTATGTTTCTGATCTGGAGATGTAGGATAAGGATCTGGGAAGGAGCTTTGGGAAGGTTCCTGCTTTGCTGTGATGGGGAATAACGTGGCCGCCCTGTCTCGACCAGGCACGGCCCTGTGGGGCTGGTGCATGTGGATGCTCACACCGACACCGTGGACAAAGCCCTGGGGGAGAAGATCTACCACGGGACCCTGTTCCAGCGCTGCGTGGATGAAGGGCTGTTGGACTGCAGGCGCGTGGTCCAGATCGGCATCCGGGGCTCCTCCTATGATGCCGATCCTTACAAGTACTGCCGGGACCAGGTAAGCTCAGGGAAGAGCTTCTTCCTTTCCCCACTGTTGGTATTCCCGTGTCAGTAACACTCCCTTGGCTTCAGCAGGAAGAGAAATGTCTTTTCTGTGCCTTGGGATGAGCACTCCCAGTGCCTTGAGCCATCAGCGGAGCAGGGAATTAGGGGTTCCCACTGGGGCAGGGGATGCTCTGCTCTGCCTGTGTTGTCCCTGTGCAGGGGTTCAGGGTGGTCCCGGCTGAGGAGTGCTGGATGAAGTCCCTGGTGCCCCTGATGGTGGAGGTGTGGCAGCAGATGCGGGACCGGCCGGTGTACATCAGCTTCGACATCGATGGGCTGGACCCCGCGTACGCACCGGGCACCGGGACACCGGAGGTGGCCGGGCTCACGCCGGCGCAGGTGAGGGGGAGGCAGTGTCTTTTCCCAGGGATGAGGATGGTTTTGCTCCTGTTACAGGAGGCTGTGCTGCAAGGGAAGCATTAAGGGAGAGCAGGGAGCATTTCTTAGCAGGGATGAGGAAAGGAAATGCTGAACGGGGGTTTGGAACAGGGAACACTGAAACTTGAATGGAAAGTTCAGCTTAGATGTAAGGAAGAACCTTACATCTACACCTTACATGGCGAGGTGCTGGCACAGGGTGCCCAGAGAAGCTGTGGCTGCCCCATCCCTGGCAGTGCTCAAGGCCAGGTTGGACACAGGGGCTTGGAGCAAGCTGCTCCAGTGGAAGGGGTCCCTGCCCGTGGAAGGGGTTGGAGCTGGAGGAGCTTTAAGGTCCCTTCCAACCCAAACCAAGCTGGGGTTCTATGAACTGATGCAGTTTGACCTCTACACTTGGGGTTTCCCCCTGCATGTGGGAAAAGCAGAGCTCTGACCATTCCACTACCTCTGATGTGTTTCTTGATCCCAAACGTGTTTTCTTTCCTAGGCTTTGGAGATCATTCGTGGCTGCAAAGGCCTGAACATAGTGGGATGTGACCTTGTCGAGGTTGCACCCATGTACGACGTCTCTGGTGAGTCTAAAGACAGTGGAGAGTGAGAAGTGTGCTTGGCAAAGGCACTGACCACCGTGGTTTGGGGTTTTTCCCCCATTCTTGCCTGTTTCAAGTAACACAGCCCTGCTGGGGGCAAACCTGCTCTTTGAGATGCTCTGCGTTCTCCCTGGGGTGAAGACGATGTGAGGGCAGCCCCTGCCTGCCCCAGGGGCAGGGTTTGCTCAGCTGATGCTTTGCGACTGCAGCCAAGCTTTGCAGTAAGGAATAAACAGCATTTACTACTAGAAAAGGGAAATCTGAAGCCGAGAAGGGGGCAGATGGGATTGAACAGTTTAAGTGGTGTCCGGAGCTTTTGTTTGCCTGGGAAAGGGAAAGCCTCTGCTTTCACAGCTGGAATTACTCACCTGGCTCAGGGGGCTCCTGACATGAACATCACTGGGGAAAGGTTCCTCCCACTAAGATGCAGCAGTGGGAGGATGAATGTAAAGGGAGGGAGGGCACGAGGGCAGCTTTGGGCTCATTCTGGGGACAGGGGAATCTCTGACTGCATTTACTGCTGGGAATAACCAGGAACCACCCACACCAGGGGAGGTTAAACTGCTCCTGGGATCTGTTTGTCCATGGAAACACAAGAGCCACCTCATCACACATTAAAATAGTTTATTTTGGTTGTGAATCTGTCATCGTCTTAAACCGCAACGGCGCCGGTGCCTGGTCACAGATACAAAAACCAACCAAAACCCCCCAAAAACACAAAATAAAAAAAGACAAGTTTGCCAAATAAGTTAATTCCCACCTTCCCCCCTCCCCAGTATCAAAAGTGCAAAATATATGTACCTGGGTTCAGTCCTACTTCTCAGGCTGCCTTCAGCGAACCAGGCTGGGGGTGCAGGGCAGAGGGGAGGCAGAGCTGCTGCCCCGCACGCTGGGTACAGGAGGAGCTGTGTGACAGCCTCGGAGCCCTGTGCAGTGTGTGACTGCCCAGGGCTCACTCTGACAGTGCTCTAGGACTGAATTCCTCACTCTTTGGGTTACAAACCACCACCAAGTGCTTCCCATGGGTGATGTGTTACGATACACGTGGACAGAGCTCGGTGTGAGCAGCCTCTGACCATGCTCTGCAACCACAAAGCAAGCACCCAGCACTCCACACTGACTCCACGAGGGGTTTACAACAGGTTGGAGTTTGCTTCAGGCCATGAAAGAAGGTTTTGTCCATAAACCAGTGGCATGAACTGGGTTTGTTGGACCCGGTTACAAGCCACAAAGGGCAGAATTATGGCTACCCAGGAGCTGTGCTCCCACCCAGCAAGGGCAGGCTGCTGCGAGCACCCCTTCAACCAAACCCAGCCTAAAAGGGGGGTTACCTGTGCTCAAAAGCAAATGAGACCAAAAAGGATTCCAGCAGGCGTAAGGACATGAAGGTTATTTTGAAGGCTTCGTGGCCTTCTCTTCTGGCTTGGGGCAGGGCTGAGCTCCCTTGCTGTAGCACTAGGCACTTCTTTTAATGTGTCAAGGGATTTCTCCTGGTTTCTGACCAGCTGAAGAGACAGCAGAGACCCAGAGAGGGGGGTTTTGCTCTCTGCAAAGCTTTCAGAAGTTGTGCAGAGCCTTCCACTTGGCTAAAACCTATTCCCAGCACAGCAAGCTGCAGGAAAAGCACGACTGCTCTGCCTGGATGCAAATGAAGTCTATCAGCATCAAGCCAGTGTTTCAATCAGCACTGGAAGTCTTGAGCAGGGAGGAGCCCTCATCTTCCTTCTGTCCTTCCTTCCCTCTACTTTAGTGCCTCTTTCACAAGCTGCCAAGTCGGCTGAGCTCAGATTAAGTAACCTCACATAGGGTCAGTTGGTAGCATCACAGCATCATAGCCTTTATTTGGAAGTACATCATACATGGGGTTTGAGATACCTGTGGTGGTTGAAGCACATCACTCTCCTCCCAGGCTGAGCAACTACACTGTGTTGGCAGTAAAATGACTTGAGCATTCCTGGATTTCATATGAGACTGGCAGCTAGCTTGGAGACTGGCAGAGTTATTCCTACTAATGGGCTGCTCAAGATGGTAACTAAGGCAGTGAGGGCTGAGTGAGCTTTTAATTAACACCAGTGCTGAACCAAGGGCTCGACCATCAGGTTTGGAGCCCTTTGGCAAAGGCCACCCCACTCAGATCCCTTTGCTTTAGCAGTTCTGTGCCCCCACAGCAACTTGGTACCATGTGGGGTAGCTGGAGGAGGTGCTGTCTGGGGACAGCGTCTGCCCTGGAGCATTAGAAAGGAAGAGGAAACCCCATGGGATTTTATGCAATCTCAGAACCATGAATTTCAGTCCCAGATGCAAAGAAAAAGGATGCTGCTGGGAGGAGCAGACGCTGTCGCACCAAGGCTGCTGCTCACCTTCCCTCTGCCTTACCAAGGGCTGCTCTTTCCTGCTGTCGGAGCAAAGCATAACCCAAACCCTGTGTTTTCGGCTGCTCTGGCTTCACAGAGCCCTGTGACTTCCAGAAGACACCAACCCCCTCATGCAAACCTAAGAAGAAGCCAAGGCAGCAGCAGGGGTGTAAAGAACAAAGGCTTGTGGCAAGAAAGAAATGTGAAAGGCTGAAAGCAAGAGTCTGAAACCCACATGTAAACCAAAAGCAGCGTCACACGTACATGACAGTCTGACGATACAGCACTTTGGGGCAATATTTCAAGAACACAGCTGTCAAAGGAGCAGGTTCCTTGACACAAAGATGGGTCAGGTTGTGCTACAGACATAGGAGTGTTTGGAAGGAGCCCGGCCCAAATCCCTGGCAGCTAAGGAGAGTTTCTTTTACACATCTACTGGCTCATAGCAGCTCATGCCTACGATCTGAAGATGCAGGTAAAGTTATGGCTCTGGGATACATCATCTAAAGTCGACAGAAGCAGAAAGGCATTGAAAAAAATCAATGTGACATTTAAATGGCTCAACACTTGGACAGTCTGTATGGCCGTGCAAAACCCCTTCCTTCCCTCCCCAGGTTGGGTTTGGCTGGTGAAGCAGCACGCAGAACTATGACACAAGGAGGAGCATGAAAACATGCAGATCACCTACTAGCCTGCACCACACACCACAGGTGAGTCCCAGCTAAAGGTTTGCTACGAGGGAGATGCTCCCGACCGTACTCTACATCACTTACCACATGGAAAGCTGAGAAAGTAGGACCGCCTGGTGGGAGGAGGCCTTTTGGGAGGGCAGGGCCCAGGAGGGTCTGCAGGGTCTTGCCAGTGTTACACCATGCACCACAGGCTAAGCACATGGGGAAGGGGAGAGAGAACCACAACCTGGCCCGTGTCACCAGCCGCGTTCGGTCCGGCCTGAATCGCTGCGGCCAAGAAGTCTTTGCGGGTTTTAATTCATCCGAGGTAAAATGAGAGGTGGATCTGGGATAATCCGGGACAAGAAGGGGATAAATGGACTTCTTGGCTCTTCAGTAGGATGGTGTCCAAATGCACGCCGACTTAGTGGAGAGAGGTTCAGTGCACTTGGCTGTGCTCCTGGGCTCTGGACGTGGGGAGGTATGTTCTAGTCGGTGGCCCTAGGAGGAGTTCATCTAAACCCTAAGGTCCATTCATCACACTTGGCTGTGGATCACTGGAGAGAGCTGTCCCTCGTTGTCTTCATAAAAAGTCTGTTGGAACCTCTTTAAGATCCCTCAGTCTAGTGCTGGCCACGAGGGGATATAGAACCTCTGTAAGGAACCCTCGAGGAGGCGTTCCATCCAAAAGGACAATTTGTGTAATTTGGTTTTAATGGATCTAGATCCTGGGCTGCAGGAGGATTTCCCTCTGGCTTCTGCGTGGAGTGAGGAATTGTAATCCTCAGGTGACCCCCCCTCATCCCCTGATCTGTGAGGTTTAAAAAGGCAGAAGTATTTCTTGTGGCCGTTGAGAGCCAGGACGTAGCCCGTATAGTCGCGCTCCAGGAAATGCTTGTCGTACTGGTTTGGAATGGGGGCCACATCCTGGGCGAACTCTAGCAGGTATTCCAGCCACTCCCGGTGCTTGTCCAGGCTGAGGAAGGAGAAGTGAAGAGAGCTGCTCCTGCGGGAAATGCAGAGGAGAATCATAGAATCAACTGGATTAGAAAAGACCTTCAAGATCAAGTCCAAGCACTGCCAAGGCCACCACTAACCCATGGCACTGAGGCCTTGGCTACACGGGGTGTGAACACTTGCAGGGGCAGTGACTCCAGCCCTGACCTGGGCAGCCTGTTCCAATGCCTGAGCACCCTCTGGGGCAGGAATTGCTCCTCAGCTCCATCTAAACCTGCCCTGGTGCAGCTTGAGGCCGTTTCCTCTTGTCCCATCCCTTGTTCCTTGGGAGCAGAGCCCAGCCCCTCCTGGCTCCATCCTCCTGTCAGGCAGTTGTAGGGAGCCATCAGGTCCCCCCCGAGCCTTCTCTTCTCCAGACTGAACCCCCCAAGTCCCTCAGCCCTTCCCCATCACCCCTGTGCTCCAGGACCTGCACCAGCTCCAGTGCCCTTCTCTGGAAACACCCCAGTCACTCAGAGAAGAGGGATGAGCACATCTCCTGAGCCAGGCCACGTTCCTGCTGGACAGGGAACAGGGACAACTTTTGTCACCAAGGGCAGGCGCAGGGCTGTGGTGCTGCAGCTCCTTTTCCACCCTGGCTCCGCACAGCTGACAACTGCCTGGTGTGTGGCACTCTCATGCTCTCCATTCACTGGAACATGGGCATGCCCAAGGTGGTGGCAGTGCCAGACCTGTCCTGTCACCGTTGCTGAGTACAGGCCGGAAAGGCCACTTGGTTTTCCTCAGCTTGAGGCCCCTAAAGAGCACAGCCAGCACCAAGATCCCTCCTGACGGGTGAGCTGACACCACTCCTGCCATGGCCTCAGGGCAGCCTTATGCAAGGTGTTAAAACAGTAGCAGAAACGTGGGCAAGGGCCCCAGCCTACCCTGTGAACGTGTAGACTTCCAGGGCAAACTTCTGAAGGAGGGCAGTTTTGGTTGAGTTGGACAGGATCAAGACCACGTTCATGTGACCCGGCCTGAGGCGAACCAAGTTACTGTTGTAGTTGATGTCCGTCAGCTCCGTCACCTCCACAAAGCCCTTTTTGGGAATCCTGCTGCAAAGAAACAGTCCCTGAGTGAAAGGGGAATGAGGGACCATGAGGAACCAAGGACAGAGAAAGCATGAACCCACCCCTTGTCCTGAGCTGCCCCTGATAAGCCCTGTAGATAAGGCCAGTTTAACCAGGGCAACAGATCCAGACTTGGCTCCTCAACGCGTCAGGCAGACCTTTACCCTTACCCTAAGGGTGTTGTCTGGGCAAATGTGGTGGGAATTGCTTAATAACTGAGTTGGAGCACCCCTGTCCTCGCTGGCATGGGCAGAAAACAGACGTGGAGAAATTAGGGAGGGAACCTGTTACTCTCTTTGCTGAAGCTCGCATCGTTCTTCTCGGTCTTTGCTGCGGTTTCTTCTTTCTCTGAGGGAGGACTGTCCCTTGTGTCGCTGGAATCGCTGCAGAAGAAGATGATCTTGAGTGTGTTTAAGGCACCAGATCAGACTGAGCTGCTCGTGGCTGGACTCTAAGATCCCTGGGAGCCTTCTGGTGTGCACTCACCTGAAAGCCTGAACAATAACAGTGCCAAAGAGGATGAAGAGCGCAGAGAAGAGCAGGGACAGCAGCGGCATCATTTCTCGCCTGAGGGGAAGATGTGCAAACAGCAATCAGGTCTGCGAGTGCCACGAAATCCTCTCTACCCCAAGTAATACTGTGCAGCTTCCCCCAGAGCCTTGGCTTCTTTCCTGGGGTCTTAAAGACAAGCAAGATTTTGAGCTCTGTCCTGCTCCCACCCCTAAGGAGGATCAAAATGGATCCATTTTAAAGAAGGCGACAGGGGAGAGGTGAAAACAACAGATGCATCATGTCTATGCTCGCTCGGCCTTGAGGCTGAAGTACCCAGCAATCAAGGCAGAACCTGATGTCACTGTAGCATCACTGCTCTTCACCTGCATCTCAAGAAGACAGGTCCCTGGGTGTTTTGATGTGTTTCCTTTCTGTTACTAAGAACCTGCTTCTCCTATGCAGCTGAGCCAGATAACCACAATCCCACTCCCTGTTGAGAGTTAATGCTCAGTCCATACCAGTTACTGTGGAACAAACTATCCCAGCAGTCTGAGAGATAGTCCAGTGTGGAGTAGAGCCATCGGATAAGGAACATCTGTTTAACAAAGATAAAGGAAAAAGCAAATGACAAACTCACTCTCCAGAGCCCTGACAGGAGTCATGCTCCTGAAACAGGGCTGAATTGGCCCAGGATCATGGGACAATTGTGACACCCCACAGGCTTCCTTCCTTCCAGGAGCAGGAAAACCTGCAAGGGTCTTGCTTTGGTATATTCAAGTTTAAATAAAGTCAGTGAATGACCACGGGGACCATGGAAAAGGGCAACACGGTTGTTAGGCATCTGGAAAGGCCATGCACTTACGGGAGCCAGCTCATCGTTCAAGTCTGCCAGGACAGTCTCTGAGGAGAGGAGGTTGGGGTCTGTCCTCAGCTGGTCCAGAAGATCCAGGAGGATGAAGTTGTCCTCTTTGCTGCCTTGCCAGGCCTCCTCCAGGGTTTTATAGGCCACCTTCCCTGCGTTATTACGTCTCTCCAAAATGACCACCTGGATGAGGCAATAACACCAGGGGTGTCAGAGCAAAGGGACTTTTATCGAGACAGATGTTATGCTTCAAATCGCTGCCCAGAATTAGGTGTCAGATCAAGGTATAGCATCCTACATAAAATTACATTACATAGAACTGTTGCAGTATAGTCCAGAGGAGGCCACGAGGATGATCAGGGGCTGGAGCACCTCCTGTATGAACATAGGCTGAGAACACTGGGGCTGTTCAGCCTGGAGAAAAGAAGGCTGCACAGAGACCTCAGAGCAGCTTCCAGTGTCTGAAGGGGGCTACAAGGATGCTGCAGAGGGACTCCTCATCAGGGACTGTAGCAATAGGACAAGGGGAGATGGGTTCAAACAAACAGGGAAAGTTCAGGCTGGAGATAAGGCAGAAGCTCTTCCCTGTGAGGGTGCTGAGGCGCTGGCACAGGGTGCCCAGAGAAGCTGTGGCTGCCCCATCCCTGGCAGTGTTCAAGGCCAGGCTGGACACAGGGGCTTGGAGCTAGATGATCTTAAGATCCTTTCCAACCCAAACCATTCTGCGGTTCTATGACAGATGAAGGGAAAAAAAAAATCCAAGAGGAAGCCCTCACAGCTGATTTTCCCCGATACTTCTCCTCATCCATCAAGAAGGCATCTGCAAATTCCGGCTGCCGATCATTGTAGCTGTGCACAAACTTCAGTGTGTCTTTTGTGTTGGCCACAGCAAAAGTCAAAAATGCTTCATAAGCCTCAGCAAACTTTTCTCCTTCTCCAGTAAGTAGGACCACGCAGTGCCTAGACAACACAAGGAGATGGAGGATTAGGAATCATTCCGGATGTGAGAGGAAACAACTGTCCCCTTTCTGCTACCTGGAATGATCCCGATAAGCCAGAACCCCATCAAACAGTGTGGATCCTGGAGGCTTTAGGAGCAGCCTCAGAGCTTCAGGGAACAAAACAGGGGACATGCGACACCCACACAGCCTTACTTTCGCTGACGGTGAGACTTCTTCACAGGACACAGCTCCTGGAACAGCCTCTGGTTGGTGAGCCTGGCCACCATGAGGAACTTATTCTGCGAAAGGAAGTCATCAATGAGCTGCTTCTTCATATCTCGTGCCTGGTGAGGACAGAGAAAGCAGAAGTCAGAAATGAGCGGGATGAGGAGAAGAGAGCACTTGTGATATTCCTGTCTAAGCCTGGGGAAAGCTGCCAGCCATTACAATCCTCACTGAAATCCCACCCCCTGAGACATTCTGGGGCCCTGAGACTGAGAAGCGACCTCTGGCCACCCTCCTCACAAGCGCAGACACCACAGCTGATGCCTGCTGAGCTTCCTCCCTCCTAAGGCTTGCTCTCTGCCTCTGCCAAAGGATGAATTCACACTGAGAACGAATGCTGTTCACTCTGAAGTGCCCCACTGACAAACCCCTCAGTGCCTGCTCAGTCAGAAACCCTCAGCTCTGATTCACAGCAGCTCCTGGAGAGGGCTCTGTGCAATACCTGTACAACATCAGCGGGCTTGTCAATGTGCTCCTTGAAGATCATCATGGTGGGGGTGTAGACGTTGATGTTGTACTGACTGGACAACTCTTCAGTGCCTCGGAGTCCCACATACACGTAACCAAAGGAAAAGTAATCTCGGTAGGCAAAGGCAGTCAGCTGGGAGGGAAGAAAGCACTGGTGTGTGGTGGTGTGAGAGAGCAAAACACATTTTCTCCCTCATGAGCCCACAGTGATTTTGCTTCAGGAACATCCCTCACTGTTTAGAACAAGCTTTCACTCACACAAATTAGATGTGCCACAAGAGATGTTTCACTACCAGGAGAGGTTTGTACACACCTCTACTGCCACTGCCTCCAAAAACCACCCGCACTTTGGCATCCACTAAAGGTACATCCATGGCAGGACAGAGGAACAAACTCTAAATGAAGTCAGTCACCCAGCTGTGCTGTATTCAAGTGACACAAATCATCTCTGCTAGAACCACTCTGCAGTGTTTGGAGGCATCAGTCTGCCTTGCTCACAGTGAGACTGCATTTTCTTTTGGAAGAGCTGGGTTTATGAGCAAGTCAACAACGCAGCAACAGAAATTCCATTACCTTGTACAATAATGGCACAACTGGCATGTGATCAAACAGAAGGACGTGGGGCTTGTTTTCTTTCTTCCAGTTGGACAGAAAGTGGATGTAGTTCTTATCTGTGATCTTGAAATAGAATTGGAATGTTAGTTTGAGCTCTGAGCCATCAGACACACACAGTGCTCTGCGATGAGCTGTCCCAGAACTGAGCCCCAAAAGCTGGGTGTTGCAGAAAGCAGACTGTGGGTCTCTCTTTACAACAGCTATGTCTCATCTGTGCTTCTTGATACAGGAAATTAATTAAAACCATCAGTCTTGACCCCCTACTGACCCTCTTTGTCACTGCACCTCTGTCAATGCCATTTCTAGACCACTGTCATTCTGTTTGCTGGGGCCATAGGCTTTATATTTAGGTGGAAGCCAAGAGTTAGCAGTCACCTGTGAGCTCCATCAAACCTTCTCTGTTTCAACCATGGTACCTCTCTGACCTAGAGGAAGGAGAGAAAAGGGAGACCACAGCTTGTTGAGGGGCCTGCAAGGAGAGGAGCAGGCTGCTGCTGTTGGTGATGGCTGTGGGAGAGAACATGAAGAAGATGGGGCTAAAACTCAAACACCCAGATCACAGCCAGAGCATGCTGAAAGTGGAGGTGAATGAGACCTGAGCTGGCTGGATGTAAGCCTGAGAAAGAAGGGAAGTGAAATTCAGTAGGCAGGCAGGGCATGACTGTGGATTCCTAACTTTCCTACGGCTCTGGCAGCCATGGGGCACAACAGCTGGGAGAACAGCAGGCATGCCACATAGTAATGGGATCAGCCCTTTTGCCATGAGAAGTGTGACAGAGCCATGTCACACGGTTGCTTCTGAAAGTTCCAGGGTCTGTAGCTGTAATTACAGCTCTTGGAATGCCTCCCTTCCCTGGCCCTGGTTGGATGTTCTCATAGTTGTGATGTAGATCAGCTCAGGGGCTGAATGGAACAGATCAGCCAAAGCAACAGCAAAGGAGAGCTGAACGCACACACACAGAAGCACCACACCCCACCCATGCTGGAGCACACCTTTTCCACAAGATTCCCGGGCAGGAGGTTCTCCACGAACTGCCGCAGGTTTTCCCGAACCACAGCATTGTGGAAGAAGGTGATTTTCCCGTTGATGAGCCCCAGCAGAGAGGGGGTGCTGTGTGCACCCAGGTGATGGGCGAGGCGCCTCTCGTACCCAGCATGAACGACCCCGATCCCTGCTCCTGCAAAGGAGAACGGCTTCATGTGAAAGTCACCCCAACACCCAGTAGGAAACAAGGGCTGAAGAGCTGTGCCCTTGCCCAGTACGCTGCCTGGGAGTTACTCATGGGACCATCCCTGGGTAATCTCTGCTCTCCTCTCACAACCCTTGAAAGTTTAAACTGATGCATTCAAATTCATGCATTTAAAATTCACAGCTTTAGAGTCATAGAATCAACCAGGTTGGAAAAGCCCTTTAAGCTCATCCAGTCCAACCCTTACCCCAGCACTGCCAAGGCCACCCCTAACCCATGGCACTGAGGCCTCGTCTCCACCGTGTGTGAACACTTGCAGGGATGGTGACTGCAGCCCTGCCCTGGGCAGCCTGTTCCAATGCCTGAGCACCCTCTGGGGCAGGAATTGTTCCTCAGCTCCATCTAAACCTGCCCTGGTGCAGCTTGAGGCCGTTTCCTCTTGTCCTGTCACTTGTTCCTTGGGAGAAGAGAGGACATACTGTCCTCTTTTGCTCTGTCCTCTGGTATTTCACAAGCTACATTAAAAGCAGAAAAATCTCAGTAAAGGGGAACAGCCCTGCCTTTGTCTCCTGCTGCCTGTTGAGTTTGTGCTTGTCTGGAAGCGCTTGCAAGCAACAGCTATGGGGAAAACAAGGAAGCTGGGTGGAGAGACAAAGACAAAATACCTCCTTAGCATCCAGATGTGTTCAATAGCCTCAAAACTTCGCTGGGTGGTAGCAGCCCTAACGTTGAGGGCATATTGTGCAGGGAGTTGATCTTTTCAAAGCCATCCAAGAGTAGGACAAAGAGCAATACAGCGCTTCCAATGGTGGCCTAACCTCATGGTGGCACAGTTGGCCTTGGCCACACCATCACTTATGGTTGTCAATGCTGGATTAAGGCACCTGCCGTAGGGTCAGGAGAAACAGCACCTTGCCCTTGTGATCTATGGGCCTAGTTTTCTCCTCGTTTCTAGCCTGTAACCTCATTGATTATTAGCTGGAAGTGTGCGCTTGCAGACCAGAAACCAGCTGTGTCCTGGGCTGCAAACCCAGCAGCGTGACCAGCAGGTCAAGGGAGGTGATCTTGCCCCTCTGATCTGATCTGGGGAGTCCACACTTGCAGCACTGTGTGCAGTTCTGGTATCCTCAACATAAGAAGGAGATGGAGCTGCTGGAGCAAGTCCAGAGGAGGCCATGAGGATGATCAGGGGCTGGAGCAGCTCCTGTATGGAAACAGGCTGAGAACACTGGGGCTGTTCAGCCTGGAGAAAAGAAGCTGCATGGAGACCTCAGAGCAGCTTCCAGTGTCTGAAGGGGGCTGCAAGGATGCTGCAGAGGGACTCTTCATCAGGGACTGTAGCAATAGGACAAGGGGTGATGGATTCAAACTGAAATAGGGGAAAGTTCCGTTTGGAGAAAAGGCAGAAGCTCTTCCCTGTGAGGGTGCTGAGGCGCTGGCACAGGGTGCCCAGAGAAGCTGTGCCCCCTCATCCCTGGCAGTGTTCAAGGCCAGGCTGGACACAGGGGCTTGGAGCAAGCTGCTCTAGTGGAAGGTGTCCCTGCCCGTGGCAGGGGTTGAAGCTGGATGAGCTTTAAGATCCCTTCCAACCCAAACTATTCTATGAGTCTATAATTACTAACATTTGTAAAACCATTAGGATAAATCCCCAAAGAAATCTAAAGGTTAAACTTAGTCCTCCAAAGCCAAACGCGATGGCCACAGCCTTGCTGGGCGAGGGACATGAGCTCCGCCAGAACGGCCTCATCCTTACCCAGTGCCTCCAATTCCTGAGCAACTTCCTTCCACACGGGCTCGATGTGGATGCAGCTGAAGCACCAGTCCGAGGTGATTTTAATGAGGTAAGGTTTCTTGAAGCTATCCGGCACAATTTCATTGATGTAGTGGGAAAAGTGGAGCAGATACTTCTCGTCGGAGGTGTCGCGCCTCTCCGAGTTGAAAGGGAAGTGGAAGAAGGACTCGTCGAAATAGAATCCTTCATGGAAGCGGTGGAACTGGCGATGCTGGTGCTGAGAGTAGCCCTGGCTTTCCCCAGCATCTCCGTAGCGATCAAAGTTTGCCCTCTTCTCCTCGTTGGAAAGGATCTGGGAAGTAAATGATACAAGAATGCTTGGCTGAAAGCATGAGGGGAAGCACCTCAACAACAACCCCTTAGTAACTAATTGCAGCTGTGGAAGGACGGGCTATGAGGGAAGGTGCAGCCTCTGCCACGTGTCAGAAGGGTAAATGTGCTGGAAAAGGGGAACTACTGCATTGTCTCTGGGCTTGCTGTGATAAACAGTGGTAAAAGCCTGAAGAAAAGGAGCCTCTGAAGGAAGAATGCTCTGCTGCTCCTGAATGTCATGCTGCCTGAGCGTTAATGCTCTTTTCTGGAGCAGCTTTTGCTGACATCTGCTTGACCATGGAGGCTTTTCTCAAGGCACCGTTGAGAATGACATCTCAATGCATCTTGTAGCAATGAGCAAAGCTTCCTGCAGAGAAACTGTATTCTTCAGCTGGGAGACAAGGCTTTGCTTTGATTTCCACAGGCTCCACCACTTACCATGGACATACTGAGTCACTGTGCCAGAGCAGTGTCTAAATAGCTATTTATGCAAAGGATAATCTGAAGTGACTAAAGCCCTGCAGTGATTCGAGTTGCTTACACCATTCCCAAATGCTTAGATGAATGTGTGACACGGACAGCAGGGCTGCCCAGCTGCTCTGCGCTCAGTGAATACCTGCTCTGCCCTTGTTTGAGGTGTCTGAGCAAGAACTGGGCACACCTGGAGTAAACTATTTGTGAGGCCACACTGGTGATGTCCAGTGGCTCTCTGTTGAGACAGCAGAGGATGCTGTCAGTAGCAGCCAGCTCCACGGGGTTGAGTGTCTTTCCCATGCAGACATACCCAGAAAAAGGAGGTCACTTCGCCTCTAATGACAGTGGGTGTTTAGGGACAAGCGCGTGTTACCTCGTAAGCTTTGCTGATCTGGATGAATTTGTCCTCTGCTCCCGGGTCCTTGTTTTTGTCAGGGTGCCTATGAGGCAGAACCAGAGCAAAAAGGGGTCAGTGGTGCCCCCGGGGGGGCAGAGCAAGCCATCAGCCTCCCTCCATGCAGCAGCATCCCCTGAGACGGAGATGGGGTTTTATACCTGGCATGTGCTCTCCCTGCCCAAATCCCAAATCCCAACCCGAAACCAGCACTGGGACATGTGCTGTGTGCCTGCAGACCTGCTCCTCTATCTGATCCCTCCCTGTGATGAGGGAGGGTGCATGTGTCCCATTGCTGCTGCCACACATGTCTGTTGTGTTCCTCCTGGAAAACAGCTCCTGCTACAGCCCTCAGAATCAAAGAATCAACCATAGAATCAAAGACCTTTAAGCTCATCCAGTCCAACCTTTACCCCAGCACTGCCAAGGCCACCACTAACCCATGGCACTGAGGGCCTTGGCTACACGGGGTGTGAACACTTGCAGGGGCAGTGACTCCAGCCCTGCCCTGGGCAGCCTGTTCCAATGCCTGAGCACCCTCTGGGGCAGGAATTGTTCCTCAGCTCCATCTAAACCTGCCCTGGTGCAGCTTGAGGCCGTTTCCTCTTGCCCCATCCCCTGTTCCTTGGGAGCAGAGCCCAGCCCCTCCTGGCTCCATCCTCCTCTCAGGCACTTGTAGGGAGCCATCAGGTCCCCCCTGAGCCTTCTCTTCTCCAGACTGAACCCCCCAGGTCCCTCAGCCCTTCCCCATCACACTTGTGCTCCAGGCCCTGCACCAGCTCTGTTGCCCTTCTCTGGCCCCCCTCCAGCACCTCAATGTCTCTCTTGTAGTGAGGGGCCCAGAGCTGAACACAGGATTCGAGGTGTGGCCTCACCAGTGCCCAGTGCAGGGGCACAATCCCTGCCCTGGCCCTGCTGCTGCACTGGTGCTGGGGGCTTCCTGAGCACAAGCTGCTCATGTTCAGCTCCATCAATCAGCACCCCAGCTCCTTTCCCATGAGCAGCTTCCAGCCACCCTTCCCCAGGCCTGGAGCATTCCATGGGGTTGTTGTGACCCGAGTGCAAGCGCCGGCACTGCCCTACTTGACCCTCATCCCCGTTCACAGCTCCCTTCGCATGCAGGGGCTTGGCTTGTCCTTGCCCAGCGAGACTCACCCCCTCGTGTGTTAAAGGCTCCCTGCTCAGGCGGGGAGCGTCCTCCCCACAGCCAGGGTTTTACACCCGGATCGCGCTGTCACGGCCCCTGCTCGCCTCAGCACGACCGAGACGCGTTTGAGGGGAGCGCGGCGCTGGGCTCAAGCCTCGGACTTGTGGGCGCGGCGGCCACCACCGCCCCCCAGACACGGCCCGACCCTGCCAACCGAGAGGCCGCGGCCCGGCCCCTCCGTGCGTCCGCCCGCGGGCACGTACCACTCCCGGGCGAGCCGCTTGTAGGCCTTCTTGATGTCGGCCTGGCTGGAGCTGCGGCCGACCCCGAGCACGCGGTACGGGTCGAAGTCCCCCGCCGCGGCCTGCGCCCCCAGCGCCGCCAGCAGCAGCGCGGCGGCCCAGGCCAGGCCGGCCCGGCCCAGCTCCATGGCTGCGGCGGCGGGGGGGACGGGGAACGCGGACACCGGGCACCGGACGGGCCGCCCTCAGCCTGCGCCGCCGCTTCCGGCGCGCCCGCCCCGCCGTCACCATGGAGACGGCGGCGGTTCCGGTTGCAGCGGGCGGGGAGCGGCCATGGAGGAGGCGCAGCGCCGGGCCCTGCGGCGCGGCCGGGCGAGGCTGGTGGCGGCGCTGCGGGTGGCCCCGCTCTGGGGCCCGCTGCAGGAGCGCGGCCTCTTCACCCGGCCCATGGTGGAGGACGTGCAGGTGAGGGGGGGGCACCGCGTGTGCGCCCCGCGGGCCCTTGTCTCTAGGGGCAGGCCCCAGGTAGGGCCCCGATTCCCCCCGTGCTGGGGACAGGCACCCACCGGTGTCCTCTCAGGCCGCAGGTAGCGCCCCGTGTGCCCCCATGCTGGGGCCAGGCCGGGGGAGCTGCCCTTGTCCCTCCCTACCATGGGCCCTGAAGGTCGGAGCTGTGACACCTACCCCGGGTCTTGACTCTTCCTGCTCTCCCCCTGGGTGTCCATCCCAGCCTGGTGACGGGGGTAAGGGGCCCCGTGTCCCCTCTCAGTTACTGGGGATGTCAGTGCCCTCTCCTGCGGGGGCTCCCTCCCCCCTTGCCCTCCCTATGGTGGGCTCTATGGGGCAGGCAGCCAGGGGTTGTGGTCGGAGGGGTCCAGGGCTGGGGTTTGGGTGGTTGCTGGTGAGATCTGTGACTGTGTCCGTTGGGTCTCGGTCTCATTCACCCTGTGTGGAGGTTTCCTCCCCATGGAGATCAGAGGGAAAGGCTGGCCCAGCAGCACACCGTGGCTCGATGTCGCTCTGTAATCCTGGGTTTTCCTCCTCTGCAGAGCGCTGGCAGCCGAGGAGAGCAAGCCCGGCAGCTGGTCATTGACCTGGAGACTCGAGGGAAGCGGGCTTTCCCTGTATTCCTCTCCATCCTGCGGGACACAGGGCAGGGCGACCTCGCAGACATGCTGACCGAGGAGTGTGGGTGCCCATCGGCACCACCCCAGCTGGTAGACCTGAGGCCTGTCGAGCTGGAGTTACGTGGAGGACATCATCCTAAAAGTAAGACTTGAGGGTGTGACCGGTTTCTGGGCAAACAGCAATATGTGGGGTGGCAGAGAGGAAGACTCCACAGCCCCCCTAGGCAGCCTGTGCCAGGGCTCTGCCACCCTCAATGGAAAGATGTTCTTGCTCATGTTGAGGTGAAACTTGCTGTGGTTTAGTTTGTGGCCATTGCTCCTCATCCTGTCACTGGACACCACTGGAAAGAGTCTGGCACCATCCTGCTGGCGCCCACCTTTGAGCTATTCATGTGCATTGATGAGATCCCCTCTCAGGCTGCTCTTCTCTGCACTAACCAGGCCCAGCTCCTGCAATCTCCCCTCATGAGAGAGATGCTCCAGAGTCCTGAGCATCCTTGTGGCCTCGGCTGGACCCTCTCCAGTAGCTCCTTGTCTTTCTTGTACTCAGGAGCCCAGAGCTGGACTCAGGACTCCAGATGTGGCCTCATCAGGGTTGAGTAGAGAGGGAGGATCACCTCAACCTGCTGCCACGCACCCTTGTCTGTGGTTTTGCACAGGATTTCCCCAGTACCTTGGTGAGAATGGATTTTGCCATGTCCTCACCACCTTGTGCACCTCTTTGTCTGCGTGGGGATCGAGCTTGTGTAGTTGTGAGAAGAAACTTGAGTCTGTGAAACCCTGCAAAGGGAAAACAGATGTGATGTGACCTTGTGGCATCACAGCAGGGTCCTTTTGGGGACCCTGGGTTGCTTACTTGTAGCATGAAGTCAGAAGGGGGAGAAGTGAGATCTGCCTGATCTCTGTCTTTACAGATGTGAACCTTCCAGAACATTTGTCCATCCCGGTGCAAGCAGAGAGTGAAAGACCACGGGTACCTCCTGTGCCAGTCCGGGGTAAGCCATGGCCCAGGCTGTTCCGGAGGGCCAGGGAATTTATACACATCACCAATGTGTCAGGGCCGACAGGGAAGGAACGATGTGGATATGGGGAGGAAGGTGGACAACACCTGGCTGTGGAGTGTGGGAGAGCTAAGTCCTGTGTCTGTTGTGTTGTAGGTTTGGCTGTTGACAAGTGGAACCGCGATCTGGTCAGTATTTGGTTGGGCTGAAAACATTCGCTATTAAGCAAAGGCTTTGGGCCTTGTGGGTGGCTGCCAGGAAATAACCCTGGGATAGCTGGTTCTTGCTCTGTGTCATCTGAGCCATTGCTCAGGGTCACAAGGATGCAGGGATCTGGAGCATCCAACCTGATGATCCTGTCATGGATTCTGTATAGACTTTGGAAGCATAGGGCTGAGGATAGCCCTCATGAGATTCCTGTGGTGCTGCTGTTGATGGTAAAGATGAGTCTGGGAGAGATTTTTCTAGCCCATTCTCAGCTCCTCACATGGGCTGTTGTGGTCACATTTGATGACAATGCCTAAAAAATACCCTCTAGAAGCTTCAGCTTGCCATTGGAGACTCTGGGTGAAGAAGCAGCTGCTTTCCACAGATCTCCACCCTATTTGGTGGGTGGTTTTGCATTCCCTACTGCTGATAAAAACGTGTGCCTGGAGCACAAAGCCTCTTATCCATACTTAGGCTTGGAGAGATGAAAAAAGCTGTGAACTGAGGTGCTTTAAGGACTCCTGTTCCTCCTTGACACTGCATCCTGCAGGAATAGCCAGCAGGCACTCGAATGAGAGGGTGTTTAACTGCAGTGTGTGCCTGGCAGGTTTACCAGCTGAGAGCGGATCCGTGCGGGCGCTGCCTGATCCTCAACAACATCAACTTCACCACAGGCTCAGGTCTGTCCACTCGCCACGGCTCCGACGTGGACTGTGAGAAGCTGGAAAAGCGCTTCAGGGCCTTGAGCTTTGATGTCCTGACTCAGAGGGATCTGGAAGCTCAGGTGAGGCTGCTGCATTGAGCTCATGGAAGTGTGTGTGATGGGAAATGTGCCCATGTTGGGAGCGTGCTGAAAACAAGGGCCTGTAGGGACAGGGCAAGGGGAATGGCTTTACCCTGCCAGAGGAGAGACTGAAATGAGCTCTTAGGCAGAAGCTCTTCCCTGTGAGGGTGCTGAGGCGCTGGCACAGGGTGCCCAGAGAAGCTGTGGCTGCCCCATCCCTGGCAGTGTTCAAGGCCAGGTTGGACACAGGGGCTTGGAGCAAGCTGCTCTGGGGGAAGGTGTCCCTGCCCGTGGCAGGGGGTTGAAGTTGGATGAGCTTTAAGGTCCCTTCCAACCCAAACCAGTCTGTGGTAAGAGCAGTGCCCAGGTTTGAGCAGCTGTTACCGTGATGTTTCCTGTGCAGGCCATGGTTTCAGAGCTGCAGAAGCTGGCACGGCAGGACCACAGCACCCTGGACTGCTGCACTGTGGTCATCCTCTCCCATGGCTGTCAGGTGGGTCCTTCCCGTCTCTCCCTTTGCCCATTAGTCAGGCTGCCTGCATGGGAACAGGAGCATTCCGAAGGTTTTCTGCTCCCCTGCCTCTGCACATTGAGTTACATTTTGCATCTGGGTTGAGGATACAAATTGAACTGCTTCTGCTATGTGCTGCTTCTCCAGCACAGTCTGATCCAACCTTGCCAGTTCTCCCTTTTGGAAGCTGGGCTATATAATTTGTAGCTGAATGACAGCCCCGGAGTGAAGGGAGGCAGAGCTGACCCTCGCGCTGTGCCCATTCAGGCCTTACTTTGTCTCCAGCTCTGATGGGGAAGATGCTATCAATAGTAAAGCCTGTTTATCTCAAGCGTGAGGCCTCGCAGAATGAGGAGGGGAGAGTCACTGTTAGGAAAATGGTGGATGTTAAGTGCCTGTTGTCCCGGAGGATGAAAAACCCCATTGCTGGAAGAGGTGGGATAGGAGTTGGGCAACAGGACGATGGGTGTTAGCATGTTTCAGACAATGCTGGGCTGTCCCCTCACCCTGACAAGGAGCAAATGTGTTCTGGGAACTTCAGGCTGCAGAGCACCCATCAGAGATGGGTTCCCTCAGAGCTGGCCTCCCCTTCTGCATTCCTAGCTCCTGGATTTTCCTCTTGCAGACGAGCCATGTTCAGTTCCCCGGAGGCGTTTATGGAACAGATGGAAAACCAATTCCAATAGAAAAGATTGTGAACTATTTCAATGGGTCCAATTGCCCGAGTCTGAGAGGAAAACCCAAACTCTTCTTCATCCAAGCCTGTGGTGGAGGTGAATCTTTGTTTTGGCTCTGGTAGCGCATTTGTTTTGGCTCTGGTAGTCCCTCTCAGTCATCCTTGGATCCCCCTTCAGACACTGGAAGCTGCTCTGAGGTCTCCACACAGCTTCTCTTCTTCAGGCTGAACAGCCCCAGTGTTCTCAGCCTGTCTCTATACAGGAGCTACTCCACCCCCTGATCATCCTCCTGGCCTCCAGTCGTCTCACCATTGAGCAATTGAGTAATATGAACATTGGGAACTGACTTGTTCCTGCCTTTTGCAGAGCAGAGAGATCGAGGCTTTGTAGTGGATTCCAGTTCACCTGGAGATGAAGCTCCCGGAGGTTCTGTGGAGTCGGATGCGACTCCTTTCCAGGCTCCATCAGGTAACACGGATGAGCCAGATGCTGTAGCCAGTTTGCCCACTCCCAGTGACATCTTGGTCTCCTACTCAACTTTTCCAGGTGAGATCCCCAGAGGAACTGGCCAAAATGTTGGAGATTTGTAGCCAAAGTTGGGGGAGGTTTGGGGCAATTGGAGATGGCAGGAACTGAGTGAGACGAGAACATAAAACTGTCTTTGGCAGTGATGTTCTCATTCTTCCTCTGCAGGTTTTGTCTCCTGGAGAGAGGTGTCGAGTGGCTCCTGGTATGTGGAAACCCTGGACAGTGTGCTGGAGCAATATGCCCCTTCGGAAGACCTGCTGAACATGTTACTGCGGGTGAGTGTCAAAGTCCAAGCTCGTGGAACTTGGGTCACTGTTATAAGCTTGCTGCCATGTGTCCAGGCAGGTCGTGCCCTTGGGGAAGTCCTGCTGGTTCTCCTGTTCCTGGAGATGTCCATGGTGCTCGCTTACACTCTGTGGTACTCCTAATGGTACTCGCTATGGTACATATGTACCCATCACCCCTTGTCCTATTGCTCCAGTCCCTGATGAAGAGTCCCTTTCCAGCATCCTTGTAGCCCCCTTCAGACACTGGAAGCTGCTTTGAGTTCTCCACGCATCCCTGGGTTCCGTGTCCTTCCTGCTCCTCATCCACTCTCCTCCTGTTCTCAGGTGGCCAACGCTGTCTCTGCCAAGGGGAAGTACAAGCAGATCCCAGGCTGCTTCAACTTCCTTCGTAAAAAATTCTTCTTCAAGTGCAAATGATGCTCTGAGGATCCTGCCAAGCTCCAGAGCTGCTTCCCCCGCAGCCAGAGGAAACCTGCTCCCACCAGGACTGCATCCATGCTCCCGGTGTCATCTCTGTCTGTCGAGATGTTTGTCTTGAGAAATGTCACCTGTGAATGCTGTGAAACAGGGAGGAGATGGAGACTGGCGCTGTGCTGATGGGAAATGGTATGGATGGAGCAGGGGCAGCACGTGCTGGCCCAGAGCCTCTGTGCTCGCAGAGGAGAGCACCTCCAGCTCGCTGCAATGCGCCTGTGCTCAGCCTCAGGGTATTTTGTTTGGTGACTGCCACACTTGTGGCCTTCTCTGCCTGGAAAACCAACTGATGGGATCAAAGTCTGGCGCTTAAGTGGCACGGAATGATTTTTGTAATTGAGATTTCCAATAAAACACGATGGACAAGGCAAGAAAATCCTTTGTGTTTCCTCGTCTGTTCTGTGCTGTGAGTGCCAGCTCAGCATCTCCCAAAGGCTTCTCTGAAAGGGGAAGAGCAAGAAAAGCCTCATTCATGTAAATGTTCATCTTCCTGCTGCTACTGGGAGCGTTTCACACGTGGCCATGCGAGAAGGCAGCGAGTGTCCTCTTGAGGCAATCGGCATTAATGCAGACTTACAGAGGAACCTGATGAGGATCCCTCTGAATCCCAGAGCTGAGGTCAAGCGCTTGCCTTGAGGAGCTGCTGTTGTGGTGATAGTTTTGGATTAGAAACTCGGGATGGATGTGGGATATTAGGGAGAAGTGTCTTCAGAGACACTGGGGAGATGCAGCTGCCATGGGGTATGTGGGGAAGGGAAGTGTCACTGTGCAGAGCCGGGACAGGATGGAGAGCTGATGGGTGCCCCCCAATTGCATGGGGCATTTCACAGTCCTGGTCTGCTTCAGCACAGCAAATGCACCTTGTGCTGTGCCCCTGTGCCTCCATGCTGCTGGGGGAGTGAGGGAGGCTTTGGGAATCACCTGTGGATATCAATATCAACTTGGGCCGCTCCTCTACCCAATGTGGTTTACAGGGGTCGCCTTCTGTCAGCATTACAGACACATGGGCAGTTCCAGCAGCCACACCATGGTGCTTTGTGTCCCCCTGACACAGTACAGCCCCAGCACACCCCACTTGTCCCTCGGGCGTGCTGGATGCTCACACAGCCACCCCAGGGATTCACACACCCCAAAGGCACCCTGCTGGCCTCGCTCAGGTCACACACCAGCCTCGTGGCCACCCACCACTGTGGGGTCTCACTGCGAGCCAAGGCTTAGCCGAGTCTCATGCAGGGACTGTGACTCTCCACCACCTCCTGCAGGAGGGGACATCTTTCACTGGGGTGAGACCCATCCCAGAGGGTGCCAGTGCCAGGAACGGTCCTGCTCCCTCCCCACCACCACTGGTTCTGCAGGCTGTGACCCCCAGGGTACCAGCCCAGTGCTGCAGTGATGCCCAGGGCTCCCACACTCACCACACCACCTCTGAGAGGGGACACGGTGCCCAGGTGGACACATAGATGTGACATGAGAGCTCGTCTCGATGTGACTGCAGCACCAGGCAGTGCCTCCCACATGTTGGGGTCCTGCTCCCCAGCCTCTTCTTCCCACCCCGAAGAGCCACCCCTGTGGTACATGGTCCATCTCCACACGTCCTCTGGGCAGGTCTTTAATACCCAAGGGGTGATGTGTACAATCCCTTTGCCACAGCACACAGCACCTCCCCCCCCCAACTGCTGCCCTCCCCATGTATCTCTTCACCCACTAAACCTCTGGCCGTGCTGTCAGGTGTCACTTGGTCCCCAGAGGGACCCACAACCCTGCCCCAAGCAAGCCACAGCCCAGGCAAGTGGCTCCCACAGCCTCGGGGCTCACACCACTGCTCCTGAGCCCCACTGCAGGTCCAGTGCAGGCGATGGCATCGCTCCCCAGGCTGGTGCTGGTGCTGGTGTTGCTCAGGCTGGTGGCAGCATCACTCCTAAGCTGGGCACCATCCATCACATCCCCCGCTGAGGTCGAGGCACCGCCATCCATCATCCTCTGCCACGAAGCTTCTCACTGGGCTCAGCACCCATGACAAGGTGACGGCAGCACCGCAGTGCTGGTGGGCAGCTCTGCTCGGGGGCTCATGGTACAGCACCATCCGCAGCCTCTGCACACCCGCTCCCACAGGCACGGTGCCTCCTTCCACTGCAAAACCCCACATTCCTCCTATGGCAGCCCTGGCTCCTCCTGGGGACCCCCCGGCCAGGGTGCAAGCCCCACACTGCCAGACCCAGCACCCACCTTGTTCCTCCAGACACTGTGGAAGGAGACCCACAGTGAGACACTCAGCTCCTGGGTCATGGCGCAGGTCCTGCAACCCTCCTCCCTGGACCAGTCAGCCCCCCAAGGACCAACCCTTGAGACCCCCACTGAAATTTACCTGTCCTCAAGTAGCCCAGGGCCAGCAAAGTCCCCTGAGACAGAACCAGAGAATGAGAGAATGGTTTGGGTTGAAGGGACCTTAAGGCTCATCCAGTTCCAACCCCTGCCACGGGCAGGGACACCTTCCACTAGAGCAGCTTGCTCCAAGCCCTGTCCAGCCTGGCCTTGAGCACTGCCAGGGATGGGGCAATCACCACCTCTTTGGGCAGCCTGATCCACTCCCAAGGACAACCAAGGCCCCTAAAGCACTTTGGAGCTGCCGCATCCCTCAGTGCTCCCCATGGGCCAACTGGCTCCCTTAGAGGCCCCCAGTCAGACCCCAGCCCCTCTCCCCCAAACCACTAGCAAAGCCTTGAGCCCCTTGGTGCTGAGGGCATGGATGCCACCCCTGCTCCCCACAGCTGCAGCCTGAGCTTGCCCCAGTGCCCTCACTGAGCAACGTGGGGACCCTGCAAACCCCGGCATCCCCAGCCACAGCCACAGGTGCCTGCCCCCAGCTCCCCCCCGCTCAATAACCAGACCAAGCGAGACCAGCTCAGCACTTGTGCCTTTATCACACTCGAGACGCGCTGCCCCTCGCGCCGCATCTTCAGTTGCTGCTTATTGTCTGCCAAGGACAAGACAGAGGGGACATGGCAGCGAGCCCCGGCGCTGGGCAGGGGCAGCCCCTCGCTGGGGGCAGAGCACGCGGCACCCACCTCGTTGATCCAGTCGATGTAGGCGGACACGCGGGTGAACACCGTCGGCTTCCTCAGCGTGTTGCAGCCCAGCGCCGAGCCAAAGCTGACGATTCCGGCCACCTCCCAGCGCCCCTCGAACGGGCAGTTCAGGGGGCCTCCGGAGTCCCCCTGTCCCCATGGACACAGCTCAGTGCTCGCCCTTCTGGACGCTCACCTCCAGCCCCTCACCTCCCCGTGCTTCCCATGGGGTCCACAGCCTCGCGCTGCCAGCCCTTGCTCCTCGGGGGCAGAGACCAGTCCTGCACCCACCTTTGCCACCCCCTGCCCAACACTCACGTTGCAGCTGGAGATGACACCATCGCCGCCGGCGCACACCATGCTGGGGAGCACGTAGATGCCCCACCAGCTCCACTGGGAGCAGGTCTCATAGTCCACCACGGGCAGCAGTGCCTGCTGCAGGACGTCAGCCAGGGGCCCATTCGCTGCCACGAGAGGCACACATCACACCCTGCACCCGCATTGGACCCCGCTGACTCCTCCCCACGGACCCCCACTCACTCCAGAGCCGGCCCCAGCCGGTCACATAGCAGGGGTAGTTGTTCTCCAGTATCTGCCCGGCGGGCGGCAGGCAGGCCACCTGGATGGTCTCACTCTCCTGCACCTCCTCTGCCAGCTTGATCAGGGCGATGTCATTGCTACGGGGAGAGCCGAGCCATGGGGACAGGAAGATCAGGTTCATAGGGAAGCGGAACCCAGCCATAATACCCCCTCCATCCATCCCTGACCCATCCCATCCCATACACGATGAGGAGGGAGTTCCAATTCTCGTGCACGATGATCTTCTCCACACCCACAGCCACCGAGCCCTGCTCTTCCTCATCCGACAGGACCTGCTTGCCCAGCACCACGCGGTACGTCAGGGTAGAGCTTCCAGGGGCATAAACAGAGGTGTCAGTCTCCATAGGCATCTTATCCCCCCCTGCATGGGCCCCTCTCTTACACCCCAGCACCCACCTGATGCAGTGGGCAGCCGTCAGCACCCAGTTGGTTTCAATCAGGGTCCCACCGCATGTGTGGTACCACTCCCCATTGCTGCTGTACTGCAGTGAGATCTGTGACAGCAGAGGCACAGCATCACTGTGGGAATGTTCCAATCCCTGCCCCTATCCCCATCCCTGCATCCCCCCTTACCTGCCATGGCCAGCTGTGGGGCACAGCATCTTCACCACCCACCACACGGGGGACATGCAGCGATGCCACGGCCGCCTGCCCGCATCCATAGGCTGGGTGACACCGGCAAAGGGACCTCAGCGGCCTCCTGCACCCCCTGCCCAGGGTCACAGCGGCTGCCGGGGTCCCAAGCCCCTCACCCCATCCCCTCCTGCACCCCAGACCCACCGTAGCCCAGCAACACAGCGAGACACAGAGCACCCAGCATGGCTGCAGCCGTCCAGAGTGCATGGAGGGGCCACTCACCCCCCTTATAGCACCCCAGGACCTTGGGGTTGACCTTCCCCTGGCCAACATCTGGTGAGTGTCCCACGCTGGGGGCAGCTCCTCAGCCCCATTGCTCCATCTTATCAGCCCCCTGGGAACAGCCACAGCTGCCCATCCAACGTGGCACAGCAGGGACGCCTGGGGACACACAGGATCCCTCCTGGGGGGGCAGCTTGCAGGCAGCCCCCCCGCCACACTGATCTCTGTGGTTGCAGGCAGCCCAACTGCCCCCAGCTTCCAGGGTGCAGCCTCCAAACCTGCTCCCCCATGCACCACAGGAGTAGGGTCTCCTTATCTCATGCTCCACATGGCCAAGGCCACCCAATACCCCACAGGCGCCCTATGGGGCAGGGGGGGCAACCCCATAGCACAGGGATGCTGAAGACCTTCAGTAACACCCTATCTGGATCATGCCCCCGGTGCTTCCTATGCTGATGTCCCAGCACCTCCATGGGTCATCCTGCTTCACCACCACCCGCAGCAGTGATGGGGTGCCTGCTCCCCATGTGGCTCCTGCCACTACCATGGACACAACCAGAGCATGGCTGCACCTCAGCCCCACACACAGGCACCCAGCTTAAGAAATATAATATTTATTTGGGATTAAAATAAAAACCCAAAACACACAAAACACACAAACACCCCCCGTACAACCACCTGGGGTGACACCGCGGGACAGACGCATCGGAACAGCCAACATGGGAGCTCACCCAACCACGTGTGGCTACAGCACTCATCCTCCTGGGCCAAACACAACATGAAAACACAGAACAGCCTCAAGAGCCAGCAGCCACCTTTGCACACAGCTTCAGAACAGAGACACAGCCCTCGGGG